GTATGTATCTAACCGTTATACAGTCAAGATTCATTTGAGAATACTATATCACACAGTGAATAAGCCTTAATTTATTGATATACTTAGGGATGCCTTTGATGGTGGACAGAATCAAGTCAAGTCTTGTTACTCTGCTCTTGACACGCTTTGTAGAATGGACGGGCTCTGTTCATCTTAGCACAAAGAAAACGGTCGGTTCCAGGACGGCACCAAGGAATCTAGCAAAAAACCTAAGACTCAGGGTTCGAGACTCTAAATGATTGTGAAGCAAGCCCTTTCGAAGCATTGGGTCCTCGTACGCAACGGCCTCACATCAAGATGCTTCTGGGGGTGCCATTTGCCCTAGGAGCTTCTACAATCCGCACAGGCAAAATCCAACCCCCCATACCGCACCAACCATCTAGATAAACTTATATTTCCGGTACCCATTATTAAGGCAGAAATTGCAAAGACAACATCAAGTTTGCCATTCAGGTTGTAGCTGATATCATTCGTGACGCCTATGAAACAAGCAAATAGGGTTCCACTCTCTGTTCTTGCAAATCTCTTTCCAGGACCCCCGAAATCTCGATTGCATGGATGTTCCCAGCGTGGGCTTCCCTTATTTGAAGCCTGCCCAAACTACCATTCCCATTTTGTGGTGTCCCGATCCCATCCCTCTTTGAGCCATGCACGAGAGTTCGGCTCGACCAGCCCAAAAAATGCTAGTCGTTTGGTCATGTCAAGAGGGGGAGGTTCGGTTTGGGCGGTGGATACGATGTTGCGGCGGCGAAATCCGATGAAGTAACTAAGGACTGTTAGTACTAGTAATAGCTTGTATGAGCAATTCCTGGCATATGTTGCTTTGTTTCGTTCAGTAAGAGAAATGTGCTTCAACGTACAGGGTTTTCGAATTCTTGTCCCATACCAAGCTACTAAGCGCGGAGGTGTCAGGGAAATACCCGATTCCCCTGATCGCCCTAGGATTCAAGTTAGTTATGAACGTAGAGAAAGGAGGGTAGGCACTTACTGGAGGTTCTTCTCGAAGTATTGCCGGATTTCTTCTCTCTCGGCATTGTCCAAGGCCCAGAACTCGTTCGACCCATCCTTATTGCCGAGGCGTACTCCTGGTACCTTCTCCCATGTTAGGTAGACTGCAAATCCTCCCGTTACTGGACCCCGATTATCCTGTGTTGAGACTTTATACCCGAGGAGCTTCGGAGTGCATCCTATGTCTTGGGCAGTAAGGTCCTGGTAGGCAAGGAGCTCTCTCGGGATGAGTGTGGCAGCCTGGGTAGCCCTCGTATCCGCGTCGTCTATCTCAGTACCTTTGTAAGGGACTTGGAGATAGATTCGCATAAAAGCGAAGGTTGAAGGGTTCTTCGGGTCACAACATAGGAGCTTGGTTACAGCGAAAGAGAGGCGTTCACCACGGCGGTACTCAGCTTCGGTAAGTTGCCAGTCCTCCTCACTTGGCTTTTGGACGATTTGCCATCGCGAAGGAACGGGCTGGTCGAAGTTGATAATAGTGCCAGCGTCGATGCCTTTCCGGAACCAGGGAGGCATGATGGAAGCGAAAAGGGCGTAGATAAGAAGGTTGATCCATAATAACGACGTCTGGGGATAGGTGACTTTAAGTTTGATAGCCTCCGAAGTAGTGGTGGGATTAGGAAAGTGGAGTGTCGATGATGGAGAAACTGAAGGATTGGAAGAGGAGAAGAGAGGAGAAATGGAGAGCTGAATCAACCATCAACCAACAGTTGGGGAGGAGACGTGGATAGTCCGCGGTCAGGTGGCCCCACATGAAGCTAAACGGACCACTACTGCACCGTCAGCCAGTAGGTGTCATTAGCGCATCAGCATGGTATCAAGTGCGAAATGTTACTAGATTTTGTATTCGAATTATATTGAGGATAATGACGACACTCTTACTGCTCCCTGCGGTATCATAACACAGATACTTTCCGGTTATAAGAGTGGACTTGGTGGTTCTACCTGGTCTTTTCTCGCTCCAGCAGTATAGTCGATCATATCTTCTTGTGTCTCCCCTCATTTTTAGCTATTTTCCTTCGGCAGGTTACGAGTCCATTTGCGCGAGACCATTATATCTAACACATATAGCAAGCGTGTGTCTGGGGTTTGCAGCACCAAGGCAACCTTCCTCGCCTACCTGGCACTGATAGGCCTCTCGCATCAACAGGCCTCTCACACATCCATCGAACACAATTAGCTACCACACGTCAGCACGTGCCATTCCTTTGATCCTCGTCCCTTTCACACGGTTAGTCGGCCCCTGTCGTTTACCCAACCTTACGGTTACCAGGAACATCATTCCCGCTCGCTCTACATCCGCACTCTATCGCCTATCATAGCTTCGGACCCCTCTTCCTCAGACGACCCTCGATGCTAATTCTGCTTCGTAGAGGTATCTCCATTGATATGAGACGTCCTGCGTTCGGCCATTTCCGTCGACCCGCCAACCATCTCTGCTCTTCGTTGACCCGGCCAGCGGAACCAAGCAGTTTAGAGTCCTGCCAGGAAGAAAGCCAAACAACTGTATCCTGTGGCTGGGCTTGAGCTGAGCTCGGTCTCTCAAGGACTCACCACCAGCGAACCCTCTCCCAATCTTGGTGATATATTACCGCCCACGTCTCCTGTTGTGAGCTCGATGCTTCTTCCCTGCGTAATTCAATCAGGTTCATTCCGGGATTTCTCGGTAACACATGCTACTCCTCTGCTGGCTCATAAATCTCACCCTCGGGCAACTCCACAGGCCTTCAAAGCCCCCGGAGCAGGCATCGTGCCTTGAGTAATCCCTAGGGCTTTCCTTGCCGATGCTCATTGCCAAATACGCCCTCGTAGTCCTTATAAACCGGTTAACATATCTACTTGTCGGGTTACATTTACCTATCGGATACGTTTACTATTTCAGGCCAATAAATCCGGCGATTATTTTACAAATTGGACACAAGCGGTCGTTGATCTCCTTCCATATCCCACCCCAGCATTATTAACCGAGGGCCCGATTTTCTGGATAGCCACTATTAAGAGCTAGGAGGCCCTTCGTCCTTTACATACATTACATATCCATCTCATGCCCGTATCAATCACATCTAGTCCTCACAATCCTCCAATTCCTAGGCTCTAGACAACAAGCACATAACTTTGGCCCAAGGCGACATTTAAGCCAGCCTCGCCGTTGATCTGGCTAGCGACAATACTCGCAAAGTAAATAAGAAAAGAGAAATTTAGACAAATGAAGATGTTTATCTAAAGCCCAATCTTCTCCGCCATATATCCACCGACATCAAGTGGCATTGTCATATGGGGAAGTGGAATGAGACTCTTGAAAGATCTGATACTCGAGATGGCATGCGTTGACATCCTGGACCAGAAAGTGCTTGTATTTCTGAAAAGTCAGTTAACGACGTCTTCAAGACGCTGTCCGAGATGCTTAACAACAAACATACTGAACAATAAAACAAAAAGAAACATACAACAGCCAAAAGTATGGCCGACCTCACCTAGCGCCCATCATTCGGTGCTGGGCGACTTGCCGCTTTATTCAGGCGTGCTTTAGGCGGCCCCAGGCGGCAGTTCACCCACCTGAATATTCTCCACCCGAAGACCGCCCAGGCCGGCAAAAGGCGCACTTGCATATTTTGGCACAGGGAAAGATTTCGAGGGAGGATCAAAGGACCGTTAGATTGTTGATGAAGCTAGATCTATCAAGAGGTGAAGGATTAAATAGACAGAAGCATGTGATTAAACCTGCATGACAAACAAAGAGGAATAGAGAAATAGAGACTAGGGGAAGACAAGCGCAGAGGAGTACACATCGTTGGGGCTGGAACAGGGTGGGAAGAATCCTCCCTTCTCGCGCGGTCCCATCATTTGACCGCCGCAGTTGAACGTGGGGTGGAACTTTTAGACCGCTGCTTTCCACTTGAAACGGGCGGCTTCCTGATACCTACCCACCCTCGCGGGTCGAGGTGTATAATGACCCTCGTTACGGCCCCGCCCCATCATCGTGAACAGCCCCTTGGAGCGTTACCTAAACCAAGCTTTTCTTGGCCAATGCTTCTACTCTTAGAAGCACAGAGGCAAGGCTCACCAGCTATCTCTGTGGGGGCTAAGACCATGAAAGGATTCAAGAAGATTTGCTTGTTGTGTCGAAGCGTCACAGTTGAATCCTTGCTACCTGATACTGTGGACTTGAAGACATCTCCCGCCAAGGGTAGTTATAGAAAGCGTGAAGTATCAAGTTACGCGGTCATACAATGGGTTATAAGACTACAACAACCCTTTTATCGATTTCTGCATCGTAGTCATAACCCAGTACTTTGGGGCTGGTGCTTGATTTGACTTTCATGTAGTCAGTTTTCCGCCCCTCATACAATCCGTGTAAATTTAAATAATAATCAAGTCTTGTAGAAGGAACCGCCGAATTCTTTCCCTCACTTTGGAATTTGTCGAAGTTAGAAATCGAGAATGTAATCGTTCGGCGTCTCTTTGTTCCTGATATGGCGTAGGCTTGTTTTTCTTTCTTTCTTTCTTTCTTTCTTTCTTTCTTTCTTTCTTTCTTTCTTTCTTTCTTTCTTTCTTTCTTTCTTTCTTTCTTTCTTTCTTTCTTTCTTTCTTTCTTTCTTTCTTTCTTCCTTCTTCTTTCTCAAATTTAGCAGAGTGATAAGGGGGATTGGGGGCTAAGCCTGCTGGAGGCTTTGGGGGCAGAAGTAGGTGGTGGGGGGGGGGGGGGGGGGGGGGGGGGCCGCGAAAGAATAAAAGAATGCTATATAATGTCCCTGTTGACCCATATAGTAATTACTGTAGTATTTTCATGATAAAATTTCGTATATCGTTATGTTTTCTCTCATCTAACTGAAGCATTTGCTCCTCCTGTGCGTGCTCAGCACGTAGATTGCCGCATTCTATCTCCCTAGGTAAACCCTTTATCTCTATCGTTACCCGTAGTTTGTGACGAAGCAGCCATTTAACCAACAAATACAGCGTCGAACGCTGGAATGATGCTTCGGCGCTGGATGTTTATCCCCGTGATGACTCTAAATACGAAGAATACCCTTGTACCCGACAGAACTGTGGCCCTTCTTGCACTGGGAACGGCGCGTCAAAAGTTTCGACACGCAAGCGATTCTGGGTACCTCTTATAGACGGTGACAATTCAACAACAGGCGTTAGCAAGCGGGATCTTCAAAAGCGAGTGTTTGACTATATCTTTAAACGACGTCGAGAGACCTGGCCATCACAAGTAGATTATTATCTACCAAACCAGATTCCCGAGGTCACCGTTACTAGCTTTTCTTTACCTCAGGATCCGCAATTCTCTAAGGTTGAGAACGAAGTATTCTTCGCGGGCGATGAGATAGAGAAGACGGTCGCACACGCCGCAACCTTTGTCGACGAACACGGGAACAAACTCGACGAACAATTCCAATGGGGCACCGGTGGTCTTTATGGGTGTACCATGCTTACTATTGTTAGCAAAAGAGCGGTTTGGATGGTAATACATAATACTGTATACCTAAATTCAATATCTGACCGATAACTAGGCGCACTTTTGGGAAGTTGCAGCATTTAACGACAAAGATGGATTCGATACCGCAGACGACATATCTAAATTCAATCAATACGTTCTCGGGGTTCTAGAGGGGAACGCACCAAAGGAAACCATGGACTACGTGGATCACCTGAATTGGGACAATTTCAACAAGTGTGATGATGATTTCCACGTCTTTTGGATGTCTCCCGTGGGAATGTCGGCATCCGGGAAACCTATGGGACAAACTCCAAAGTACAAGGCGAAAATGGAAAAGGTCAACGACTTCCTTCGAGAGAAGTTGAACGAGCCCACTATCAACACGTTTCTGTATGAGCGGTTGAACTACTTTAGCCGTGCAAATGGCGAGCAGGGTGGCCCCGATATCAAATATGTAAACAAACAGGCGTACGGCATGTGCGCGTTCCAGTAAGTTCTCCCTTTTCATATATCTCGATTTAATGTCTCTAATTAATCGTTTACAAAGGTATGATGGAGCTGGAAGCTGGAGGCTGTTTTATCAGCATTCAATTTACTCGAATAACCCGGATTTAGCGAATCCTCTCGTATACCAAACTTCAAACGAGGGAAAGTTCGGAGGTTACGATCAGAAATATTACCGCCCCATTCTTCCCCTGAAGTCACAAATTCAAAAGTGGCAAGGATAAATTTACTAGGGGCGAAGTATTGTGGCTTGGAAGTGATGCAGTGCTAGTGAAGTTTTAGGTTAGGCATGGAGAAATTGTACTCTGTTTTGTGAGAAATCAGGTTCATAGAAACCAGAGGAGGAACGGGGCCGTCGTAGATGGGGTCGAAAGCGGACTAAAGTGATCGTCGGTCCCACATAATCTTCCCTGTTCCATCCACCGTCTATTTAAACACCCACCAACCCCTCCAACCCCGTACAATATTTGTCCATCTCCAGATTTTGGTCCACTTTCAGCCTCCGACTTCCCATCAGCCTCGCTATGGCTCCATCAATTGAGTCTCTACCACCGGAAATCCAGCAGACGGTTCTAGCACACTTGTCCACGCATGAATCCAGTCTCCGCGCTTTCGCCTGTGCGAATCGGACCTGCCATACCCTGGCATCCCCGTTCATTTACCATACCGTTCAAGTTGGGCTAGATCTAGATCAGGCATCGCTTCAAAGATTTTACGAATGGGCGCAGAATCCCCAGGCTCTTAGCAGGCTACAGTATGTCCAATGTCTCGTGATCGGCGGAACTCAGCCAGGAGCGGATTCCAGTTCATCAGATGCGAGGGACACGGGTCCTCGGTCTATCTTTCTCAGTCGAAATCCTAGAACTTTACATGGCTATCTACGACCGTACGGCCTCTCACCTCAAAAGAGATTGGACAGCGACACGCAAGCTGCTTTAGAATCTAGCGATGTTTGGCTGCCTCTAGCACATCTGATTCCGCAATTGCCCTCCCTCTCGGATTTACTCTTCTTGCTCCCGATACAGTTTCCAAAATATTTGCTGAATCAAATCCATGGAATGAGACCATCCTTTCGCCTCCATATCGATCGGTTCTTTCTGCGCAGTCTGGCGACTGCCTCCACGGACTCATATGAGTTCTCCCTAGCTTCGTCGCCTTGTCTTTTTAGCCTCAGAATAATTCATGACGGCGACCATAATCCCTATGAGAAAATTGCTTCTAGCTGCTACCATGAAGACGCCGTGGCTCGTATGGTCTCTGGTCTAGCACAGAACTTGAAAGAGATCACGCTAGTCTACCCTGCTCCTGGGGCTAGTCTGATGCAATATACTCCACCGCCGTGGAAAGGGTTTAGCCAGGAGATAGGAAATAGGTACAAGAAAATACGCGGAAACTTGCGACGTTTGCGATTTGAACACTTCTGGCGTATCACCGCGGACAGACTGGATTACTGGGGTACGCAAACGGATTTCACAAAACTACAAGCCCTTGAGTTTGATGCATATCTCACATCGGATCTGTTGAGACATCTAGCGATGAAATTTCAGCTTCCCTGCTTGAAAAAGCTCGTCCTTAGTAATCTTCGAAAGGAACGAGACAATTCTGACGATCATGCGGAAGCAGCTAATGAATTATTGAGGAACCTTCCTCCGCTTATGTCTCTGACCTTGGATGGCTGGTATCCCGAGATTTCGATAGACGCGCTTGCTACTCACCATGGACTACACTTATCGGAGTTAAAGTTGCTCAATTACCCTGGCGAGGACCTGACCAAGGACGATCTGGAGGTACTCGGTCATCATTGCATATCTCTTCGTGATTTCACACTGAGCCTTCGTCGTTCACAAGGAGACTCAACAGAAGCAAGCTTATATAAGGCCCTTGGATCTTTACCGAAGCTTCAGTCTATCTCACTTGGCCTTAATATTGCCAAATCATACTCGCCCATGGATAATGAAGAGGACGACGGCAAGTTGTTTAATCCTATATTCGAGGACGAATTTGATCGAAAGATTCCGATCGAATTGCTCGAACCTGGACCAGATTCCTCAGAAGCTTGCAACGGTGCTATGCGCGAGCAACTGATCAATTGTGCATTTGACAAGATACTTGCTCGGTCTGTATTTGACACTATTTCCTCCGGCAAACCTCAACTGTCCTTACCGTTGGAGGAATTGACTGTCAAAATTACCGATGCCGGGGATTTTGGAATGGTGGACTGCCCAGCACATTTCATATCCGTGCTCTTTCATTTGTGTCGCCCGTGGCGGATCACTCAGAGTATTCGTGATGATCGGCGCCATGAGATACATATAGAAGAGACAGAACAAATTCGGAGTCAGCTGTTACTGCCGCCGAAAGCATTGAAAGGCTGGCTTGAAGCTATCTGGCGTCGCGTTTGGCCAGAGAAGATTTCAGAAGAATGGCAGTCTGATTGGTACAGCTTTCCGATCTCCGAAGTAGTAGAACTGTGATTTTAGAAGATAATTGCAAAGAGACATTCGATATGTTTGAGTCTTAAAGCGGGCACTTTAGCCAGAATTCATCAGTTCTACATTCAATTTCTGGAAACCATGGTTAGCTTCGCATCCAAAGCCTAAGGCTCCCAAATTTGTCGCAAGGTTCTGCGGATATTGATGATAGTCAGCTCGTTAGATTCGGCCAGTTCGGCCATTTGAGATGTGGTGAAGGACTGGCTCTCTATCATATCACGTATAAGAACTAGTTTTGCAGGAGAGAGTCTTAGAGCCATGTCGCCTGAACTAATAGGGGTTACACTGGGAAGACTCAAAAGTGCGCTGTGTTAGAAGTTGTTGATTGTGACGAGAAGTAGGAAGGAGGGCACATAGAGCGTGCGTATGGTAGTTTTGTGTAAAATAACTCTACACGTGGTCCCATAGTCGTATTGTAAAATCCAACGCTCATTAGGTCGGTGAATAGGCGGGTGGCTACGCGCCTAGCTTAAGGTGGGCCGTATCGTTGCTTAGTCGATAAGTCTTCATTGACATACTTGCTACTTCCCGTTCGCGGATCTATAATCAATAATTGCAGGACTAAGTTAGCTTGGGCCACAATAAAAGATTTTTATCTTGTGTCGGGAGATATAGCGGTTCATCCGGGGAGAACAAAAAAGGTCGCCAGTTCAACTCAATTTTAATTAGTGAAGTACCCCATACATTCGGCCACGGGAGAGCTCTTCAGTTGTGGTTAATTCCATTTCCATTGGAGCGAAAAAATCGTTTCTGCACCTCCTTCTTGGGTCAGAATCTTCACTGCGTCCTTAGAGAAGAGATATCCAAGACCAGATCAGACAGTTGTAATGGCCACGGTGAATCTATTTTCCGTGATCAGCTCCGTTCAGTTCCAGGCCACGTCAGCGCTTCAGGGGCCTTCAGGGCGATCGGGTGAAGAATAGAGAGCCTCAGGGCGTTCAGGCGAAGGGGCCTAAAGGGGCTGAAGAGTAAAGCGGCAAGAGCAGATGTCCCAACGAATGACAAAAAAACGGGCGGACGCAGACATACAACAGCCAGGATTCGCATGTGGTCACCCACCATACTACTAACTGGCCGGCGCGTGGCTTATGTACAGTCAATAGTCGGGTGGCTGCTACCCGGGTGAGTTTAGGGTGAGCGCCGCTTTTGCGTCGCGCGACCGGGGTGAGAAAGGGTGAGTGCGGGTGATTCTTACCCTCCGTTGTGCGACCCCCGAACCAACCCTCTTAGCTAAGTTTAGATACAGTGTGATTAGTTCATGTCGATCTGGCTGAAACCGACGGTTTCTTGGCACTTGTATATCCTATCGAACTCTAACCCAGAACTAGTTCGTACCTTGCAACCGTCGATCTATGAGTCATTTTTGTATCCCGGAGCTTTTGCTCGACTACTACTACGAGAAGAGAATGTAGACAAGGCAGAATTCGAGTTTTGGAAATGGGCCTATGTCGGGGTCGAAATCGGGATAACCTTAGCCCCACAGAGATATGCGGAGGTGCTATGTGGCTTAGATATGTTCAGAAAAGCTTCTAGTCATTTTCATTCGTACGCATGACTCACAAGTCAATCCAGATGCACTCGAATATAACATCGTCTACCGTAGAAGATCTCGCCAACTATTGTTCAGACGCATAGTTACATCACAGTAGCTATGTCAGGACCTAGTCTATAGGCCTGATGAGATTGGAGATGAATTAGAGTGAAGGAAACCAATGGCTTGATTTGTATGCGTAAACTGATTGCTGAGGTTCTAATACATGCGCGAGAGGGTCGTAATATTTCCTCCATCCTTCGAAGCCGGCGTCCTCATAGGCTCAAGTAAAGCTATTGTCTTTCAGATTGTTTTACATTTTATATGAAAAACTAATTTCTTTGTGGGATGGAAATCTCTCGCTCTCGAATTAGTTGCGAATTGCTAGGATGAGCGGTTCTTTGTGACTACGCGGGCTTTGGCAGTTTCTTTGTTGGCAGTCGGTAGTAATGCGAGCAATTCTTCGATAATGACTATCTAGCCCTCCAGGATTTACGAAGAAGCCACTTTCTTCCTTATTCTTGTCAAAATGCCAAATTGGAACCCAATCAAGATCCCTTCGAACCCGGCAGTTGGGTGGTGTATGCGATCTGTGAATAGAGTCCGAGCGATTGCTACTCACACATGCGTTGCAGCCGCGCAAGTGCGCGTACTGTTCGCAACATCGGAAACCGTGCCTAATGGTAGTATCTCGAAAGCCCGTCGATCCTTTGAGTCATAGTTTTATACCAGAATCTCGCGAGGGATCCTCGAGGCTAGCAGGTCATTGTAGGTGGATCCTCGTCTTGATGATAAAGCGAATGCAGTCATCCAAGCGCCCTTCGCCACGCCTGCGCAGGTTGCCCGTCGGAACGCCCTTGTGGGGCAGTTCAACGGTGCGAGGAGTGCGTTGACCCGAAGGATAAATACGGGCGTTAAGCCTGCGAACCCCCCGGTCGCCATCGCCCCGCTACCCTCTCGAGTCCAGCCAACACTCTGAATTTATCATTCCAAGGCCTCAAGACATAGATATGGCCGACCTCACAGTGGACACCAATAACCCAGTCTACTTCTGGAAACCAGAAGGTGACGTTGGCTTTTTGGGGCAGTGGTGGCCATCGTCATTCGAATGGGAGCACGACGGTGAGAGATACACTTACGCAAATGCAGAACAGTAAATATCCCCGCTCTCCTGGATTATCCTGAACATGCCTGTTTATATCATCTGATCTCCTAGATATATGATGCATCGTAAAGCGCTCCTCTTCGCTGGACCGAATCACCCAATCGCCCAAGAAATCCAAAAGGGCTGGAAACTACACCCAAGGGTCCTCCGTGACCTTGGGCGAAAAATTCCCAATTTTGCCCAAGAAGTGTGGGAGCAGCATCGATTTGAGATTGTTGCCGAAGGGAGCTATCTCAAATTCTCGCAGAACAAGGGCCTTAAACAGAATCTACTCGCGACCGGTAACCAAGAATTGGTGGAGGCTAGTCCGCGGGATCGTATATGGGGAGTTGGATTTGGAGCGAAAAATGCGAGTGATAATCGAAGTAGGTGGGGGTTGAATTTACTGGGAAAAGCGCTCATGGAAGCTAGATCGAGGTTGTTGAAAGAGGAGGCAGGCGAGAAATGATAGTAGCAAGGGATGGAGAGTTACCAATGCTATTTGACAATGCTGTGATAATGTATCATGATTGAGGTGGGGACGACACCATATTTTCTATTCTACATGTCTATTTTGAAATTGGAGACAAGATTGAAAATCTCAAATGTCTATGGTGTCTATGGTAGCGGTACAACGCAGTCGTTATAAATGTCGAGAACGCTTTGCGCTATAGCAGTTTCTATCATCAGTACCGAGGCCGGTAAAACGTGTAGCTCAATCCTTCAATCTATGCGTTGTTGGCACACGAGAAGCTCGAGCTGCCTGGATTGTCATGAATAGATTTTCCAGAGGTATAGAGGCCAAGGCCACACTAAAGAATCAATCAGATAAAGGAAATTTGGATAATAAAGCCATGAGTTGAACTTACCAGGACAATACCGACGCAAATAGCAAAAGTGTTAAGTAGTGTCAAGGCGATTTTCTTCGGCGACGAAAACCACAGTCCCTTATTCATGTGAAGCCAGAATATGCCGGTGAACCCGAAAGTAAACCAACTACCAAATAGAGCAGTCTACCACACGTCAGTATCAAAATGAGACACGAGAAAATAAATAGAGGCAGCATACAATAAGAGTAAGAAGGCTGCTGAACACAGGGATTGCCTCGGCAATAATCCACGCAACGATCCATAAGCAGACAGTTAGTCCAACCCAAGAGCCGATCGCAACTAGGTCGCGCTTGTGCATACGGTCGGTTCCTGCGAAGATGCGAATGTATATGGACTTGGCGGCGACATGGCTGTTGATAACACCGGCGATAACAATCTATAAATCCCAATGTGAGCAGAGTGGTCATGATGTTAAGTAATGCGTCAAGGAGGGCTTTACAGTGGGAAGAGCGACACCATAAGCAATCCGGGATATCAGCGGGCCAGCAGAACCCAATGCTGGAGATGTGACATCGGCGCCCGCATACCGATAAATAACAACACCAGCAATGATATAAAGAGTCATATCGATAGTTTGAAGCAGGGCAAGAGCCTTTGGGAAGTCTCTCGGATCCTTGAGTTCCGCCATGAAGGTGAAAAATGTGTTGTGGCTGACTGTGAACTGTTAGAAATTATAGTCCACTCCGAGATTCTAATATTCCTGTCGGGAAGATAGGACTACAGACCGTATGAGAAAGCAATGTTTGCAGCAGCCGTAAACCCTGTTACTAGGTTGGTCTCAACGGTCGGTTCGAGAACAGATCCAGTATTTTGAATTCCGAGGGCAACCATGGCAATCATAACGGCGCTGAAAATGCTGATAAATGCTGATGTGTAGTGGAAATTGTCAGCAATATGCCTTTTTGAGATTGGAAACATGCAATACTCACAAATAAGCGAAAGCCATGACACCTGTGCAAGTTTTCGTGGTAGCGACAAGAAGATCGAGATGATCATGCCCACGACACCAAAAACAATCGAACACGTTGCATGCCCCGTGATTGTGTTGAGCGCAACAGTAAATGTCAAGATATGACTCGCCATGATGAAGACCAGGAACAGCAGCTGGGCCGTTCCAAACAACTCACGACCAAACCGGCCCATCAGGATCTCGCCGGCATCTGCCATGCTTGAAATATGAGGGTATCTCCATTTAAATTGTCCAATAACATAGCCGGTATAACAAGCCAGAAGCCCCAGGCCGACGAGGATAATGAGACCTGGGACGAGACCTAAACTGGCAATGGCTGCTGGAAGCGAGAGGATACCCAGTGAGATGGTCTCGGCAACCATGAGAAGACCTCCTTGCCTAGAGAAATGATCATTGTTCAGTCAAGAGAATAATTTTACAAGGGAAAACAGGAAAAAGAAAACGTACCACCATGTTAACACCTTGTACTTAACCTCTGCATGTTCCTCGTCACCAAAGGCATCTTGTCGAGGCCGCGTGAGATCAGGCTTTTCCACCTCCCCGAGTCCTTCGTCAGGACACCCCTGAGCAGGCTCGTCATGTGTCGGCGTAATATCAACGATTTGTGATCTCATGATGGTCGTTCGCATACTCGCCAAAGATATAGAAAGAGGAATGCAATGCTAGGATGGCTAATGGGTGCTTGCAAAAGAAGGAAGTGACATTAGGACTAAGCAAAATAAAAAGCTGCTGGGTACCTCCGATAGACCCGTCCCCAGACAGATCCATTCTACTTGCGGGGTGCTTACCATCGCCTTCCATTTCCAGTTTTGCCCCAGCTAGATATAGGTGGATCAAAATAACAGTTGCTGCCCAGTGGGAATGGGTGGATGGCATTGATGGGGGGCAAGACATATTGATAGCTGAGGCCTGCATAGGAAAGGCATGCCTGTTGAGCCGGAGAGCGATAAGCAAAGTGCGCCGAAAGGTTATCCTTATCTTCATCTATCTTCCGCTATATATACACTTGTGTTGCATCAGTAGCGCTCTGAGCTAGTGTTTCTTTGCTATCGAATCGATCATGAAGTGTTCACTTCTTTATTAGTTCTTTTTCTACCCCGGTCTTTTCCCCAGATTTGTTCAATTTCCTTTCCTTCGTGCCACATTGCGAAATCTGGGGTACTTGCCTGGTTGGCCAGGAGGTTCGGAGTGAGATGCCTATCCCGGAATCACTTTCCTGAAACAGTTGTAGTGGGAACAGAGAGCCGGGGAATTTCGTAGAAGCGGAAGACTGGAAGATCGAATATTGCGATTTATCATTATTATGTGTCATATTAAGATTGAATTATCCACAAGTATGGCCCCTTAGAGTATATGGAGAGGGATATAGGCGTCCTGTGGCTACTTACGGTAGAGGCAGGCCATCCCGCAGTATTCTCCACACAATCAATCGATCATAGCAATAAACGTAAGGAAATTATTGGTATCAGATGGCATTCAATGAAACTAACATGGGCAAATCCTGTATATCCTGAAAAAAGATAGAGTCTAGTTGATAATTGACTGCCATTAGAAGGACGACGAGTTGACAAATTAAGAATCGAGTATTTACATAGCCTAAATATGCCCCGTGGCGCAAGAAACAGCTATTAAGTAGGACGAGACTGCTGCCCCCTAGGGCTAAATCTTGCTAAGCCCGTCATTAGTACAAGTATCTTTCCGGATAGCCCATATAATATCTCTCGATATAAGTAGGTAATCAGCGTTCAAACTATGTCTAATAAGATGATTTTGATGTTTGGTCAAGATTCCGAACTTACCATAAAGCTCTACGATATAGTAGCGTGCAAGTTATATGGTGATGGATAGCAGATAGAATACTATTCCAGGCAGAAATCAAAAGCCCTAACGGGCGTGTGCGAAATCTAGGGGGTGGCAGCAGCCTTACCCATGAAGTATATTGAAGGCAATCATTCGCATTTCATCAAGTATCTATCGTAAAATCTATCATCCAAGGAAAGCCGACACCGGTTCCTACAGTTTATTGCCCATGTTGACATGCACAGCCTTGATCTGGCTATACGCCTCCAAACCAGCCTCACCCAACTCGCGACCGATACCACTCTGCTTGACACCACCGAATGGCACACGGGGATCACAGTCCTGGCTGCTGTTGATCCAGACCATTCCAGATTCGATCTCGGCAGCCACGCGGTGCGCACGCTCCAAGTCCGTCGTGAATACAGCGGCTCCGAGACCGTAGGTGGTGTTGTTGGCCCGGCGAATGGCTTCCTCCTCGGTATCAAATGGCAAGATGACCACGACGGGGCCAAAGACCTCCTCTTGGGTGATGCGCATCGAGTCGGTCGCGTCCGTGATGACCGTGGGCTGCACAAAGTACCCATTCTTGTGCTCGGGGTTGGCAGGGACATGGGCAGCACCACCGGTCAGGATAGTAGCGCCTTCGCTCTTGGCAATCTCCATATACGACAAAATACGCTCGTACTGGGCACGAGTAACCTGGGGGCCCTGGAAGGTCTCTGAATCCCACTGGTCACCGATCTTGACGCTCTCGACGGCGGCCTTGAACTGTGCCAAGAAAGTAGGTAGGATCTCGCGGTGGACGAATATCCGTGATGTCGCTGTACAGATCTGACCCTGGTTCGACATGATTCCGAAGTGCGACCACTTCACAGCCTGATCCATATCTGCGTCGGGGAAGACCAGGAGTGGGGACTTGCCGCCCGTTTCCAATGTGATGTTTTTCAAGCTACCGGCAGCCATCTTCATAATCTCGCGCGCGGTACCGGTGGATCCTGTGAACGCCACCTTATCGACGAGGGGGTGAGATGATAGTGCAGCACCGGCATCACGACCGTACCCATTGACGATGTTGATCACACCTGGCGGGAAGCCAGCTTGCTTGATGAGGGTTCCGAGAACCAGAGCGCTGAGTGGGGTCTGCTCTGCGGGCTTGAGAACCACGGTGTTTCCACATGCGAGGGCAGGCCCCAACTTCCAACAGGCCATCGACAGAGGGTAGTTCCACGGAATGATCTGCGCCACCACACCTATAGGCTGGCGCAAGGTGTAGGCGAATTTTTGAGGCGTGGTGCTGATCGTCTGACCGAAGGTCTTGTCGGCCCAGCCACTGTAGTATCGAATGGTGCCGATAGACTCCGGGAGGTCCTCCTCGAGAGCTACATGGTAAGCTTTGCCTGTAAATAAATTAGCAATTATTTTTTGGGTGTGTAGTTGCATGCATCATGCGTAGGAAAGCGCAGGAGTGCATGAAAGAAAAGAGCGGCAGGGGCATGCGCCGATGCGCGCCGTGCAGGGGGTAAAGGTGCAGGTCCAGGTTCCCTGCGACGCTAAGAATTGTGCGTACCGTTGTCCCATGCATCAATAGTGGCTAGAAGTTCCTTGTTTGACTCCATGAGCTCAGCGAGCTTCAGCATCAACGTCCCCCGCTCGGTTGCAGGCAGAAGTTTCCACGAGTCATGCGCAAGAGCGGCCTTGGCAGCATTAACGGCGCGGTCGACATCGCTCGAGTCAGCAGCATGAACGGTGGCAATTGGCTTGTCGGTTCTGGGAAATCCCGATCATTAGAAATTGAATATGCATGGGAGGGCACTTTTGCGACATACGCGGGGTCGATGGATGTGATTGTTTGGCCGGAGGAAGCAGGAACGAATTCGTTATTGATGAACAACCCGGTGGGTTGAGTGTACTTGTGCCCATTAGGGGTCACGATTTCCACAGAGAGGCTCATCTTGGCAGCTGGAGGAAATGAGATTGGGATGTTGGCCCATGATTGCGATGCCAGATAGCTTGAAGATATATGGAGAGGAGGGGTTGAGGGGATAAGGGTGGGGCGAGGAAGGACTTTCCGAGGTCGGCCGCCGTAGACGGTAACTAGTCTCGCTATGTCAAGTCCATCCGGAGGTTTCATGGTGTTACTACTGTTATCAGCCTGGAATAGCATTCTCCATTTAAAATCATTTGTTCAAGTGGTATAGCTTTCTCGACCGGCAATAACAAGACGAGGAGTTCCGTGATGTTTACTCTCTAGGTGCAGTGATAAAGAGGCATTCAATTTCACAGATAAGGCTTCCTATGAAGTCTAAATTGCCAGGGCAGACATTGACTTTGAGAAATCAGGAATAATTGAAAGCTCAACCGGGGCGAAGCCCAAACGTATGATGCACATCTAGATGGCTTGAAATGGCTCGCTCGGTGACTACTCCTCAGCCTCTGCCGAGGACTCGTCGGAATCCTTCTTTCCCTGGATTCTGTCGATCGCCTCAATCCATTCTCGGAGTCCTTCATGCGCGTTCGAGCGACGCTCGATCTCCTCCTTGACCATCCTTTCAATCTCCTTTGAGAATCTCTCCATCGTGGTGATCCCCTTGTCGATTTGTTTCAGGGTTTGCTCTCGCTGGAACTGCGCCTTTCGAAGCATCCCGAGGAGCTTTTCCGACACCTCGTATTGGTCCCGGAGCTCTCGAAGACGCTGGATCATCTCCTCGTAGGCAGCGAGGTTGGTGTCACGGAGCTGGTAGGAAGCATCGGGGGCTTCGACATCGCTGGGCGGGTTGACGTCTTGACCATTTGCAGGTCGGGAAGGGAGTTGCCTATCAAGAGTCAATATCAGTTTCTGAATCAAGCGGTTCATGGCTGTATATTCTTACTCTGGCATCTTGGCCAGCTTTGGTCAAGTACTTCTTTTGCAGAGTTGTTGTGGTGAGGATGCGTAAGAGAAATGGAGGAGTGGAGAGATTGTGGAGGAGTGATGTGAGAAAGATGATGGAATAATCCTGTGTTTGTAACTGGAATTTTCCGCCTCTATTGCCGTCTGCCTGAGCTTCTCTCGTTTGCTTCTATTTAGGTCGCTGCGACCCTACCTCCTTGCCTCCTCAGCTGGATGTGTTGCTTATTATTTTGCTCCTTCCAATACGTGAATTTGACTTTTTACAAAAAGTCTCCTCTAGGATTCCATTATCGCGCAAGAGATACTTGACTTTAGGGAGACAAAGAAGTATAAATTCAAGGCTATCATACTCATTGCTAACGACCTCAGTCATGCACGCAGTCATAGTTCCCAGCTACATCAGGATCTGCCTGGTTTCGGAGCTTCGCCGTCTTCGGCCAAGGGCAGAGCTTGCGTGTCCTTGACGAGCCATCTGGCGGATCTGAAGACAAAACCGAGTCTGGGAAAACACCTTTCTCTACCCAAGCGACGAGTGCTTCGTCGACGTGGTATGTGGCAGGCACATAAGGATATGAGCTTGCGGCACCGCAGTGGCCACCCCCTAATCTAGTCAGCTTTGTTCTTGCAGGAGAGTGTTCGAGTCATTTTGAACATACCGGGTACCATGTATAGGTTGAAAAAGCTGGCAACCGACCCATCGGCACTAGATTGCTGTAGCTGTTCAAGGTGATGAATAGGCCAGGTTGCCGCATTGAAAGCATCCGTCCAGCCTAAATACCAATAAGCCGTCTTGATCTCGATTCTGACACCTGTAGCACTTTTACTTACCCTGTGTCACCACCATTTTGCCACCATGGCGTTGGAATGCGCTTAAATCAACTCCGATCTCGTCAATGAGTGGGCTAGCCACAGCATCGACTTTGACCACATCTCGATCATAGTTGAAGGTATCAATGTCATAAGAGAGATTGTTGAATACCAGATTCTGTAGCAGTGGCGCGGCATACTCCTTATATAGCCAGGTTTCCTGTTCCAGCAACTCTCTTTCTGAGCCCAGACTGAAGCCTGGATAGATAGATGTGTTAGTCCTCATATTCATCGGGCCAGCATAAATGGCCTTCAGTGCTCCCAGCTTCTGGGGACTTAGGCAAGTTTGGTTAGCCTTTGGGGCTCTGTCTCCACTTGAACAGGCTAGGGTGTTGATATCAAAATTGCACCGAAGAGGGTTCTCAATGAGGCGATCCTTCACTCCATCGAGTTCATCACAGGCATCGAGAATTGCTTTGGTGGTTGCATTGAGAGTCGCTTGATCAATAAAAGCATCCCCCTGATCTGGTTAGTAGTGAAAGAGGAACAGAGAAGATCTGAAAATGCTGTAGGCTTACCTTTGAATGTTGCCCATTCCATAAAAAGGAAAGCATTAAATGCGAGTACCAGTTTCCCGGAGACCCAGCATAGATGCCGTCAAAGAGATGGGGATGAAACTGAGCTAGTGCAAACCCTTGTGCCCCTCCAGTAGAGCAGCCGTGATAATAGCTGTGGTGGGGAGGATTTTTGTAAAATGCAGTAGCGATTTTGCGTGTTGGTTCGGTGATGATTGCAATGGATTCGTGAATCCAGGCCTTCGTCTCTTCTACATCGTTAAGAAATGGAATAAAAGATCCTGGACCTCCAGCTCCATTATCTGCTAATCGATGGCCTGAATCACCACTAGATTTATCATGTATCAGGCAACATCCTTGGCAGAGGTCAGTATAAAGACATACCCTGCGACTGCAAATCCCTGCTCCAATTGCAAGGCCATCTGGTCGGTGTCAATTACACCGGCAAACCCGCCATTTCCTATGATTCTCACAGTCAGATACAGCCCTATGTAACTTCGGAAGGAATAAGGTCCTTACCCACGACCATAAACCGTCCATTGTACGAGTCGAGCGACGGCAGCCATAGTTCGAATTCGACAGAGTGGTTACGATGACCATATGACACGGATCCGGTGACTCGACAATAAGAGATATTTTGCGATGAAGAGCTGAGCACTGTATCTTCTGTAGTTGTTATATTGGTTCCAGGGATTACTGGTTCAAGATGCCCTAAACAACCAGCCGCCGAGCAAGTATGGGCGCAGAGCAGGCCAGCTGCTGCCACCAAAGATCCGATAGATTTCATAGTAACTGAGCCAAGGCAATGACAGTATTTACCCCGGATTCCGACTTGCTCCTCGTCAGAGTCATTTATGTAGCCCCGTTGAAACCTGGGGTACTGGCCCGGCAGTTGTCTTGCCGAACGCTATACTCCAGTCGGCTACCGGCGCCGCGCCCCGATAAGCGACGCTTCAGGGTTCTCCGCATTTTCCCCACGAAACAACTCCACTGCGGCATAGAAAAAACAAGAGGAAGTGAGATAGGAGCAGGTTGCCCCCAATTAGTATCATGCAGGCTTGTGACCGCTGTTATCGACGCAAGTCTAAGTGTGACAAGGCGATCCCCACTTGTGGGCAGTGTCAGAAAGCTCGCACGCTGTGCGACTATATCGATCGGTCCCGGGAGCCGGCCGTCCGACGAGAGGCCGTCGACAGACTTGAACGGAGACTGCGACAGGCTGAAGCGAAAAACCGCGCCCTCACTTCTCAATTAGCGACATATCAAGCGTCCCGCTCCAGCAGTATTGGCAAGGAATCCCGTGAGGCTCCCCAGCCACCAGTCCTCAGTCCAAATTTCCCCTTCGACCGCAATGAGGTCGCCGATGAGGTATCTTTCCTCTCCCTACAGGCAGGAGGAGAACGCAACTACCCAGGCGTCGCAAGCGGTGTGGTGTTTTCGCATCTCGTTCAGGGAGTTGCTTCGTTGGATTCTTCCAGTCCACATGGACAGGCCCCAAATCGCACATCCACCAGACCAGTTGATCAAACAACCTCATCGCTATCTATACCGCGAGAGGCATTACCGCCCGAGATAGTCGCTCGCCGTTTACACCAGGCATACTTCAAGCATGATTACCTCTGCTACCCATTTCTCAATCGCCACTCGGCGCTGGCCAACCTGGACCGCATCTACGCCGACGTCTCAGTGTTAGAAGCCGATGCGACCGTCGCGTTCCCATTCTACATGGTTCTCGCAATTGCAATGGCCAGTGCACACAAATGTGACTGGCAATCATTGCCTGAAAGTGAGAACTTTCAAGCCCGGGCGATGATGCGAGTTGGGGAAGTCCTTCAGCGCAGTGACATTCACGCTCTACAAGCCGTACTCCTGCTGTGTCAATATCGCATGACCAGCCCGATTCAAGAAAAGTCAACAAGTCTGTGGCACATGGTTGGATTTGCTGCTCGCATGTGTTTTGAACAGGGCCTCCATCGTAATGAGACGTACTACGATCCGAGTAGCCACTCGGGCAATGAAGATCTTCTGGCGCTGAGTGAAACACGCCGACGATGCTTCTGGTGTGTCGTCGATATGGATCGGTAAGTGGACTCGATGTTGAGCACTGTCTACTAAGCAAAAATTAAGATATAATATAGGATAGTAAGCATCACACTCGGTCGGCCCTTGGCTATTCATCTTGAGGATGTTGATACCGTTCTTCCCGAGCCACATGTCCTTGAGTCGAGCGACTCAACACCTGGGAATACTGAAGAGCAACCATCTCCGACAGCAATATTCAATCATATCACACAATACAGGATATTGAGTGGTAAAGTGATGATTTCGCTACACAGTAATCGCGCGACTGCACGCGACGAAGACTCCGCGGCGGTAGCCCGTATCACTTTGACCGAGGAGCTTGAGCAGTGGAGAAACGAAAGCCAAAACCTACACTTGCAACCTGAAAGCCACGCGCAAACTCGGCGATCCAGCTTCCTATCTCCGGAATGGTACGAATTGTTATACTATAACACACTCTTGATGATATATCGACCTTCACCTACATTGTCCACAATATCAGCGCGCTCACCAGCCGTACTCCAAGCCACCTTTGACGCTTCCCGTGAAGCAATATCACGCTACGCCCTACTCCATACTTCCCAGCGCATCAACTATACATGGATCACACTCCACGCGGTCTTTATGGCCGGGCTGTCCTATATCTATGCGGTGGGACGACACTATCGAACTCGCAAGGCAAATACAAGCGCCAATGCTGTAGGAAGCACACTCTCTACTGATCCGACTATTATTGAGGTAGTAAATACTTGCCGTTCATGTTCAATAGTGCTTGTGGCTGTATCCGAGCGATGGGCCACGCCACGCCATTGCCATCAGGTATTCGACCGGCTCAGTGATGCAGTGCTTGCCGATGTCATCGCCTTCTTCACCCAGTCAACATCGACCCCAGCAGCGTCAATGAATCAAGCCAATGCATCTCGTAATATAATTACAGCATCACAAGCTGATCTCAATACCCCATTATCTCCCGATGACAGTGTCGTCATCCCACCAATATCAGCAGCTACATGCTTCCCGCTGGGTGTTGACACAGCGTTGCGAGACTGCTTCGAGGACCTTCAGCATTTCCATGATGCCTATGGCGGAGACGGCCCCATTCGACAGCTCTCTCAAGATTGGCTCCACGAGATTGGTGGCATGGCCCTGCATGCTGTGCAATTATGGGGGGAGTAGTGACATTGATCTTGGGGAGGCACAATTGCAAAATACTAATTTTCAACCCGCGGTCCACCAAGCCTTTATTCAATCTATAAATCTACATATGCTCAGATACACCCATAAAGACCGAAAATGCACAAAACACAACTCTAAATCTGCCCCCTCTCCAAGAACTTGACGGGGATCGGGGCAACACGGCTGCGCAGGTACTCGCCAACCCCCTTACCAAGTCCATCGATCCTACTAGAACTCGCAATACCCCCGTCCAAAAAGTCCAGGACCCTGAAATGCACAGCCAAAATGTTGGGAAACTCGCATCGTTCCACACGTCTTTCGATCCCATCGTCGGTCTTCTCGAGCCAATCCTCGCCAAACAGCTCTTTCAGCCGAGGAATTGTCAGGAAAGATTGCAGCCACGGGTATTCATCTTCATTTCGCACGAAGAAGCCAATGTTGCTGTTGTTTGCTTTGTCACCGGATCGGGCGTGAACGATGCTTCCCAGTGGGGCTTGTTGTGTTGGTCCAAACGTGGACAGTGGTGTCGGGTGGAGGGTTTCGTAGGATGGGCGCAGTATGGGTTTTGTTGTTGAAGGCGAAGGGTCAACTCGGATCTCGGGTCCTTCGGGTAAAATCTGAACACGGTGATTGAGAAGACCACAGTCTATCGTGGCCGGGAAGATTTCCATGAATGGTTTCGGGTCCATGGTACGGAAGTCGAGATTCATGTGGTACCCTACAATGGGGTCTTACATGAGCCAACATTGCTATAACCTGCGTGAGGGGTTGATCTCGGGTGATATATACTTACCGGGATAGCTTTGCATCCGCAGTGCATAGATAGGAATTTTAAATTTCGATGCGGAGATGTCTTCCAATTTCCTGGCCTGCGCAAACACGCGCAACGATACTGTCCCAGCTTGCTGGCTCTTAGGATCCACTGCAGGCGAGCCATATAGCTCGATGGACAATTTGCTGAACCGATGATCCCGGAAGATATGCGAAAGCTGATTGCGCATCATCTCTGCCTTCTCGGCAACATCAAGCCCGTTGATGTAGAATGTTGCCTCGGCCTGGTATCCACCCGGGGCTGCAATAATCGCTTTCGTCGTTGCTGGGGGAGGAACTCCGGTTATGCCACAGACGCGGATTCTGTCTGGACTAATATCCTGAATTTGAACGTCACGGAGATTGGCCACCACATCTGGGTTCAGGTAGTCCTCCCCTTGAAGCTCATATAAAAACTGGGCTGTCGTGTTGTGCTTGGTGACTGCGCCAGCATACTGTTCGCATTTTGTAATGACGCATGTCCCGTCCTCGTTTATTTCGGCGATGGGAAATGAGAGATCAACGAGCTTGGGGAGCAGCGCTTTGAATCCTGAGAAATTTGCTCCAGTGACATATGGACCGCACTCAATCAAATCTGTTACGGGGTCAGCAAATCTCAACCGAATTAGACGAATGTATGCTGTGATTTATACAGCACGTGGTCACCTACGGCCTGCAACCAAAGCACCTGCTAGACTATTCCAAGCATCTCGATGCCACTGATACCACCAAGCGGCAGCTCCAATCACCGGAGAGGCATCGGTCACTCGGCCACAAATCACAATATCGGCTCCTGCGTTGAGAGCTTCCACAATTCCCCACGCGCCGATGTACGCTACGCCGCAGTGGGCTTCCATAGGCCAGTCCTCAAATTGCCAGTCCACATGGTCCAAATGAACCAAGCTGCGGCGAGTCTTAGAATCTTTGATCAAATCCGAGATATCATCACCTAAAACCATCGCAATCTTAATATCACGATGTCCCCGCTCCAGACACATTGCCCGTGTCTCTGCCACCAAAGCAGCGGTATTCAATGCTCCAGCATTGGTGACCACTTTAATGTCGCGTTCAACTATGAGATCGATGGACTCGGTCAGCTGGACGAGAAAGCCGGCCTCGTAGCCGAGTGAAGCATCTTGGGCCTTGGCAATGGCATTCCACGCAATGTTCATTTCGGATAGCCAGTCACCGACAATCACGTCGACGTTGCCATCCTTCGCCATTCGTCGCATGGCATTGGGGCTATCGCCCGTTGCGCCCGATACATTGCCGATTCTCAAAGGTCGTTTTGTGAGCATCTTTACTTCCGGAGACCACCGCTCAGCGCCAAAATTCGAGTATGAATGATAGTCAAAACAAGTTAGGATTTTTGACCACGCGCGCCAGGGAAACCTATTCGATTTAACACTATTTACAGGGTCGCTTGGTCTTCAACCCAACAGCTTTGGTGTTTCGGCGCTTAGGACCGTCGGTCCCAATCCCCATAGCCGAATATTGTATTAAGCTACGGATGTGGCCAATCAGAGCTAGAGCCGATGTTCTCCCGGCAATCGTGGAGGTACGTGTCGTCGGTCGTCGGGCCCGACGCCCGCCACGAGGGGGCTAAAACTTGGATTGTACACAATCGGAACAACTCCGCCTCAAATGGGTTGAGAACTTTAGGTTCCAATGGCAGGCTTTCCCACCCGGTGGACAGAGCAAATCCTGTGTCCCCAGAATCGTTACTCCACAATCGTCGGACGGCGGAACCGCAGGCCGTCACCACTGGTCGCAAAATATAAGACGTCTGTGGGGAAGTCTTGATTTCCCCAGATTTTCAATTCCATCGCACTGTCCGTCTATTTCAATCGCAAAATGACGGCAGACGCAAGCCTCAAGCACCAGGTTGAAATGGCAGAAAACGCGGAGAAGGGCGAGGCTCGCCAGCACCAAGATGTATGTTACAAACCCGAGAATCATCGAGTCTAATAATCCTTGTACCTTGTTGCAGATAACTGACCTGACTAATCTCGACAGATGCTATCTGACAGCAGCGCTGCTTTGGAGTATTCCGAGCGCGAGAAAGCACTGATTTGGAAGCAGGACCTTCGGGTCGTTCCGTTGGCCGCGTTTATTTATTTGCTCTGCTATCTTGATCGATCAAATATTGGTAGGCCTGACTTTGGCACATGCCCACGAAACATAAAGTGACTCTTTAAAACTTGAACGCTAACATCACAAAGGTAATGCCAAAACTTTGAATGCAAATACTCATAACGACTTGGTCTCCGAGACCGGTGTTACTTCATACCAGTATACGTACGTTACAATTCGACAACTGGTGGCCATCACAAATTAATCACCGATGCAGTATTGCTCTTATGGTCTTTCTGATCGCATACGCACTCTTTGAGGTTCCCTCAAACTATCTACTCAAGAAACTAAGGCCAAGCGTTCGTGTTCCCCCCGCTATTATTTCGCCTATCACCCAGTTAACAGCTTGTCATAGCGATGGATTGCCTTTTTGATGTTCTCTTGGGGTGCAATCACCATGGGCCTCGGTGCCGTTCATAATTATGGCGAGCTCACAGGAGTCCGATTTCTACTCGGTACTGTAGAAGCAGGCCTTTTCCCCGGCCTGGTTTACTACCTGACCTTCTGGTACCGTGTGTCAGAGCGATCGCTGCGGGTAGCCTTGATCCTAGCCTCGGCCACCCTAGCAGGCGCCTTTGGTGGTGCAATTGCTTATGGCGTGGGACAGATGAATGGTGCCCATGGTATCTCTGCGTGGAGGTGGCTCTTTATCATTGAAGGGGCGCCCTCTTGTGCATCTGCAGTCCTTGTCTGGTTCTTCTTGCCAGACTATCCAGAGACAGCGCACTGGCTCTCGGCTGAGGAGAAGGAACTTGCGAAGGAACGACTTGCCCTCGAAGGCTCGCATGGAGAGGCGAGTGGGCTGACGTGGGAGGAGGCGAAGAAGACCCTGGTTGATTGGCGACTTTATGCCCACTACGTGGTATGTTATGAGCCTAGAGATGACCATGTTGATTAATAGTGGATGAACGTCTTTGATCGTGCGACAACGAATACTGACTTTCCACTTTCCAGATTTACTTCGGTATCTCGACGCCCTTCTCGAGTCTGTCTCTGTTCACCCCATCGATTACGGCCGGTCTTGGGTTCTCGAATCTGCGCGCACAGCTCATGACGGTTCCCCCTTATGCAACCGCATATGTGGTGACTATTGCTGTGGCATGGTCTGCCGACCATTTCAATGCGTGAGTTTCACCGCCAGGTACTACTAAATGAGGTTGCTCTCTCCTAACATTGCTTTCAGTCGCGGCTTGCATTCCACCTTATTTGCACTGGTAGGCGCAATCGGCTTCCTCGCATCCGCTCTCTTACCGGCCGAGTCTTATGCTGTGAGTTCCTCTTCTCTCTTCTAGATGACTCTGTAGACGACCTGATTCTAACACTCCTAAACAGCAACGCTATGGCTGTCTGATCGTGGCAGCCAGCGGCAGCTTTGCCTGCATTCCGCCTCTGCTCGGTTGGCTATCGTCAAACCTGCATTCGACAGCCGCTGCTGGACTTGCTATCGCACTAAACATATCTTTTGGTGCACCTGGTCAGATTGTCGGGGTCTGGATCTATAAGGCCAACGAGAAGGAAAAGGGATATCCAACGGGCCATTGGACGAATGCTGCGCTGTTGTTTTTCGTCGCAGTCGGGTGTGTTTTGCTGAGGATCTATTATGGGCTGTTGAACCGACGGGGTGCAACGGTCAAGCCATATTCATATTAAGAATACCACACTTCACAGTGTTATAAGGGGCCATGTTGATATCCAGTTTCTAAGACATGTCTTTTCTCGATTATTGGCTCTCACATCTTCATCTATCTCAACCTGTGTGCCTTTTTGGCATTTTAATATCCTTCGCTTCGACGTAGACAGTTCCTCCAACCCTCAGCCTTTTTGCTTGATAATACCGGTGAATTGTGGTCACTCATGGAGATCTCCAGCACCAATATTATTTTCTTCCTTTGTGGGCCTCCTCTGGCCTTAGTTCTTCTTGGACATTTGCAGAACAGGCAATCAGAAAGACCTTCAAAATTGATTCAGTAACTTATCAGAAGGGACCTTAGAGAATCTTTCTGGAAATATTATCGTGAAATAGCCATTGGGTAAGAGGAGTGAGTGGTGGGGAAATACGGTATCTGATCGTGTCCATCCTCTCGTCCACATCGGGCAAGCCATTCCGCCCATTGCAGTCCACTTTTCCGTCTCCACATTCGATCTCCCAAACTAAACATGATCCCACAAAAATAGAATGCAATCCCGGCTACTTCAAGTATATCAGCACGACAAGATCCAGCAAATAATGCAACATATTCATTTAATCATCACCGCCCCTCTCTTTCATACCCCTCCTCCAACTCGTGAATATACAACACCGCAAAAATGGCCGCTCTCACTGGTATCATGGTGGCACTGATCACCCCCTTCACCGATGACCAGTCTGCCATCGACGAGTCTCGCCTCCAAGCACACATCGAGCGCCTCATCCAAGCCGGTGTCCACGGCCTTGTCCCCGGCGGTAGCACCGGCGAATTCACAGTCATGACCACTGCCGAGCGCAAGCAACTGACCGAGCTCTGCGTGAAGTTCGCCGCCGGTCGTGTCCCCGTTGTCGTCGGTACTGGCAGTCTCCACACCGCAGAGGCAGTCGAGCTCTCAGTTCACGCCGGCCAAGTCGGTGCTACCGCCGTCATGGTTGTCCCACCCTTCTATGACGCCGTCAACCTGGAGCAGCTACAGGAGATGCTTGCCGAAATTCACAACGCCTCCAAGTTGCCTATTATGTACTATAATATCCCTTCCGCATCGGGTCTGACCCTCTCTCCCACCGAGATTGCCGGTCTGTCCAAGTTTGGCGTTAAGTATCTCAAGGATACCTCTGGTAACGCGCCCGCTCTCACGGAGCTTATCTTTTCGCTGTCGGATCAGATTATTGCTTTCAACGGTTGGGATACCCTCACTTTCTACGGCTTGGCAGCTGGCTGCCCCGGTGGTGTGTGGGGTGCTGCAAACATGATTCCAGAGCTGGCAGTTGAATTGTGGGATGCCGTTGCTGTCAAGGGTGACTTGAAGCGTGGCCGTGAGCTTTGGGCTAAGGCTTACCCAGTTTGCAAGTTCCTCGAGTCTCACAACTATGCCTCGGCTGTGAAGACCGGTGTGGAACTCACTGGACAGCCTACCGGTGGTCTGCGCAAGCCATTTGCTCTGCTGAAGCCTGAGCTGCAGGCGGAGCTGAAGCAACTGCTTGAGAATGCAGGTGTGAAGACTGTTTGATAAATGTATTCGTGATATGATTTTTTTAGATTTACATATGCATATGAAAATGGATGCACATGACGTTATGTTAATGACCTGGGTCATCATCGTTTCTTCGTACAAGTTACCGATCGTAACGGACAAAAGGCACGGACAAGAAGGGAAAATAAGATACAGACAAGAAAATACTGCCGCAGTTCAACAAAAGAGAGGCCAGATCTGCTCCTGCTTGCAAATATCAATCCACATTGGCATCGGCTCACTTCGATTCGCAGTCAGATGTTCATCCTGTTTGCGCCAGAGCTTAGTCATTATATCTCGAGCCATGGCATACGAGGTAAAGCCACACTTGGCGCTCGCATTATCGAGCCATTGGATAACTGCTTTTCGCCTCGCCGGAGTGAGAGCCTCACATCCAGCAATAAACGCAGGCCAAGCAGTTCCCGGCCCAGCGAGACTAGCATCTGACAAGGAAGCGCTACATTGCTCCAGTGCCGTGATGACACTATCCACATAACCCTGTAGAGCAGCGGGATGAGTATCGTGGACTCGGCGGTAAAAAAAAATTACCAAGGCTCCGTTGAGTGCCTCTAGCATATGTGCATGTGGCTTGCAGGTCGCTTGAAGGTCTGCAGATCCGCCCCTCGTGCGGCCAAGGCTGAATGAACATATTAGGTTCTCAAGCCGCATTGCACGGCGCTGAAGGGCTTCATATGCCTCGAGGCGCAAGTTCTTGCCACAATCACGAGCAGTCTGCCATGTTGCCAGAACATTCGCTAGCCTGGTTGTTTGCGACACCAGGCTAAGCCAGGTCTCGGGAATGCCGTAAATTTGTTTGTACAGTGTTTCGGGGAAACTGCGGGAGTCGTGAAGGTGAATATCGTGGTATCCGGAAGCCCGGTCTTTGGGCTCATCAATGTTCAAATCGCTATCTGAATTTTGGGTTTCGAGACGGAGGAAATCGTCAAGATGGGGGTTCGGTTCGCTTGATACAACGGCAGTAGCGTTGCTGACGGCGGAAGAAGAATGGTGGGAGCGTGATGAGGTGCCAAGATTTTCAAGACATGAATATGAGAGGTGGTAGTCGTGAAGTACAAACGTGCTTTCGCCAACGATTCGCAGCCATGTGTAGACATGGTGTAAAAGACGGGCTTTCTTTGAAATTCGTCGTTTTGATAACCCGCGGAGGCGGAGAAGTCGCTCTGCATCTATCAGGAAACACCGAGCGTGCTGCTGTTGTCCAGTTAGGATCTGTTGTATATTAGAGCAAGCTCAATCGAGGTAGTTCTAGGAGTGCTTACCGCGTATTGTGTGAGGAGATTAGCAGCCATCAATTGATCCTTGTATTTAGCCTTTTTCGGTCCAGCCGTTTCGTGTTGTAAAGATATTTGGATATGATCCTTGGCCTGCTGATAAGTCTGATTTGCTATTTGGTACCAATATTCGGGGGACTGAATCAATTGTGTGGATGGTTGCAGTGCGAGATCAATAGCAGCACAAGCAAATAAAGCGTAGAGGTTTGCAAGGCGGGCATGGCTGACGCCCTCCGTGCCCAAGTATGTCGTGTCTCCAAACGCAACTACCGCAGCAGGAAGATTGAGAATCTTCCATGGCGATTTTTGTCCGAAGGGAATTGCCATGATTCGTGGAATGACCTCGTCTTGGAAATGTCTCAGCAAAAACTGGCCATCTTTCAGAATATCCTCATTTGATTTTCTCAGCTCCATAGTTGTCTGCTGAGGTGTCAACATCCGCAGAGGATCTTCTAAGGAATTCAGTGCTGCGGGAATAGAAATAGCATCATTATTCATGTCGAATGAAAAGTCAAACGGCGCGCTCAGAGTTGGGTGTGTTGCAAAGCCTGATTGGTCAGGGCTAAAGCTCAAGATATCCGACCAATGGAGGAAATCGTCCATATTTGAGAGAGAATCGATAATGGACACCGGGCTGGGATCTGGTATCTCAGCAGGCATATCCTCATGCTGAAGAACATCATCTGAGTGTGCAGCCGGTATCTCCGTTGGCTCAAGGATATCATCCTGTCGTACAGCAGATGCCGGATTTTGTGCAGGATCTCCTTCTTCTGGGGTTGGCGATGCTTTCGCCCATGATGGTGCCGAACCCGAGAAATCGAGAACGGCGAATGGACCAATGACGATATCACTCTCCACGGAGCGATCAGGATCCCGCGATCTGATATCAACTTCTGCTAGTGATGCATCAACTGAACCTGATACCAGGTCTGTGCCAAGACTTGCGCTCATAGACAGACGCGATTCCTCTAGGAGATAATCAGCTGGAGCGTACTTCCAAATAGGTAATCATCAGATGATGAAGTATTACCGGAATACAAGTGCCGACGCGTTCCCCGACGGGTATTCCCCTCATCAGGTTCATCATCATTGCCGCGCATCCATAGCACCTGGTCTGAGAAGCCCTCACATGGCACTCCCAGCGCTCGACAGGTGCGACAGGCAGGTCGCTTCTGGTCGCATTTGACATCTATAGGCTTGTTTTAGCACGGGTTATCGTCAGGAGTCGATGTTTGGTGCCTCAGGCCGCAACATACGTCTCTTTCGGCAGGTAGAGCAGCCTCCTAACCTGTGAGATCGACGGACTCGTGTGTTCTTCGAACTACCCATAGTGGGCAAGCGTGCGCTAGTCGCGACAACAGGACTGGATAGATTGGTGTTTGACAGCTCCTCGAACAAAGCATGAACATCCGAAGCCAGTACTATTTGCAATAACAGAAACAGAAATTGATAGATTGATCTAGGATAATTCTTCGAATAAAGCATGGACATCCGAAGTCTGGGGTCTTGGGGATCCCCGCAAAGATAAACCGGAATCGCCTTCCTTTTAAAACTCTTCCCCGCGCCACTTATCGCCCCATCAAACTTTCTTTTATCAACGTTATCTTATCTTCTTATCGGCGGCCACGCTCCTTCCCTTTTCGGAACTCACAATTTGCCCAGACGAGTGGCTTCCAACCGCACGGTCATCGGAATCTCTTCCTCCAACGAGTGTGCGCGCGGGTTCCATCCCAGAAGTTGCATGGCTCGCTGGGGGCTCTGGCGAGCGTTGGTTCCCCAGAATACGCTGGCCGCCGGGGACAACGCATCTGCCTCACCTGGGGTGATGCTCTGGACAGTCACCGAGTCGGTTAGGCCCAAATTGTGCGCAGATTCAGCGACAAGCTGTGAGATCTTTCCAAAGGACTGTTTTGGTCAGCATTACTCACTAAACGGTTGTTTCTGGATCGAATTTGCGGCCAACTTACCAGCGGTGGCCCACCACCAACAAAGTAAAGACCATTCTGATTCCACAGATCACCCTCGGCGGCTTCGACAGCCTTCTCCACTAACTTGACGAAGATGTTACTCAGATCCGAGATGTGAATGTTGCTCCAGGTGCTTTCTCCCTTGCCCACTTGGAAGGTTTGTCTCTTCTCAATTGCGACTCTGGAGATTTCTGGCACCTGAATACTGCGCTGGTTACTAGGTCCTCGACCTTGCCCGTAGATGATGGGCGGGAAGATAATCGCAGTCTTGGTGCCAGTCACGTTGAGCAAAAAGCTGTCAACGACACGCTTGTCGGCGTTCTTGCGGATGATATCGCGAATCTCGTCGACATCGTCAATGTCCCCATAGATCTTTCGGGGTCCCTCGCCGAAGGTCTTGTTCACAATATCTGGAATTGAGAGTAGGCTTGCGCCTGAGACTTGAATCAAGCACCCTATAAATGGTCAACATATTTGATCCAACACAGAATGTGCGTGTTCACTAACCAGGCTTTGGCCTGGTGTGCTTGTCCAGACCACGGACAATGGCTTCAACACTGTTGATGTGTTTGTTGGCGGCGGCATCTGGATATAGTTAGAGACAGGCAATTTTAATAAAAGGTTCAGGGAGATACTAACGGACGACAACGTCGGCTTGACTAGCCTCCTCTTCGATAAGGGACGCAGAGTCAAGATCGCCCAGCACAATGCGCACATCGGGGTACTCCTTGGAGACGGTAGCAGCCTTAGCACTATCTCGCACAAGAGCACTGATGTGGTAGTCTGGGTGAGTTGTCTTGAGAACGTGGAGCACGTCCCCGCCAATAAGGCCAGTGGCACCAGTCCTATAGTAGACTGGTGGTCAGCATACTATAGTGTCGGCCGAGGGTGACACCCACATACAGGAAGATTCGAGCCATAATTGTCTGATTGTCGTTTAGTTTCATTCAAGAATAGCAAAAGACTTGATACTGGTCAAGTTGTCTACCCCTCCTACATCTGTCCTTTAAACTAACACGAACGTGGGGTTATGTCGTATTGAGCAAGTTATTCCGGTCGGGTTAGCGGGGACTCCACGATAGGAAGTCAAGACAATCTATACAGACGGAAGGTCACTGGAGCGCTCTTCTTAATTCGGATAGCAAGTGCAAGCCAGGTAGATCGGCGCGTGACTTGGGGTAGCTTACTTATTTTGCCGGATTGCCTTTGCTTGACGAAGCTTTTTTTTGTTCATCATTCATCACACCCTCGATATCCATTGAGTGCAGGCTTTAGAGTACATAATCGTCACAATGTCACATCGCGGTGAATCTCTCCATCGAGATGTTTGCTGTATTGATGATATCAAGAAATTGGCCTCTATGAAGCTCACCAAGATGGTGAGAGGTAAGTTCCTAAAGTCTTCCGCGTGTCACATATACAGTCAACTCATATAAACAGATTATTACAATGAGGGTGCCATGGACATGATCACGTATGTACCTACAAGCTCATCGACTACGGTAATTACCGATCTAACCTTAACACCCCGTCTTCCAGCCTGCGAGAAAACGAATCCGCCTTTGATCGCTACAAAATCCGCCCTCGAATTCTCGTCAACGTCGACAACATCGATACAACCACCGAAATCCTTGGAAGCAAGGTGTCTCTCCCCTTCGGTTTCAGTCCCGCTGCCTCGCACAAGCTCGCACACCCAGACGGCGAACTCGCAACTTCCCGTGCCGCCGCAAAGTATGGCATTTTTATGGGTCTGTCCTCGTATGCGACGTGTGCCCTGGAAGATGTCATCGCACAGGGTTTGGAGAACCCCTATGCGATGCAGATGTGTGTGTTGAAGGATCGGTCGATTACGATTCAGCTGCTGGAGCGTGCGGAGAGTACGTACCCGGTGTTTAGAAATTGCAATGATGCGAGAGAGTTAACACGAATTGCAGAGGCTGGTTATAAGGCATTGTTCCTATCTGTGGATGTGCCCGTACTTGGAAAGCGATTGAATGAGTACCGCAATGAATTCCGCATCCCGGAGGATATGGAGTACCCCAACATTCTCAGCAGTGGAGGTGATACCTCTGACCGAACGAATTATGGTGTGTTCTACTAGAAGTACACTCTGTCATGATCGTTGGAACTAACGTGTGATAGACCCGAGCCTGGATTGGGAGACTGCGCTTCCCTGGCTGCGAAAGCATACCTCGCTGCCGATTTGGCTCAAAGGAGGTATGTCATAACATCGGAAACTCGATTACCTGCAACCATTCCTTTCTAACAGGTCGATAGTATGCTCCCCCGAAGATGTAGAACTGGCCATCAAGCACGGCATTGACGGAGTCGTGATTTCCAACCACGGCGGTCGCCAGCTTGACGGTATGCCGTCAACTCTCGACGCTCTCCGAGTATGTGCGCCGGTTGCTCGAGGACGGATCCCAATCACCATTGATGGTGGTATCCGTCGTGGTTCGGATATCTTCAAGGCGCTGGCACTGGGAGCCAGCTATTGTTTCCTGGGTCGGATTCCCATCTGGGGCTTGGCCGTAAGTCTTCTTCCTTTGTTAATGTGTTAAGAGGAGTGTATTGATCAAGAATAGTATGATGGACAAGAAGGTGTCGAGTTGGCGATCAAGATTCTGCGCCAAGAATTGCGGATTACCATGGCGTTGGCAGGGTGAGTCCGAGTTCCCCATATGTGCACGTGTTTTGAGCCCATGACTAACCCCCTGACATAGATGCCGCACGATCCAAGACATTCAGAAATGCTATCTATCGGTATTGCAGCCTGATGGCATTCTGGCCAAATTGTAGATTAGAGATGCATCAAGCGTATATCAATTTTATGCACATATTTTACTTAGACAGCCTTGTCCCCCCTCCTCAACAAGTCAACAACCCCGTGATCCGAACATCCGATCAGGTGGACTGCCAAGAGTCTTGGCACTCCTCCCGCAGTGGCCAACACGGTTAGGGCTGACGAGGATCCCCTCGCACACTTTTACTTTCCCATGGATTCCTGCTACTAAACACGGCAGAAGAGTGGACTCTTACCAATAATCAAATCTATTTTACCCGATTCTCCATTCCGTGGTGGCTGATGATAGTGAATAATGAAATAGAAATAGAAATCGTCCCACGTACGTGTGAGGCTTGTTTGTGTCCTAAGCCTTGTTTTGTGGCGGTGTACTCCACTCTGTGCGTTCCAGAATCTCCTCGCGGTTTTATTTACGGAGTCCATCCGTCGATAGATCCCTGGAGGAGATCCTAGGCAGCACCATTCTAATTCTGATTAGTCCGGCACTACTATGTTTAGGACTGCGTCTGTAGGTGCAGGGTTAATCGGCTACTGAGGGATGCAGCAATGGCGGTGTTGTAGCTAGAATGGACAGTAAGGAAACCCCCGTGAGTTCTCTATTGGAATGCGCCAGCAACAAATCTACCAGAGTCAGAATGATGATAGTCAACCGCTAGCCCGAAAAAGCAGCCGATCCTCCACATCCTACAGTCATTATTGACGTTAGTCGTCATCGTAGTCCCCATGTGGACCTCCATAATTCATTTTCTAGCGGTCCCCTTTTTCAGCTCAGCCCTGCTGATCCTGCCTCAACTAAATTTTATTTAAATTACTCCCCGCCCCCCGTCACCTGGCCTTTCTCTTCCCCCTCCCCCTTATCTCTACTCTACTTCGAACTACCAGTCGTTCATCTCAACCCATCTCTCCAAATCATCACCATGTTCAACTTCAACTTCTTCAAGTCTGCCCCCGCCGAGGCCCAGACCCAGGAGAACTCCTGGAACCCCAACACCGTCGCTATGCAGCAGCCCTCCAGCCCTGCCGCTCCCTCCACCAACCAGAACGTCGTCTCTGAGCAGCCCGTACGTTCCATCCCCTACCCCGTTTATCTGGACGAGGACCGCAATCCAATATGATTGGAAAACTAATATATACAATTTAGGCTAGCCAGGAGGAGATGTCCATGCAGCTGCGCGGTGGTGGCGGTGGCTTCTGCTGCGGAATGTGAGTAGACCTCTTTTCTCGTTACTACCCCGAGGGCAACCTCGAATACCTTGCTATATGCGACTAGTCGCTAACCCAATTCACAGCTGCGCCGGCCTTGCCTGCTTCGAGTGCTGCGAGATCTGCTGCTAGATTGCCAACTCCCCTACGAATTTAGCTGGACGATGAATGCAATGGGCACATCACGTCAATGAGCTCGCCCACAGAGGCGGCTGTTGCTGAAAGAGAAGCTTTTTTTTGCTCATTCTGGAACAGCGGCGGTGGTGATGGTGATGGTTTTTTTTATGTCATATCAGACGTCTATGCGATATACCCAATGACAATCATGCAATAAGAAGAGTTTCATTCTCTATTTGATTTCGTGCTTATAGTATGCCCTCGTTTCATCGTATTTCGTGTCGGCTCATTATTTTCGTTAAGTCATAGAGTATCGGTACGGGCCATGCGCCCGGCATCGGCTCAGAAAGATCGTCGGTGGATTGCCGAGCGGAGTGCAGCATCCACGTCCCAGAGGCGGAAGCCGGGGGCTCGGCCGAGCATCCTGAGGTTGGACAGTAGCACTGATAATGATGTTAGCATCTGATGGGCCTCCAGACAGTGACCAGAATTATGAGAGTCCAACGATCGTCGTCACTTACAATCGAAAAAGCATTCAACGTTTAGGGTATACTTCGACGTCGACACCCCCAGATCCTGCGACCCGCTCAAATCACTAGAAGAAATCTCTCCGGGGGAGACATACAACTGTGATGCACAGTAATCCGAACCACTGTCTGGCGAAAAGCCATACAGGGCTCCAACCGTCGCGGCCGGGACTTCCAACCACACCGACGAGCCCTCCAGCATAAACCCCCGGTCTTCAAGATACCCCTGCACATCATGGCAATCGAACCAATCCCCGTCGAGATCCAAAAAGCGCAGACGCTCCTCCTCGCTCAGAGCCCTAATCTCCTCGCCCTGCTTATCGCCAACATCCGGCTCCAAGTCACCACTCCAATCTTCGTCCCAGTCAGAGATCCCGCCCCTCCGCAGAATCCCCGCTAGTCTCCGCAGGATCTTCCCGGGTCGGCGCCTGTTCACCGGGTAAACGGGTTCTCCATCTTCATTCGAGCGCGGATAATGCATACCCGCACCACCGAGCGTGTAGAAAGGTACTTTGGTTATTTCCAGTGGCCCGCCAATCTCAGATTGCAGGACGCGCCGGGAGGTACGTCGCACGCCGGGCATATCTTGGATGCAGGGAAATAGCCCGAAGACACGGCTCATGAGCGGGGGCTCGGAGTTTGGATCTGAGAGCCATCGGTATGTGTGTTCTAGACAGAACCGTTGCAGGCGTCTGGACAAGCAGGATTCTTGGTAACTGTAGGTATAGATGGTTGTGGATGGGAAGAGGCGGTTGAGCAATGGGGATGGGGATCGTGGATGGGGGTATCCCGGGTATGTGGCGTTCTTTCTTTGTCGTTGTGCATGCTTAGATAACGTTGGATTATCCTCGTTGGCGTTTCTCCGGTCATGGGAAACTTCGTATCCGAATATATCGCGCAGCGACTCTGTCGTCTGTCCCAGTGGATCGCCGACTTCTGCCGGGAACTCACGAGCCTTGTGAATCTCCGCTAGCGCCAATTGCCGCGCACGCGAGAGGTCAATTGGGCTAGTAAGGCTGTCAAACTCTTCCGGGGCCGCTGTCAGCAGATCTGAAACATTCTGGAGGGTCTGTTCGAGTTGTTCCACGCGGGTCTTCAGAGTCTGAATGGTTGCCTCCTTCTTCTGGCGATATGTGCGTTGAGCCCGCCTGATTTGCAAGCGACGTTCCTATAATCCGGGGGTCAGCAACATAAGCCTTGGTATGTTCAGCCTCGCGCTCCACTACGGTGCTCCTCCCCCATGCGGTAGGTCACCTTCCTTGCCGTCATCAGAGTTCTAGGATGATTACATACTTCAATTGCCGCTGCGTCCTTTGCGGTCTCGATTCTTGGTCGACCTCTTTTTCGCACCGGTCGATCCGTTTCGTGAGGCGGGTCCTTGGTATCTGCGGTTGGTTCAGTCTTCTCCGCTTCTTTGTGGATTGACCGTCGTTCGTGCGGACGCGGGTGCGGGTGCGGGCCTGGCGTGACTATAGCCTGGATCAACCCTCCCGATGCCGTGGGATTGGAGATGCCGGTCGGAATATCTTCTGCAGGTCGAGATTGGAGCTGGAGTTGGGCCTGGAACCCATCGCGACCAAGCTCGAGATAGGATCGGGCTGATAAAGTGTCCGAAAGCGGGAGGTCGGAATGTGAATGGCTGGATCCAGGCATCAGTCTGGTTGAGAAGCGAATCTAGCTTGTATTATACAGGATATTTCCCGAGAGGTGATTGATAGACAAGAAACATGAGAATGATTGAAGGGTGTAACTGTTGAGGCTCATGAATAATCGTAAGGTTCAAGGTTGGCAGTGGTGGATCAGTAATCAGATAAATCTTCGGCCTCGGCAGGCGTGACCCGCCAAGGATACACTTCTGCACGCCCCCTCAAATCTGAGTAAGTCTCCCCTCGTAACTAGTTAACTAACGTTAGTTATCAGGGATTATTATTAACTACTCCAGGGTCAGCTGCACAGTTTTTACTCGGCAGAGTCTAGCTTGAAGTGCCACCAAGCTTTATTTTGATTTGGCAGTCTGTGCCGGGAATCCGCTCAGACGAGGGCAATGCGAGGTGACGACAGAATACCACCAAGTCCCTGTGATCAGCTTGCGGAGAACGTGAGTCTACATATTCCGTCGGGGGCATAATCTCCGATCTCCATGAGGCCAGGCTGCAACCTTCAAGCTACACTTTGAAGGTTGCTTTGTTGTTGAACCACGGTAGTGGGTCTTGATGGAGCTTGACAGTATCTTCCCGGTCGCACTAGTGACGAACAAAGCAAATGAAGATGCAGCTGAACGGCCTCACCGATCGGACACAACCGATTCAGTTAGCCCAGACTCATGAAACGCCTCCATCAAAGCGTCGAAGCAACAAAAACAACGGACACGATTCCCCCACCGAGCAAAACCGGGAGCCGATCAGATCGGAGGTGGACTGCCAAACCCGCTTTCCAAGTCCGCGTCTGACTTCTCCGAGTCGCTCATTGGCCATCATCCTCATGGGATCATCCAGGCTCGGGCTCGCCTTTCCTTTCTCCCCTCCCCACCTGGTCCTGGTCCTTGTGCCTGTGGGAAACCTTCCTGCAACCGAGGCCCCAATCCTAAATGCAACTGGTCATCATTATTTCTTGTATATAATGACCCTCGTCCGCCTCGGGCTTCGCAACATGAGCATCCCCCGCCCCTCGACCCTCGCCACCTCGCGACCATGACCTATACCTTCGTCCTAGGCTTCGCGGCCTCGGCCGTGGTCCTCCTGATCATCCGCATGGTCTTGGCCTCATGGCAGCACTCACGCAAGGCCCGCGAGCTCGGCTGTGCCAGCTTGCCCTTGTTCCCTTGCAAGGATCCCATCGGTATCGATACGCTCAAGCAGTCGCTAGCTGCCGACAAGCAGAACCTCTTACCAGAGCTTTCGTCACGCCGCGTCGAGATCGTGAGTGAGCAAGAGGGCCGCTACGTTACCACCTACGTGTTGCGCAACCTTGGTCGCAACCTAGTGTTTACCATTGATCCCAAAAACATCCAGGCCGTTCTGGCCACTCAATTCAAAGACTTTGAGGTCGGTGAGGTGCGCCGTCATAGCATGCACCCATTGCTCGGTACTGGAATTGTGAGTCACATGAAATTCAATATTTTTTACCCCCATGTGACGATCAGTGGAGCCGATCTCTAACCCATGAGGTCTTATAGTTTACCGCCGATGGAGAGGAATGGTCCCGATCGCGTGGATTGCTGCGCCCCCAGTTTACTCGGGAGCAAATCAGTCAGCTTGAGCTGGAGGAGGAACATGTACAGAAAGCGATGCAGGCCCTGCCCGTTGCCGCGAACGGCTGGACCGCTCCGACCGATATCCAGACCATCTTCTTCCGTTTGACCATCGACTCCGCCACCGAGTTCCTATTCGGTGAAAGCGTGGAAAGCCAATTGGGTGCGCTTAAGGGGCTGCAGCGTCCGGAAGACTCCTTCGCGTACTACTTTGACAAGGCCCAGTGGGTCTGTGCCCAACGCAGCCGCTTCGAGAAGCTGGCCTTCGTCGTGAACAACAAGGAAACTCGGTACTCGGATAAACAAGTGCACGACTTTGTGGACCGCGTCGTGAGAAATGCCCTCATGACCGTAGACAACGGCAAGCGCCCCGTCGACGAGGAGAAAAATCAGCACTACGTATTCCTGGAGGCCCTGCTCTCCGTTACCCGTGACCCGATCGAGCTGCGCTCTCAGCTCCTCAACATCCTCCTCGCCGGTCGTGACACTACCGCCTCTCTGCTCAGCTGGACCGTCATGATGCTCGCACGCCACCCGGATACCTTCAAGAAGCTGCGCGAGACCATCATCGAGAACTTCGGCACCTATTCCAACCCGCAGAACATCACCTTCGCCACTCTCAAGTCTTGCCAGTACCTGCAATATTGCATGAACGAGTCCCTCCGCCTATTCCCCGTCGTTCCCTTCAACCGCCGCTCCGCCACCCGCGATACTACCATCCCTCGTGGCGGTGGCCCAGACGGCCAGTCCCCCGTGTATATCAAGAAGGGCCAGGCCGTCGTGTACAGTACCCACGTTATGCACCGTCGCAAGGATGTCTGGGGTCCGGATGCCGATGAGTTCAAGCCCGACCGCTGGTTGAACCGCAAGGTTGGCTGGGAGTATATTCCATTCAACGGTGGGCCACGTATCTGTATTGGACAGCAGTTCGCCCTCACCGAGGCTGGATACGTACTTGTTCGTCTGCTTCAGCGCTTCGACCAGATCGAGGATGTCAATGCCGACCGGAAGATTCGCTGGGGTATTACTTTGACCAGCTGCCCCGCGGATCTATTGACTGTCCGCATGCACCAGGCAGATGATGCTTAAGATCTTGATATTGGACATCAAGACCAGAATTTATATATTGTGAATACTTTTTTTGGACACCCCGGCGGATTTTTGATTACCCCGTTGCATTCTTATACTTGGGGCTTATAGCCATTTGCATTGGCCTTGTGTTGGCATCTCTGTGACAGCTACTTTATTTCGCTGCTCAGTAAACATATACTTGACCTGTGATACGACGATTACGATTTGCTATACATTGATGAATGTGCTTTATTTTTCCGAGCACAGTATTGGAAGGGTCCGTTGCCCCAGTGTAGTAGGCTCATAGGTAAAAATCAGAGCTGCAATTATCACAATGCTAAGCCTTGTTAAACATTTTGGGGCCAAAAATCCGTCCTATCTGAGATTAGACACCATTAACTTGGCTTAGTCCTCATGGCCTTGGTGGCAATCAACTGGATCATCCATCGTATCATTTTGCCCGTAGGTTTCCCCTTGGCTCATTTCAGGAAAGAAAAGAGAAAGTGGATAAGGCCTAGTCTCGCTTGCGTATTGAATTCCGCCTCCTCCACTGCTGTTGGCTTATCTACCGGGAGTCCAGCCTATCAAATGGTTGATTCGTTACAAGGTCCCATCGCCCATCCAAGCCACCCAACTGATTTATGTTTACCCCAGACTTTAACGCGCGATCTTCACAGTACCTATGCCCGGAGAAGTCTAAACGATTCTCGTTATCTTTCTCCGCTCACATGGTCGGAGTTTTACAAGTAACTCTCTCTAAGATACGGGCTCTGGTTACTCCTCTTTCCAACCCCGCTTATAAAGAGAGTCGTGGATCTACGAAATGGCCCACCACAGTATTTACCACCACCCCGGACTCCTTTGAGCGGGTATCTCTTTTATCAATTGACCCATAAATTCGGGAAATGCGACAAAATGAAGAAGTCAGAGGCCAACGCTGCTGAAGATGCTATCCAGCCCGAATCCGGCGCAGACTTTGCTGTCGGGGAGATGTCCGGCGATGTTAAACACGAGATGCAACTCAATACTGGTGGCCGAGGCGCCACTCAACGCCGTCTGCGCAATTACCAGGTTACTATGATCGGGTTCTGCAGCGGTATCGGTACTGGCCTGTTCATTGGAACTGGCGCTGCATATGCTAAAGCTGGCCCGGCCGGACTTTTCCTTGCTTACACCATAGTCGGATCAGTATTATGGTGTGTCATGCAAAGTATTGCCGAATTAGCCACTCTTTTTCCAACAGCTGGCTCCTTTCCTCACTGGGCAACTCGTTTTATTGATCCCGCTGTGGGATTCTCTTTAGCAATCTCATATGGCTATGTCTTCATGATTGCTATTGCCTCTGAAACATCAGCAGCCGCATTAGTGGTAGCCTACTGGACTGATCTCACTCCAGCCGTGGTCATCACGGTCAGTCTAACCTTGATCTTGGCTATTAACCTCATGAACGTCCGTTTCTACGGTGAAACAGAAGTTATCGGCAGTGTTATCAAGGTCACTTGTTTCCTCGGCCTGATCTTCGTGTCCATCGTCATCACGGCCCGCGACCGTATCGGCTTCCGCTACTGGAACGATCCTGGAGCATGGACAAATTATAATGGCATCGCAGGTCCTAAGGGATACTTCTTGGGATTCTTGTCTGCGTTCGTCAACGCGTCATTTAGCTTTATCGGTATTGAAACCGTCGTGATCACGGCTGCGGAATCGGTTAATCCAACTTACGCGATCCCAAAAGCTGCTCGCTATATTACCTACCGCATCGGATTCTTCTACATTCTCGGTTCACTCTTGATTAGTCTAACCGTAGACCCCAGAGATCCGAATCTTACCTCGGGAGCGGGTAATGCGAACAGCTCGCCGTTCGTTATTGCTATCAAAACCGCAGGCATCTCTGCCCTACCTTCTATTGTCAACGCCTGCATCCTCATTTCTGCTTGGTCCGCTGGAAACTCCTACTGCTGGGTCTCCTCTCGCATGGTTCTAGCAATGACCACGGACCGCCAACTACCACAGATCTTTGGCCGAGTCTCGAAGAAGGGTGTACCGTACGTGGCTGTGGTTACAGTTTGGCTGTTCGGGCCTCTTGCATATCTCAGTAAGTAACATTCATCCTCTACTACAGCCAATATTTTGCTAATAGAGTATGGTTAGGTCTTGGAAAAGGCGGCGCAGCGCAAGCCTTCACTTGGCTTCAAAACCTTAGTACCGTGTCTGGTCTGATAGCATGGGCCACACTTTGCTTCTGTTATGTCCGTTTCCATGCTGGTATGAAGACCCAAGGTGTCAGTCGCGACACCGTCCCTTGGAGGTCTCCCTTCCAACCGTATACGGCATGGTATGGGTTCATCGGGGCTACTACCATTACTTTCATTACCGGGTTCCATGTTTTCCTTAAGGGGAACTGGTCCGCATCGGGGTTTATTGCAGCGTATATCGGAATACCCATTTTCATTGTTCCTATCATTGGTTGGAAGTTATGGCACGGCACAAAGGTAAGATTAGTGGAAATCGTCAACTCATTTTGTTTAAGCCTTACTGATTCTCACTACTGCAGTTTGTCTCCGCTTCCCAGATGGACCTCTGGTCTGGTCGTCTTCAAGATGGGGAAATTGAGGAGCCTCCAACCCCAGACCCAAATCGGCCATTGTGGAAACGCGCTTTGGATCGTCTGGTCTGAAGATCTTGAGGGTATTATTGAACTGACAAATATCTGTCTATGAGGCTCAGCTGTCTTGTCCGCACGTACAGGAACTAGACTGGGAATACGCAGATATAGCTTACATCATTGGAGATTGAAGACGATTGAACAATAACTCATTCAAATATTTCATATCGTGCCTGTGTAGCCTATGTGAGCACCCATAATGCCATACTTCGCCGTTGGGTTATATGGCCGATTTAATCTATCTAGCCTGAATAACTATTTGAAATAATAAGATCTCTATCATTTTATTGAACATGAGAGGCAGTAATCCACTTGTCCAACTTCAAAGATGGTGCTCAGAAGGAAACTTCTATCAATTAAGGATCATTCTCATGGCACTCCTAATTAGAAACGTACATTATCAGTAACATATACTGCAATTGGTATCTGTATCATTCGTATTAAGCCCTTGTGTATAAAAATTGATGGTTTAAAACTGTGAAACAAGAGCTAGAAAGAAAGGCCCGGCTAGATACGCTTTAACCTCTTCTATTTCTAAAGATCTTTCGGGGCATCTTTCTAAATATCTTTCCTAGCGTCTTTCTAGACAGCCCCACCCGCAAGGTACGTTCCAACTCAGGTCTGGCATTATAGTCTCACAAAAGCTCTTTGTGGTGCCATGAGAATGATCCTAAATTAAACATGACTCAGAACATGCAGGATCTATATCAAGCTTAGGCTACTAATGTCCCGATAACTCTTTCTCAATGACAGTCATCTCATCAATAGGCTTCCGCAAGTTTTCTGGATACTCCAGATAAGAAGCACTTCCAAAAGGTCGCCGACCACGTCCAGTTCCACATCCAAAATAGTGAGACATCGTCGCCTTAACGCCCACTGCTCCAATTCTCATGAGTGCATCATCTGCGTGACTGAGTTTTGTTTGCAGTTCCCGGGCCTCTGCGATCTGACCATTTCTGAAATACTCGGAGACCTTCGCATGCACAAAGGGCCAGGCATTCGCGGATCCGACGATCGCTCCGTGCGTACCAATGACTAGAGCCGGGAGCAAAAAGTCGGATTTTCCAGCAAACCCGGCGAACTCTCCAGGTGCGAAAGAACATTGAATACGGTTCAGTTTGCCAACATCTCCACAGGTGAGTTTGACTCCAACGATGTTTTTGTGCTTTCTTCCAAGCTCAATGATTGTTTCAGAGCTGATATTGATACCACCGGTTACATCGGGGTAGTTATAAATCAAGATAGGCAAGGGAGATGCATCCGCTACCTAAATTTCGGATACAGCTTAGCTTTTAATCGGCGACTCCAATGGACATAGCTCGTACTTCTCCAAAGAAGGATTTCAAACCATCGGGGGACATCAAAGGCACCCAATAAGCTGGGGCCAACACCAGCGCATAGTCAGCACCGGCATTCTTGGCTTCCTCGATATGCAACAAAGTCTCGCGAACACTGAATGCACCGCATCCCACGATTATTGGCAGGTCTGGGTGACCAATCTCGACAAGATATTGGCGAACTCGCTTGACAAGCTCCTGTCGCTCGTCATGAAGCAAGTGCACTGCCTCGCCGTTACTACCCTGCAGCACAAGACCTGCAACGCCGCCTTTCACCACGTGGTGAATGTGTTTCAAAACACTGTCGTAGTCGATAGACTCGTCCTCATTGAAGTATGTCACTAGAGGAGGATAGATACCCGCCGGCGGTACGTGAGACATGGTGAGCAAAATTGGCTGGTAGAAAGAACGGATTGCGAGGGTAAGTTGGAAATGCGCAGAAGAATTTTAATCATTAAATTTTGCAAGATTTCCATGTTCCCGCTATTCGGGAGTATACTCCGAGATGGTGAGGAAAGCCCAGCCTTGGAGAGTTTGAATGGACCCGGAACTCTTTGAAGAGACGCGATCCCCGTTTCCGTCCCCACTCAACCGATCCCAACTTGCCACCATACCTCATGTGCCCCATGCGTCGCATGGCTGTTGGTAGCCGTAGACGGTGATTGCGTGTAAACCTTATCTCGGCCGACATACATTTGCTATCGCTGTCCAGCCGAGGTTAGTCTACTTTAGGGACCGAAATCCCCTCGTCTGGCTTTAAGGCTCACCAGGTGGTGTAGATTCATAATCTCTATCGCGGATGCCGCATCAAAGCTATATCAATCTAGGTTCTTTTAAGGGCTCAGGTGACTGGTAATCTCTTGACATACCCTGGGCAAGATGAGAGAAAAGGGGATGTTTGCTGATAATATTCGATTCGTGCGTCTATGATATTGATATCGGGATTCTTGTGATAAATCTAAACAATTCAGACATTCCCCATGTTTTGCAGTTCGTGGAATGCAGGAGGATGAAATAAATTATCTGTAGCTTTTCTTTACTTGTCGATCACCAGGTTTTAATTGCGGAGAACTTAGCTTTAGTTGAATACCTGAGAGTTGTCCTCATTGATTCGGCCGAGAAAAGTTACGCCTTTCATTGCTCGGTTGTGTTTTTAATAAAAGCAGAATCGTTCACCATCTTCTCATTCTCGTCATTTCAAAGGACATAAAACTCCGGTCCGAGATTCTTTATTCCATCGAGCCCTATCAAAATGTCCAGCACCAAGCTTACTGGTGCCACGATTGCGGAGCACAACTCTCGAGACTCCTGCTGGGTCATCGTACACGGAAAAGCCTACGATGTCACGGATTTTCTCAATGGTAAGATAGTGTTGAATTCGTCTGCACATTCAGTGGTAACGCTAATCAATGTCAACAGAACATCCGGGTGGGTCGAGAATAATCCTCAGATACGCAGGAAAAGACGCAACAGATGCATTCGACCCTGTCCACCCCCCAGATACCCTGAACATTTATCTTGACCCTTCTAAACATTTGGGTTATGTTGATATGGAGACCATCCAGAAGGAAGAGTCAGATGACCCCGAGAAAGCGCTCATTGAGCACCGAATCAAGCAGATGCCTCCCTTGGAGGCCTGTTACAATCTCATGGATTTCGAAACTGTGGCACGGGAGGTTATGCGAAAGACTTCATGGGCATACTACTCAAGCGGAGCAGATGATGAGATAGTAAGTGATTCCTGATAGACAATCAGATGGAATTCCAACTCACAAATTCATTAGACAATGCGCGAGAATCATTCAGCATTTCACAAAGTTTGGTTCAGACCCCGTGTGCTAGTGGATGTTGAATCGGTTGATATGTCGACTACTATGCTTGGTACCAAAGTTTCTATCCCGTTCTATGTCACGGCAACAGCACTCGGCAAATTGGGTCATCCAGAAGGCGAAGTGGTCCTCACAAAGGCTGCCTATGACCACGATGTCATCCACCTGTTCTTTTGATGAGATTGTGGACGCACGAGAAGGGGACCAAGTCCAATGGTTGCAACTTTATGTGAACAAGAACAGGGATATCACTGAGCGAATTGTGAGGCACGCAGAACAACGCGGTTGCAAGGCTGTATTTATCACCGTCGATGCCCCGCAGCTCGGTCGACGCGAGAAAGACATGCGCTCAAAGTTCTCTGATGTTGAATCCGACGTTCAGGCCTCGGGCGGGTCGTCGGTGGATAGATCGCAAGGAGCTGCTCGTGCGATTTCGTCTTTTATCGATCCTAGCCTTTCATGGAAGGACATTCCTTGGTTCAAATCTATCACCAAAATGCCTATCATACTCAAGGGTGTCCAGTGTGTTGACGATGTCCTGCGGGCTATTGATATTGGTGTCGACAGCGTTGTGATCTCGAACCACGGAGGTCGACAGCTTGATACAACCCCTTCGGCAATTGAAATTCTGGCAGAGGTAGCTCCTATCCTGCGAGCTCGGGGACTAGAGGGTCAAATCGAGATCTACATTGATGGAGGCATTCGCCGAGCTACCGACATAATCAAGGCACTTTGTCTTGGAGCAAAGGGTGTTGGTATTGGACGCCCCTTTCTCTATGCGATGTCTGCGTACGGCGCCAAGGGTGTCAGCCACGCTATGCAGCTACTGAAAGACGAAATGGAGATGAATATGCGGCTTATCGGGGCTGCATGCATCAAGGATTTGAATCCATCTCTTGTAGATACGCGAGGGCTTCTATCAGGTCACTCAGGTAGTGTACCGGTTGACAGTCTTTCTTTGCGCGCCTATGACTCGCTTCAAGGGCCACGATTCGGTGACAAGTCCAAACTCTAGTACTGTATGCGAGATTTCGATAGAATCTTGTCATGAATTTCAAAGATCGGTGATATTTGAACACATCATATAACTATAGATCCTAAGATAAATTGTAAACATACTGTCGTATAGATTGTCTATCTTTGGCTCTGTACTAGGTACAATATTCGTCGGTCAAGACTCAAGTGTTCAGATTTTGATCTTACTCGGGCGAAAGTTCAATCGGCCGTACGGCGTATTCGTGATTTAGCCTACGCTTATCATATTCCCGTTTGAGCCATACACAGGATCGCGCGGGGAATGAGGGGGTTGTGATCCACACGGGGGGTTCTCGGAGAACTAAATGTTGACGAATCTCCGTTCACGTGCCTTCACATCCCACCTTAATCGGCTCTTATCTTTTTGTTCTTTAATTACCGCGTGCTGCTATATTGTTTTTTAGGTGATAATTTTCCCATTTTGTCATTTCTGATAGTACCATATATGCGGTGCACAGATATCACAATGACCGGGGTTTCCAAGTTGACTACGCCGTGCTTCGATCCTGGGAAAATTCCAGCTGCTCCTAACGATCCTCTGTACAGCTTAGTGTCAGCATATGAAGCAGATACATCGGCTGATACAGTAGATTTGGGAGTTGGGGCCTATAGGGATGAAAATGCGAAGCCTTGGATTCTTCCGACTGTGCGAAAGGTAAGAACGATGGACCACACCAGGGTCGCATTCTACTAACATTTCTTAGGCCAAAGCTATATTGGAAAAAGACCCCAGGCATGACCATGAATACCTACCCATTGCTGGTCTTCCAACATTCAACTCCGCAGCTCAAAGCCTGATTCTGGGTGCAGATTCTGTTGCGATCAAGGAGAACCGGGTATAGTCAGTTGACTCTCCTCATTTCCGAGCACTGCCTAACAAAAGTTCTTTTCTAGGTCTGTTCTTTCCAAACTATCTCAGGAACTGGTGCTGTACACCTCGGTGCCCTTCTTATTTCGAAGTTTGCGCCACGACCGAGTCCAGATGTCTATATCTCGTCGCCATCTTGGCCAATTCATGACCAGGTCTTCACCAATGTCGGCCTTCCGGTCAAGCACTATCCCTATTTCCGCAAAGATACCAAAACATTTGACGTTAGCGGAATGACACAAACTCTCAATTCTGCACCGAAAGGCAGTATCGTCGTACTTCACGCTTGCGCCCACAATCCGACTGGAGTGGACCCGACGAGCGATGAGTGGATAGAGATAGCAAAGATTATGAAGGCCAACGAACTATTCCCTTTCTTCGACTGTGCCTATCAGGGCTTTGCCACTGGATATCTCTCCCAGGACAATTTTGCAGTTCGATACTTTGTTGAGCAAGGCTTCCAAATTGCAATCGCACAGTCATTTGCCAAAAACCTCGGTCTTTATGGTGAGCGGGCGGGCGCTTTCCACTTTGTTGCATCTCCTAGTTCAAACGCCTCATCGACGACGAACCGTGTCGCATCTCAACTTTCTATTCTCCAACGCTCTGAAATTTCCAGTCCGCCAATTTATGGTGCGCAGATTGCTTCCATCATTCTGAATGATCCACAACTGCTCAGCGAGTGGGAAACAGATCTATTGACTATGTCTGGGCGGATCAAGAAGATGAGAAAGTGCTTAAAGGAGGAACTCGACCGTCTACAGACTCCGGGCACATGGGATCATATTGTCAACCAGATCGGCATGTTTAGCTTTACTGGGCTATCTCCGGCACATGTGCATGAGCTACGGGAGAAGTGGCATGTTTACATGGCTGAAACAGGCAGGATCAGTGTGGCAGGTTTGAACGATCATAATGTGGCTTACTTTGCTCGGGCAGTTGATAATGTTGTACGGAGAGTGCTCTAGGCTTGTTGATAGCTCTCAATTTCTTTTTTTTTATATTTAGCCTCAGTCCTAATCATGATATACGTCGCACCATTTCACGATGCATTCGATTGAAATGCCCTAACTTGAAGAGAAAAACCTGTCATGAGGATCGACTCTCCGGCAATGAGGTGGACAATGCATTGTGAAGATTAGCTCATAAAAGCTCTTATAATACAGTCAAAATGAGACTCCAGGTTCGGTTAATCAATGCGAGCTCTTCAGAAATTGAATATCGCACTCGGAGCGCCAGATCTCATGCATGCCATACAAGTCGCGATGAGGTGACTCCGCGAATTGACCCTCGAGAGATGATATGATAAAAAAGTTGACATTGTACCACAATAAGATAACCCAACTTTATCCACTTTTGTCAATTCTTGCCCCCTCATGAGCTTATCGCTCGTGTCTCGACACCCCGGTGCTGGTAAGTAGAGATCACGGGTCGTTATCTCTGTGGCGCTGGGAGTTGACCCACCATCCCCGCCGCGGAGAATCCCAGAATACCGAGCACGTGAGCGGGCATGGAGTAAACGCAGGGCTTCCGATGAAATGTGGAGTAACAAGGCCATTGGAAAGCCTTCTAATATAGCTTCTGGGGTTCCAGTGGAAGAAAATTGCGTATTCTTGCTACTGCACCCTCCTGCAATACATCGCGGAAATGAACAAAGACAGCAAAGTTGTGGTTATCGGAGCTGGGATCTTTGGCCTTTCAACAGCCTACCAGCTCGCATCTGAGGGCTATCGTAACGTGGTCGTCGTCGACCGACACATGCCACCAGTAAGCTATTCACTCTCAGTATATAACGCACAGCATACTGATTACTCCAGGTCCCGGACGGATCCAGCTCTGATATTTCCCGTGTCATTCGATTTGACTATGCAGATGACGACTACCTCGAACTTGGCTACGAGGCCTACCTGAAATGGCGCGACAATCCCCGCTACAATGGCATTTTCTCCCCTGCTGAATATCTCTTGGTTGGCAAGACGAGCCCCTACGGGCAGGACTGGATCACGAAGACAACAGCTGCACTTGACCGGATGAAGTTGCCCTGGTACAAGCTTGAAAGTGCCGCTTCTACCAAGAAGCAGTTCCCTGTTCTAACTGGAGATCTTGCAAATCCTGGATTTTTCGGGTACAATAATCACCAAGCTGGTTGGGCGGACGCCGCTAAGGCTGTCGCTCAGCTCCGAGATGACTGCTTTGAACTCGGTGTTTCGTTCATTTGCGGTCGGGGAGGGACCGTAGTTGGATTTGAAACCGACTCTCACAAAACCATCAAGGTAGCTCGAACCCTTACTGGTACTCTCATTGAGGGTGACCACTTTGTGCTGTCGGCCGGGGCTTGGATGTCGGGCCTAGTTTCCTTGTATAATTCTACTCTATCGACCGCGCAGGTGCTGGGATACGTTCGGCTCACGCCGTCCGAGATGGAAAGGTACAAGAATCTGCCTATCTACTCCAACTTTTCGACCGGATGGTTCAACTTCCCACCACATGAAGACACCCAGACATTGAAGATGGCAATCCACGGATGGGGGTATACCCGCACACCCACCGCGGAGGACCTCAACACTAACAAGTCAAATATTTCGACGCCGCCATTGATCCCTCCCCGCGAGCGTCGCAACTTTGTCCCAGCCGATGCAGAGTCCCGTTTAAGAGCTGGTCTCCAAGAGATTCTACCTGAACTTGGAAACAGGCCCTTTGAGAAGCTAGCTATGTGTTGGTATACAGATACTCCAAGTGGAGACTTTGTCATGGATTGGCACCCTGACTATTCTAATCTGTTCATTGGAGGCGCCGGCAGTGGGCAGTAGGTGCTCCCCATAAGGTCTACCCTTCGATTCATATGCTAATTATACCATCCCAGTGCATTCAAATTCTTGCCGGTGCTTGGAAACTACTTGTCCTTGGCTCTCAAAGGACATTTGCCTGCTAAACTGGCTCAGAAGTGGCGGCTCCGAAAAGACTACGCAGCTGAGAATGACACATTCAAGGGGGACGGCAGCCGTGGTGGCCCAACCAGACGAGAGTTGGAGTCGCAGGAACGGGCAAAGCTGTAAATAGTAAACTTGAGCCCTCATTGACGTGTTTAAGTCACACTCTTTGCATTCATGTCTTGATTATGGTCACTGTAAAGCGACATCAATCTGGTCTTTTAATTAAATCGATTCATTATTCCAGCTATTACACCTTTTTGTCCACAAATAATGATATGGTGAGCAATCTGAACAATCTCTGTACAGATGAGAGGCGGCTAAAAGGAGGCAGGGGATATCTGATTACCAACGAGCACTAGTAGAAGGAGAAGAGTCTAGATTAGACGTCGACTCTTAGCATAGCCTATGACCTTAGGCTTCTCTATAATTAATATGGGGAGCTAAATATGGTAGAGGCGATGTGCCATTAACGCTACAGGAAGATCCTTACTCCAGCTCGTATGTCCGCTCTTAATATGATCCATAATCTTATGATTATAAGGACTAGGAGAAGCCAAAGGAGGTAGAGGAGATATTAGACCTAAGCTATAAGTCAATTCTCAGTGTAAATTATGATAGGACACGGCGAGTTATAGAAATTTAAGTAGGAAAAATACCACTACGATCGTAGTCATTTCCATCTCAGTCCCCGGTGCCCCTTCTCCTTCATCACAGAAATGATCTCATCCAATGAAGTTGGGAAAAGTTTTTGATAGGGAGAATCAGCAAGCTGGCTCCATTCGTACAACTTCCCACCTGAATATCACTTCACCACCAACCGGGTCGCACTTGGCGGGAACATACTTGCTGAGTTTGTATTCAACGCCGATCCGAGACTTCCAACTATTTTTGAGGGCCCAATCAGTCTCGCAGTCGAGTTCTTCTAGTTCCATTGACCATCCTAGTGGAGGGGTGGCCTAGAAGTCTTATGAGAATGACGGATCTGTGCGTACGTAGTTGGGTCCACGAACAGGAGGATTGGTAGTCGTCATGACAAGTCCTAGGATGTGGTCCTTGATGGAGGGTGTTGGGAAAGATTGAAGAATGTCTCGAGAGAGGAGTCAAGAGAGGCTACCTTCGATGGCTAGGGATATCAGACTTCAATTGTTCCTAACGAGCACATACGACCATAGGGTGTGGAGAACAGGGCTTCCCGTCCGCTCAGCCGTACTTAAGCCACACGCCGGCCAGTTAGTAGTATGGTGGGTGACCACATGCGAATCCTGGCTGTTGTATGTTTTTGTTGTTGTCTTTTTCTTCTTGTTTACAACAAAAAACATACGCCGCAACCCTAGGTTACGGTAAATTTGACGTTGAAAAGGGCTGCTCTTGACGCTGCTTTAAGCGTCGTTTTTACCTGAAACTTAGTAAACTATCACACATGTGATCTGTTTCTGCCCATCATTTCCGTATACTCCCAAAGTGACCACGGATTAGCGGCTCACCTTAACAGGGTATGCAATCAGTGATTTCGTCATACCCCGTTATTTGTGTTATCCGACTGTAGCCGTCAATTGCAAAGTAAGAAAGATTCTTTATGCGAGGCCCTCGACCGTACGGGGTTTTTAAGTCAGCTACCTGTACTCTTATGTTGATCGTCTAGCCCCACCGCCAAGAGGCCAATTTACTATCAGAGTACGTACAGTGATCTTGTAAGTTAATATCCCTAGCCCCAAACCTGAATATTACACAACATTATGCCGGTCAAAATATCCGCCCAGCACTAACAGGGAGCCATTATAGCATGCCCGAACTGCGAAAAAGTTCCTATTTGACCATGAAAATAGCGATGAATTCTGCATCAGGTTTTCAGCAAGTATCTCGCCTCCTTCGGGCGCCATAACCTGTGACTGAATGGCCATTTGAATAGGCGGAAGAGCCTCGGCACAGGCGATGTGGTGGGAGGGGTGTTACAGAGTCAGTCCAGTTCCAGAACATCAATATTCCTGGTAGAGTATCAATACTGTAACCTACTCTGCGTAAAATACGACTGTTGTTTCGTATCTGTATTAGCAATCCAGGGAACTAGAAATCCCTATAGCTATTCGGACAAGAAAGAAGCGATTTAGGCTAGATCACACGGTACACGTAGTGCTGGTTCTAGACCCTTGGACCAAACTAATCTATACAGTGGTCGTTCCTAAGTATTTGGAACATAGTGGTTCACTAGTTAATGATTAATTTTGGTGGTAGTATGTTCTCAGTACTTTTTCTGAACGCTGCCTGTATATCGGAAGATTAGGTGTTCTTAGGGTATGTCTGTGGGGCAAGTAAATTGCGTAATTTCATAACCTAGGTTAGTAAACTAACTTAACAGAGGGTTGTGGCATTAGTCATATAGCTATATTTGAGAAAAAATGACCCTCTGATTTTAACATAGAAGGCAATAACGCTCGCTTCTGTAGCTGTATGAACTACCGATCGATATCTAGGTTTGCTTGTGTGACATGGGAGGAACATGGGAGCTAAGATTATTTTGGTTAACTAGTGAGTTCGGTAACCTGATGGTGCCATCCGCTCTGCGGAACACCAAAACTATGGTTTGCTGGTAGGTTTGCCGGCAAGTCACCATGCACAGTTTACATAACTTTTTTATTCGATGCTTAATCTAGGCCTGGCTATTAGGAGTTGACTTGATATATCATTACCATGGTTTGCGAGGTAACCGGGCTTCGGTAAGAGCAATTGGTTCCAAGGCGTGACATCATTCAGCATCTTGAAAAAGATACATATATTCCTCCGCTGCCTCAATAGCAAAATTCTTGCTATTCAATCATATCTGATTACCCATTTTAGTGGTTAACAATGCCATTTGGCTCGCTCTCAGTATCTAACACCCCTATTCCACAATACGCTCCTCCGTATCCAGTGGATGGCAGCGACTATACAAGTGAAGCTGTCCTTACTGTTGCCTATCAAACATCGTTGCAATGTGTACGCCATCTCGTGCCGGACATGCTAGAACTGGAGGACGAGCCACAGGTATCAGTAATGATTTTGCAGCACAGAATGACCTCCTTCGGTCCATACAATGAGTATGTCCACTCAGTGAAAGTCAAATATAAGGGCGACGCGTTTGACTACTTTCTTTCCCTCATCCTGGACAATGACTCGCCAATTCTCTGCGGCCGCGAGCAGTTCGGCTTTCCTAAAAAACTAGGGAACGTGGCCTTATCTTTAGAGACTAAGTCGACGGTTGTTCACGGTTACGTGGAGAGACCCGTAGGTCAAAAGATCGTTGAAGTTGGCTTCCAGCCAGAACAAAAATTGAAGAGCACGGTTGATACAACGATCCATGGGTTAAATCTACGAGTCATCCCATCGGCGGTTCTGAATCAGAGCCCCTCCGTCAAGGAATTAGTTCCCGTTGACATCATTATGGAGGCAGCTGAAGTTTGGCAAGGCTCTGGTTCTGTCTGCTTCCCGGAACCATCAAGGTTCGATCCAATGCATGAAGTCAAAGTTCTTCGACACGGAGGGGCGACACTTTTGCGAAATGCATCCCTCACGATCCGCCTCCCTACAAAAGTGTTCCAGCTATAGTCATATTGTTGATGCTAGAGGCCTTACGCGATCATTTATTTGTGAAGAAAATTTGTCTAGCCAAGTGCTATGGGAAATATCTCAGGATAGGAAATAAGAAGACTTCTCTAGCTCACAGTCCCCTAAAGACTATACTCAGTTCGATGGAGACATCTCATAATATGAAGTTCCATCTTCTGAGAGGATTTGGGACACTGGAAACAGCCTCAACGTCGCAGCGGCCCTTGTGTCTCTGGGTTAATTAAGGTATCGGTAATCACAAATAACGATGCAGTGCCGCTCGCTTTTATCTTCCATGAGAGAAAACAGAGACACCGCTCCAAACCCTATTCATGTTACAATAATTCTAACATAGCATCTCCGTATTTGGAGACTTGTTCCAGAGTTGTACGGTAGCGGCGTTCTGTATAACGTCCAGAAACGATTAAGCAGTGTACTTTTATGTAATCGTACATACGGAGAAATATCCAAAAAATAATCCCCATACCAACCGTAGCTTTGTGTACTCTGTGTATTTAGATTACCCCATGCCTCTCTGGCAACCTTCCTTCTTTCCTCATGCTTAGTTATCTAGTTGAATACTACCACTTGCTGATCCCTTGTGCCTGAGTTGTAACAGAGATATGGCCATGAGCTCTTAGATTAACGCCTTAGTCTTCAGGCACCTGCCTTCACATGTTTTGTCGTAAAGAGTTCTCTCAGAGGCAGACGCAAAAAGTGACAAAGTGTCGTTAGCGCTGCTTTTGCTTTCACGTGTTGCTTAACGCCTAGCACGCACTATATTCCGAGAAGTGCTTAACGATAGTGTCAGACGCTGATTGGGCAGTGCGATGGGCAGGGGATTTCATCGTTTTATCCTGCAAAATCATACAGCTCAGCCCTTGGGGTCTCTTAGCTAGTCGCGACGAGTCTTGCTAGAAAGAGTGCGCGAGAGAGCTTAGACAATTGTAGAATACTATGCTTTCTGTTGAAATGGCTGACTTTTTGCATCCCCATGTTGCGATTCATTGAAATAGTGTAAATTTCTTGGTGTCAACGTTTAAACGGTGGAGTTAATCCTGCCGAGGCGGCGAGGGTTTAAACGACAAGTGTAGTCAAAGTGACTGTTTTCACTTCTCTAAACCTTCAATAAATTAAAGCTACTTATTTTCACTCGTCCGATGATAAATATGGCTATCTAAAATAATGAAAGGTGCGCGCTAGAGAGAATAAAATATGTGATGACTCGACCTCCTTGACCTCGACCTTTAACCTCGGTCGTTTGGTCGTGCAGTCCTCGTTTGTTCCTACATGTTTTACCATGTAGGTTTGCTGATTGCCAGGACCAGGCCTTTGTTCTTTGTCTTGTAGGCCTATATAGGGCTCTTTCTAAATAGACCAATTGACATCGTTCCCCCTTTTGCTTCCTTGCGCTGGTGTCAGAGGCAGCATCAATATGGAAAAGATTTGGTAGCGTACATCCGTGTTACGATAAAACAATAACATAGTGCGATACTATATAGTGATTTTGGCTCCGGGGTTATATCCGCTGATAGCGGATATAGTGGGCTTATTGGCTTACGTGAAGTATTGGGTGACCCAGGCTGATGTCTTTTTCAATCTGTACGTCCGCTAGATAAAGTCAGGTCTGGTAGAGGAACGGACAACCGTTATATTTACGACTTAGTCTCATCGTCGCGCCCGAGGACGGGATTCGCCTGGTCCGTCACTAAGCTTAACAAGCATCTACTAACTAGATATAATTGTAAGCGATAGAAAGGTCCGCATGTATCGGTCTATATGCGAGGAATACGGCCACTTGCTCGGGACCGTTATTTAAGAGCGTTATGAGATATTATACTAGTCAGGCAGAAGCCTGTTAATCTAAGAGGAGAAAAATATCAAAACAGATTATACAGGGAAGTTAGAGACTGTTTCTTGCGGTGTCGAAAACCTCCCCTTTATAGCTCAATTTATGTACAGCCTTCTTCCAAGCAGGAAACACGGTCCAACGCAAGTCAAGGGAAGAAGAACGAGGCTACGTAACCTCATAGAGGGGCCTTCCATGCGAGACTCACCCTATTGTTATAACGAAGGGCTAGTGATTCACTGCCGAAAAGCTCCCTGTTACCTATAATATACCCTGTCATTGTTACGAGTTGGAGGATCGAAGGGTTCCTACGAGCGAACTGGTCAATGAGGTTTGATGGAACTTGCTAGCCGGAAGTTTCCAAGCGTTTACAAAGGAGGAATTATCTGGAGATAGAACTTTTCCCTCTTCTTTCCCCTAGATTTAGTTGCCTTCGTTGAATGCACCGGTTTGAACCCCTTCATCTCGCCTGGCTGTAACAGTCATAAGGTTATTCACGTATTAGTGCCTCAGGCCAGCGAGGTCTCTTACACAACGGTAGCCTTTCGGTAGAGGTTCCCTGACCTTTCGGTATCAAAATCTCCTCTACAGGAGGGGCTCCTGCTCACGATTACCCAATCTCATGTTTATCCTTCTTGTTACCCTTCTTCCTGTTCTAGATAAGAGATTTTGTATAAATAAATTATAAAGAAGAGGTTTCTGCAAAAGGCTAGAGCCCGGTAGTAAATCATGTGCCATATCCCTAGGCGTTTTGGCAGGCAGAGGAGGTTACTGCCCTTGGCAGAAAGGGCATACTACCGTTTTCCTGGGGAAGCCGCAGCGAGTTTATAAACAGTATAACGGCATAGTACAATTGAATCAACTCTGCTCCAGCCCTTCACGGTTTCTCATACCTCAAGAAACAGTCTTTGACTTCTTTAATCTAACTTAGTAATTTTCTCCTACCTGATTAGCGGGCCTGTCCCCTGACTAGTAGAATATCCCTTTATATATAGGAAGGTAAAAGAAATCAATGTAATGACATGAGAGTACGTTATATCCGGTCTAAAGTAGTAAGTAGGGCGGTCAGCGTCTGAGGATCTCACACAACGGAGAGGCAACATAAGATCAAATAAGACGATCAGCCTGAGCATTAGGGTAAGCGATCAAGTTGCTTAGGGAGCTATTTATGTTCGCTCCATGAGCTGCTCAGGGCGGCGAGGTGGTGATTAACCTATTCTGTGTTCCGGAAGCCGATCATTTCCCGAGGTGGCTTTTTTACTGTCACCTGGATTACTAGAGCTACAAGAAATGTCACCACTCACAATATACGTTCCTAAAAGGTTTGGTTAGCCTTTAGAGATCCTTATGAACTGGCCAAGTATCGCTAAACTTTAAATCAAATTGAATGTAGATAGGCAAAATGTTGTCGTCACTAACGATGAACGGATTCGCAAAGATGACGTGTAAAATGTACTATACCGAGTTTAGACGTACCGCAGCAATGCTGGCTAAGGGCGAGGCTGCCTCGACGCATCAGATTTCCAATTGGCATCAAAATTCGGGGCTTCCGATCTGCTAGGCTGACTATAAGAATCAGCGACGATCGAAAAACCGGAAGTCCCGTTTTGTAAAGAATTCTTTGGTGTTATGGAGCAAAATGAAACAGGCAAAAAAGAGGTCGTGCCCGGGATCGAACCGGGATTGCCAGAATCAGAATCTGGAGTGATGACCATTACACTACACAACCTGATTTGATGAAGGCTGACTCCGTATTTGAACCTATGACCCAGATCTAAATGAAAATTCAAAACAAGTAGGCATACGCGGATTCCAAGTCAGAAGATGATGCCTAGTTTGTTTATCAGAGAAGAAACACCGATGTTTGTTTTTGATACTTCTACGCGGGTCTCTAGAAGATCCGGGACATTAAAAGGGAAAAAGAAAGAGCCGCGCCCGGGATTGCTAAAATTCTTAGATTCCGGTTCGATTACTCCAACCGGCCGATATGTCAAGCATTGTAGTAGGTGGACTTGTTTCCCTCCCTCTCAATCCCTAGGGTTTCGTTCTTCTTATGTTTCTATGTTTCTCGCTTCTTAAGAGGCTCTGGATATAAATATAATTCTTTCCTTGTTAGGGTTGGAATCTAGTCAACCCCTGTAAGCATTACGGAGTCTTAGATACACTCGAGTGGATTATATATCGAAGCGAACCTCTGGACCTGAACTTAATGATGTGATATTCTTAGAGTTTTCGGACTCGGAACACGAGTTTCATCTCAGCCCGACTAACATACTCGATAAGCTTATCCCAGAAGTAGGGTTTGCCTTACCTATAGCTCGAATACAGTACTCGGCTTTGGTGGACTTAGAATCAACAAAATGCGGGGGAAGCAGCCGCGTCCCCAACACGTGACTTATCCTATCTCCACAATGTAAATTCCCCCCCACGGATCCCGGTCCAAGTTCCGCTCTCCGCTCCACGCACCTGGCACTCGAAGGAATTCTAACAACCCGGAGTTATCTTAGAACAGGTGTTATTCTACGGCTGAATGTTGGATTCAGAGATCGGAGTGTAGCTTGCATCGGGTACAATGGAGCCAATCTCCGAGTCGCGTGAGCGAAGTAGGCAGGCTTGCGAAGCCTGTCGGTTAGTCTGTCCAGGCTTGACACCCCATGTTGACATGCCTTACTGATCATTGTGATTATAGCCGAAAGAAGACTAAATGTCCCGCAGAGCGACCCATATGCTCATTCTGTGAACGTCTCAATATTCCATGCTCATATCTTCCAAGAGAGTACTCAAAACCCTCCAGCGCCGCGCGGAAGGCTCCCAAGCCGTATGTCCCATCACCGCCATCAATCATCGCTCATCACGGCAGAAAAAGCTCATAGCCAGCCAGTAGGGACATGAAAGACCGCGTTAGAGTCCTTGAATCGCAAGTCAATGATCTTTATCGAGCTCTTCAGTACGCCTATGATCTACATAACACCCGGGGCCGTGTACCTACTAACTATTACAGGACTGCCACAGATCGCATTAGTGAAATGTCCCCCAATACCATCCACAATGGCCCACAAAGCTCGGTTGAGAGATCAAATATACTCAACGATGTATCAGCCCCCACTGTCGTCGTTCGATTTTCCATGTCTGAGTAAGTTCAATCCATACTCGATTTGAAGATTGGTTAGTAGGCTTGACGTATTCCTCCAGACCGGAGCCTCCAGCCGATGTAATTGAATACTTTGTCCAAGTTTATAGATTGGCTATACACTTCCAACCACTGCCTTTGCTATGCCTCGATGGCCTAGCAGAGTACCTGACTCGTGCACCCCGCTACCTTCGTTGGAGTTTCCTAGCTTTGACACTACGCATGTCTGGACATCAATTTTATGCCGGCGGTGATACGGAAGCAGCTGACTATTATGCACGTGGAGCCGAAGAAACTACATCCAGGCTAGCTGCCGAAGGTGTATCAAATGTGGACCTTATACAGTCACTGTGTTTGCTGGCGTTGACTCATATAAGAGGTATGTTCTAATAATCAACCTGGACAAAGGATAGACCTATGAAATACTTATTCTCAATGTCAGATCAGCGAACAGCACAAGCTTGGATGGTTACTGGCACTGCAGCTCGACTGGAGATGTTCCGGGTCATAACAAGAGACGAGATCGACGATTACACCAGTGAACCCAGCCGCAGGTGCTACTGGAGTGTGTTTATTTTGGAAAAAACATTGTTCCCTCAACACACAAGTCTTCAAGATACTAACAACACGATGGGCTATCTATCAAGCCGCCCGTTACCTCCATCGGTTTCACCTGAAAGGGCCATGGGCGATAACTTTGATATTTTGACGTCGGAAGAGAATGTCAAGGATCTTGGAATCAGTGCATATCTCATACAAATAATATCAATATGGGGAGACGTCGCTCTGCATTTGCATGAGACTCGATTGGGAAAATCAGAGACCCCCTGGTCGCCTCATTCGACCCACGCAAGGCTCATCATGAGGCTTCATGAATTTGAATCCCAAATACCGCAAAGTCATTTACTCCGAAACCTGTGCTTTTCAAGACGGTCGCGTGCTGAACTAGTTGAACATCACGAATACTGGATGCCTTGGATAATGATGCAAATAATCTCGCATTCCTCCTCGGCGATGGTCAACCATCCATTCATACATCTCGTTGCTCTCAAAGGGAGAAGTGGAATTTCTCACTCGTCGAATTTTCTCCAGCAAACAATCGATCAGGCCATCTTCCATTCAGGCTGGGTATTCCGTCTAGTACGAACATGCGAAGAGTTGGAGTTTGAACTCCATAACCCCCTCATTGGACATTTGGTAGCAGCTACGGCCACTATTCCTTGGATTTTCCAGTTTGCAAAAGACCAGCAAGTGTCTTCAAATGCAGATAGAGACTTGGGTACTTGCGCTCGATTCCTTAGTCGGGCTGCAACCACCTGGCCGTCGATTCCTCAGAAGGTATGTCTCCCAGAGTGTACGCAACTCCAAACCGACATGACAAGAAAATAACATTTGTTTTCAGTTTGATGCATTGAGAAACCTTCAGTCGGTCGCAGAAAGTGACCTGCGGAGTGGGCCCAGCGAACCCAGAACCATCAGATTTCAGCCATCAGTTCTGTGGAATCTTCTTGATCCCAAGTTTATCCGGTCCACGAAGCACAAACAGACTGCGCGCGAGGGAATTCTATCGCGAAGTGACTCAGGACAAGATACGCACATGCGTATTGCTACAAATTTCGTCCACCCACTAGTGGATGAACAATCTGAACAGCCTGTATTGTCTGATATCACGGCAGCATCGGCCTTCCCGGGCGTCGAAGAGCTCGAGCAATTGCCCATGAGTGAGCTCTTCACTCAATTCTCGTCGAATGACCTCAATTGGTTATATCCGTAGAGAGCTAGCATAAAAAGTCTCGAAATGAAACTTTAGTACAACATAATGGGTTCCTGTGGCTTGATGAAAATTCAAGCTGTCTTTATAATTTTGTGTGATCTGCTATGTAACACGGCAAGGCTGCGACGAATAGTAAATTTTGTTCTTGAATTGTGACTAGTAGCTTGCATTGAGTAATCTTAGGTGAAGCCGCAGCGGTTATTGTAGTAGAGGGACAGCACGAAGGCTAGCATGCTCTTTCAGCAGATTGCCGGGTTCAGCCTGCTTCCTGCTAATGCGGCCTCGAAGCCGTTACGGTTTCAGGTAGAATCGAATCTTGAGTCGGCCGAGAGGGCATATATCTGAAAAATTTAATTAAAATAGGTCGTCATGATGCAAAAAATGGCATGAAGCTGGATACTCCGGTACTGCTACCCCGACTATTGAGGATGGAGATTGTCCTATTGGACATTTGGCTTCCGAGGCCAGATCTGTATCATATAGGCTAGGTACCATTCGTGAAGAGAACTCCGGTGTAGTTGCATTATCTATGACTTATGCAGAAGGATATAGATACCACAAAGAGTTATATTTCTAATTCGATTCCATTTTGAATCGATATTGCCAATCTGACCTATCCGTGATGTAGATTACGGATGTTGGAACCACCTAAGAACGATTCGTCAGCTCGGTAGAAGAATTGTCAAGTAACACGGTCATCATCGTTTGCGATGAGTCAGATCTGTGTCATGTCACATGTTGTACCAGAGGTTCTCGAACAGTCTATGATAGAAGATACTGACTTCCTTCCGTACAGATATCCAGTTTGAGATGGATTCAGCCCGGAAGCCAACGTTTCACGGAGTTACCGGAGGGCTGCGGCCTTACCGACCCCACTAACCCCAGGTCCAGCCAATAGACTCGCACTATTCCGTGCAATCGTTAAAGACAAGTATTTGACATAATTACATGTTAATCGGAATACACGGCGTTGCTGAAGACTCCGATACGGATCTGTCGCATGAGTGGACTGATCGCCCCGTGTCGGCGATTATGATCTCAGGTAACACTGATAACTAATTTCTAGACCGGAGAGAATACACCACTCCCTTAGTGGCGAATTTAAATCAAAGTAATTTTACTTCAATCCATGAGAAGAGTAGATAGTTTTTAATCAGACCACATTCGAGCAGACGGTATTCATTGCAGTATTTTTCGATGGCCAGGAGATTGCTTCTTCATCCTTCTCTATCATAAGGGCGGGCAAAAAGGAACATATGAAGATCGCTTGCGTCCCATGGCCGTATATGTGGGTCTTATGTGCCCGGTTCACGATAATAACACCCGGAGGGTCAGGTATTGGCCTGTTTCCGGGGAAATGCGGGGTTAGTTACATGCTAAGGGATTTCATAGATCGAATATTATATAGCATTTAGGGGTGCCTGTATCCCTCAACTATGTTGAGACTGATTTCTAGTTAATTCTCTTTGCATTTCTTCCAAGTCCCCAATCCTTGAATCTTTCCCTTGATACTCTCAGAAATCGTCCTGATCCCAGACTAAAATCCACATTTTACGATGGCATCAGGGCAGGAAGAACCTGAATGGCTTGATTCTGAAGCAGAGAGAGGTGCGGCAGCCAGCATCTAGGAGGGTGAAGTTCAATATCGGACCATGGGTTGGTGGTAAGTACATCATCTAAGGCAAGAATAAGCTAATTCTAGATGGGAACGCTGACAGCTGGGCTTTAAACACAGGCAATGCGGAATATGTAATTTTACCTCATTACACGTCCATCTCTCACAGCGACATACTAACCTGTCACTTCTAGTGATGATAGCCGAGAATATTTCCCCGGGAATCTTGTCTTTCCCATCGGCCGTTGCAACATGAGGGATGGTGCCGTAAGTATTAAATCTCGGCTTTCCATAAACAGTATCCAACACTTATTTTTGTCAGAGCCGCCGCCATTCTAGTCTTCTTGTCTGTATTATCATGGTACACCGGTTTTCTAATGGGACAGTTCAAAGTACGTTACCCGCAAGTACACAGCATGGCCGATGCAGGAGGAATTATATGGGGACCCATTGGTAGAGAGATTGTGGGAATTGGCCAACTTATTCTGCTTGTCTTTTTCAGATCAAGCCACATCCTCACATTCAGCATTCTTTTGAATGTCCTCACCGGCCATGCAACATGCAGCATTGTCTTCCGGGTTGTTGGGTTGGTTATCAGTTCCTTGATGGCCTTGCCAAGGACAATGGAGAAAGTCTTTTGGTTTGCGATAACATGTAAGTCTGCCTTTAGAAGTTTCCTTACATCCACTGACGCGTTTATAGCATTTATCAGCATTTTTACTGCAACGGTAGTCTTGATGGTTTCCGTTGGCGTGGAGGCTAAATTTCCGATACAAAATGACACTGCTAGAAAGGCCAGTTTCTACAAGGCATTCCTGGCCGTAACAAACATTATTTCGCTTACAGTCAGTTACTCTTCCTCCAACAAGAAAATTATTTCCCCCTCTTTTTTTACAAATTGGCTAACCGAATCATAAAGTTGCACACGTTGCCTATTTCGGGTTCATCTCAGAGACCAAACAGCCGCGAGACTACCCCAAGTCGCTTGCATTTCTTCACATCGTCGAAACTACCCTCTACCTAGTCAGTGCATTGGTCATCTATCACTTTGTGGGACCGAACGTGAAGTCTCCTGCCCTGTCCTCGGCTGGACCGATCATGAGGAAATTTTGCTATGGCATTGCCATTCCTACTGTGAGATTCTCTATATCACATGAACCCATAGTGTCTATCTGACGAGTCCTAGGTCTTGATTGCCGGTATCATTGCAGGCCACGTTGCCTGTAAGAACATTTACATCCGTCTGTTCCGGGGTTCGGACCATTTGCATAAACGCAGTGTTTTGTCCGTTGGTTCATGGATTGGTATTGCGTTGACGCTATGGGTTGTTGCATGGGTTATTGCGGAGTTTATTCCGAGTTTCAATGATCTGCTGAGTTTGATCGTAAGTCGGAGACTCTCATATGCACCGCTTTTCGTTGCTGATTGATATGTGCAAAGTTCCCTCTTTGGTAGTGTCTTCAGTTGTGAGTTCATCAAACTTTTGTCCTTTGATTGCTCGATTTACTTACCATCCTAGACATCCTGCCGTGTTCTGGCTGCACCTGAATAAGGGTCGCTACTTTTCTACGCGTTCCAAGAGCGCATTGACAATTATCAATGTTGGGGTGCTAGCTATTGGATTCACCATCGTATGTGACATTTCTTCCTGATATAATACTCTACCCGGTATGCTACTGACACGAATGGTCTAGTGTGGTCTGGGACTATACGTCTCTGGAAGATCAATCAACGAGAGCACGACCAATCACAGTTGGTCATGCGCTGAAAACTCTAAATTCTAGGCAGCGTGGCTTAACTAGTTGAGATGCTGCCATACCCTCCATTTGTTCTATACCCCTACTCCTCGATTATTATCCCAGAATGTAGATTCTAGATAACGACTACCTAGAATTGCAATATGACGTTGACTGAGCTCTTGATGATAGACGACCTTTCGCGTAGCTCGAGGTATAGCCAGGGATGACCGGTTCAAGGAAATAGCTTGGTATTTTTATCAACTATATGGCATAGTGAGCTCCTCAGTTGGTTGAAAGTTGATTGAAGAAATATATGAAAGGTGAAGAAGTAGAAGTAGTAGAATCGAAGTTAGAAGTATACAAGCGAAGACCTAGGCCTTTCACGAAGAAGAAAAATCACCAAACGGAACCCATCGAGCTATATGCAAATCCCCTTTTAATCAAGCCTCTAGATCTCACTCAAGCAATCGCTCTTTACAAGCACTGGTAGTAGTAAGGGTTCTGCACAACGCAGGTGTAACCGCTCTCGCAGGCAGTGGCGCCGGTCCAGTTAATACCACCGCACTGGTAGTAGTGAGCAACGGTGCCGCCGGTGGAGGCGGAGGAAGCGGCAGTGGTGGTAGTGGATGCAGACTTGGTGGTCGAGGGCTTGCTGACCAGGGTGGTGGTCTGGACGGCGGCGGGGGCGGTGGTAGAGGTGGTAGAGGAGGTGGTGGCAGGGCTGGAGACTTCGACCTGGCCGTTGGGAGTGGTGGTGACCTCGACGGCGGCGGTGGTAGAGGTAGAGGTAGAAGTAGTGGTGTGCTGGGCAGCAGCGGTGGTGGTGGTGCTAGTGGTGGCCTTGGCGGTGGTGGTAGTAGAGGAGGAGGAGGAGGAAGAGGAAGAAGAGCCGCTCACGAAGTACTTCTCCAGGATGGGCAGGTAGGTCGAGTAGGCGGGACCGTCAGTAGGCTCGAGCGAGTACATGTAAGATCCCCACCAGGGACCGGCGGACCACCACTCGGCACCCATCCAGACGTCCGAGTTGTCGGACATGTAGGAGAGCATGCCCTCGACGGCGGTCTCGCAAACGGAGTTGACACCACCAGCGAACTCGCCGATGAAGCCCTTCTTGCCGTTGTCCTTCAGCCAGGTGGTGGCGGACTCGAGGCGCTCCTGGCCGATGGTGCTGCTAACACAGGTCTCGGAGGTACCGGAGCTGTCAGAGTCGAGGTACTGGTGCATCTCGTAGACGATCTTGTCCTCGGTATCGGTCAGACCGCTCAAGTTGTCGTTGTTGCTGGTCCAGGACCAGGCGCCGGAATAGGCGTTACCCTCGACGAAGATGTACTGGCTGGTGGCGCCGGCAGCACGAATACCGTTGATAGCGGCCTGGTTCAGGTTGAGAACAAGGGTCTGATCCATGTCGTGGTACTCGTTGTCTAGGGTATTGTGTTAGTTTATCAGTGAATGGTGTGAAACAATGGATTGAAGCTTACTGGTATCGAAGATGACCTTGTCGTTGGAAGCGAACTCGGTAGCGACGTTCTTCCACCAAGTCTCGAAGTCGGAGGTGGAACTGATGATACTGCCAGAGCTGTTTCAGAGGTCAATATCACGCTCCCGAGTATAAACAGAAAAGGATGGGGTCTCGTACTATCGGCCATAGTTGTGGGGGTCAAGGACGGCATAGGCACCGCTCTCAGTGATGTAGTTGACAGTCTAGAATGGAAAAAAAAACAGGGAGGTCAGTATATGCTTGAGGTTTTTCACAGGAATTCATCTTGAAGCCGTCACGTACAGACTTGAGAGCAGCCAGATAGGTGGCGTCCAGGCTGCCGGTGATGCTGCTGGGCACAAGGCGCTCCATCAGGAAGGGAACACGGAAGATGTTCATGCCAGCATCGCGGAGGACCTGGATCTTGGAGGTCACAGGCCAGGTGTAGTCAGTTCCCAGGGTACCGGGGATGGCAGAACCAAACTCGGCACCAGACTCACTGACACCGACCCCTACTTGCCATTAGTCTCAGGCTCATTATTATGTAGCAATTGCATGAATATCCGAGGGGGAATCTCACAGGTGAAGCCAGTAGCACGCTTCTTCTCAACGCTGCGCTTCTCGGGAACAACGTCACGGCCACGGGGGTAAGCAACGGCCATGCCAGCAGCGCTAGCGGCCAGAACCATGTTAGTGAACTTCATTTTGAAGGATAGTTAAAAGAGAGAATGACTGTCGAGTTTGTCGAACGAAAGAATGTGATGCCCAATGGGGTGTAGAAAAAAAAAGAAGGGAAAGATCAAGAAACCAGTCTCGATGCTTAAGGAAAGGAATGTTAACAAAGTAGAAAACAGAAGAAGAAGACGAGAGGCTTTAAGGTCTCACGTATTATATAGCTCGACATATTGGGAGAGAGGGGGTGGGCGTCAAACAGGGTCGACCATTGGGTTCGGTTAAGACTAGCGAAGCATCTGATACACGGAGTGGGTTCGTCGTTCGAGGCCTCCTCTGATAGAATGGCACCTTCGACTTGTCCTGGAATCCTAGATTAAGGGTTAGTGGAGGCTAAGCCTGCGAGCAATTAAGAAGCGGATAGTTCCTCCGGGAGTCCGGGTTGATCTACTGGGTGAGCATTGGCGATGGCTTCAGGACCACTGGATCCGGCATGAACGGGCTGGAACGGTCCTGATCTGGCCATAGGTTAATCTAACTTTCATTGCCTCGTTACCCGATGAAGTTAGTGAATGAGTAGTTTAGCCAGAAAATATTAGGCTAGCCCGGGGATCATTGGATCAGGACCATGGTGGGCAGGCCGTTAGAACGGTGATGATGGCGGCGTCCGAAAGTGTGGAGTCGACTTGGTTTGACGCAGGGCCCACATGGGTTCAGGGTGATTCCACGAAGCGCCGTATAGAACCACTGGTTTCTAGTCATAAGTGGAAGAATGCCAGGAAATTATTCCGGTCCAGGGGCAGTGGGCTCTCGGCGTTTCTCTTGTTAGGGAAGAGGCCGAGACACAAGGAGAGAGAAAAGGTACCGGGTAGATGAACAAATTGTTAAGCTGAAACATGGCGGACCGTTTAGCATGACGGTCGGTAAATAGTTCAATCGCGCTTAGCCTGAATGGGTTCGGAGGCTCCTTTGCGAACGAGTATGGATCCTACACCTCATATAAAATGTCCATGACAGGGTAAGCATATATAATCTGTGTAAATAATCAGGATAAGTGGAGTTGATATCAATTACACTGCTTGGAAGCGAGCCTCCCAAGTCTAGATATAACAAAGCAGGCAGCAAGGAATCGACATCCCTTATGGGTTCCTCCCCCCCCTTTTGTACCCCTCGAATCCTCCCATGCGCTGTTTGTTTCATCATGGTCATAATACGTCAGAGTCTAGATTTGAGCCACGGTCGCTGCAGGGGTGATCGGTCGTGGCCGGCTAATTGCTATTGTTCAACGTGGAACTCAAAAGACCGATCGCCTTGTCCGATGGGCACGGCCTTGGCGTTATTATCATAAAGGGTCCGTTCAAAATACCGAACTCGACCATCGGGCCGAGCCAAAAGTATAGTTTGCTTCTGAGTCCCATACGGCCCGGAGGAATAGTTTTGGTCCAGGGGCCCGTTGACCTGAGGCTGCTTCATTTCGTCCTCCACGCGGGTGGCTGCGGTACCTTCGGCCACTTTATTGACATCGTCCTCGGCCCCAATGATTGGTACGAAGATACTTTTCCGTAGCTGTTGGATATAAGTCTCGACGCTGGTTCCTTCGGGTAGTCGCGGCAAGGTGTCGGTGCTGAGTACCCCAAGGAGTCGCTGCAGGAGGGTATCTTCATCTTCTTGGGCTTGTACATGGTCCTCAATAGCACGTTGCATGAGATTCTCTCCATCCAGAATCTTCGGCCACGTTCGGTCATCGACACTGGTGTTGCTCAGCCCACGGGTTTGGTTCTTCTCGGCGGCTACCCAGGTGATATGGTCCATGTCGGACGAACGGTTGGAGACAATGGCCAGGGGTTCGTTGACGTGGCCACACACTAGACTAAACCCTCCGACTTGCTTGGCTTCGGGGCTGGCGACCATCTCCTGCACAAAGTCGTGGGTGGTCTGACCCTCGCTCGGAGAACTGGTGAGCCAGCTGTTGACAATCCGGCCTCGGCTGTGGACCCCGACTGCTTGGGCGCTTTTATCTTCACGATAGTTGGTGAGTACGGCTACTTTGCCATGCTTGGTGACTCCCATCCAGGTGCCATGCGTGGCTCGCGCCAAGTCGCGTGAGCCGAGGACATGCGATGCAGGCTCCGGCCACCAGTCCGGCGACGAGGTCGGTCGTCGAAGGAATTCCTAATCGCAATTAGTCGATGTAACCGGAATTGACAATCATACATCACTTACATCTCTATTGTCAATGATGATCAACGAATAGGCAGGGTGGGCGGTTGAGATCAGCGCGATACACATTGTGTAGTCCCGAGGTTCTTGGAAGCGGGGAAGGGTAAAACTGGGCGGAGATGCGCAGAACACAATCTTGAGGAATTGTAGTACGGTTCACAATTCTAGGAAATTGCGAACTGTAACTGAGCTTAGCAAGTGAAAGAAAAGAAAACGGTAGCGATCATGTAAGCGCCTTGGGCATCGGGTGTTTTGGCCGATTATCGAGAGCCGCAGCCAGTAAGCCAGTAGGAAGTGGCACGTCGATCTTGAAGTTGGTTGCACCGAGGCAAGATTAAGAGGGGTTGACAATGATAAACCTTCTAGGGGTTCGAGGTTTATGGTTCAATTCTTAGAGATTACTCCGCAGACGGCTACGAAGTACTCTATGTTAGTGTAGGAGACGAACAGAACCGACTCCTCGCGTGACGTCAAGACGAGCCGTTGATCGGAGGAAGCATGACCGCCCGCGAGAGAGAGGGACGGGGCTGATCGCAGATCTCCACAGCTCAGCTACCATCATCTCATCCTCTGTTTCTCTGTTTCTTTTTGCCAGGTTCTTCTTTCTCTAGACTTCTTAGAGCTTGCAAGAAAATCTATGCCGATGTTTCAGAACACCCGGCCCCACCCTATTTAAAACTGTGCAGCCCTTCAACCACCGCGTTGGAGAGAGCTGCCTGATCTCCCACCGCTAATTGTCGACCCCTCTTGATCTTCTCTATCCTAGATCTCCTCCTCCCTACACTCCTCCACCCATCATGTTCGGTATCTTTGCGGACTTGTTGTCGTAAGTGGCCTTTTCAAGCATCTTCATTGAATTATCCGTTTGCAAGTGATCCAGTTACTAACCACCATCTCTATAGCTCCGTGATCACCATCCTATTCCCCATCTTCGCTTCCTACAAGGCCCTCCGCTCCGCCGATCCATCTCAACTGGCACCATGGCTGATGTACTGGGTGGTACTGTCCGTCGTGCTGTTGGTGGAATCTTGGACAGTATTTATCATCGGATGGTATAGCTTTGCCGACTACCTACTTAGTCCTGATCACAGGCTGCTTCGGAAGCTAACCGCAATTCTCTCTTCCTAGGTTCCCCTTCTATAGCTGGATCCGCCTCTTTTTCATGTGCTATCTCGTTCTACCGCAGACTCAGGGAGCTCGCCTGCTCTACCAAGACTACATTGATCCATTCTTGACCCACCACGAACGCGAGATCGAGGAGTTTATCGGTCGGTCGCACGAGCAGGCCAAGGCATTGGGGTTGCAATACTTCTACAAAGCTATCGACTTGATCCGGGAGAAGGTTATGGGTCTTCCCCCACAACAGCCAGCGCCACCACCACCCTCCGGGCCCGCTGCCTATGCTCAATCCTTGCTCTCAAGATTCAATATCCCAACTGTCGGTGCTCCAGCTGCGCCCGGCGCACCTACTGGCGCACCCGCGGCTGCCAACGATTGGTACTCGATCCTCGGCTCTGCCCTGGGATCCGTCGCTTCGGCAGGCAAGCCCCGCGAAGCACACGAGGAGGAGCTATCAGCCAGCGGCACCCTTCTCCAGCGCAAGTTGGATACTATGTCCGGCCCTGAGAAGGCCAGTTATATCTCCCGACAGCGGGAGGTGCTGGATTTCCTGCGCTCGACTCTGAGTCGTGAGGAACAAGCGATGGGTCGGAATGATGCCGAGAACGACGATCTTGCCTACGGTGCTCCGCTACGAAAGGATCTCAGCGAGACCTCATTCGATGTAGTCGACGACGAGGATTTGGGGAGCCGCAGTGGCGCCCGGCGGACGAGCAGCCGGTGGACATCGGGCTGGCTGGGTAACGAGCATGACTCGTCGGGCTCATCAGGCACCGACCACGCTGCTCGGACATCCGGATATGAACGATACTAACTTTGTATTTGTTTTTGGCTCTTGGGTAGAGGATGATATGAATACAATTTCTAAAAACGGATGCACATTTCAATTTACCCAGATACAGATACCAAGCTTGGAAATGAGAAATAAGAAACCAAGACCTGCACCTTGTCATCAGGATACGTAGAACGAGCCTCATTACCCCCGGAAAGGACGGGTTTAACGTACGGAGTTTATGAGATAACGCCATTTGCTATCGAGGAGCGCAGAGGCCCTCTCGCCTCGTCCCACCATACTTGCTTGTACATTATCGCCTTTACACAGCCTGGGGATTCCCTCGGGACTAGCGAATAGCGAGCAGTGGACTCGAGACTAATGACTGGGCAAATGATATACCTCACATCTTGCATTTTTGATAGTTATAACCGAATCAAACCGGTCCGATCAAGGGGGAAACCCGTATCATAGCCTGCGGTGGGAATCGCATGAGGTGTTATCTGGATTTACTTCCAGTTGAAGTCAGCAACTGATCCTGCCCGGTTGTCTAGTGGTTTACCGCTAGGTGACTAGTAGCCACTTCGGTGGGTTCGGCGACGTAACTGCTCTATGGAGCAGGTGCGGACGCCGGCGGGTGAAGTTTTTCTAAGTCTAACTACCCTACAGGATTTATCCCTTTTATTATCTTTCTTATTGTACCTTATTTATATCATTTTAATCACTGAATTCTATAAAATTCATGATCTTTATTTAAAGGATTAAAAAGGTGATCTGGTGGTTGTATAGTGTGTTGTTTATTGGGTGCGGTATGGATATGAAGTCGCGGGCTGTACATGAAGCATCGTCATGAAGTACATAGGGAGCGAGAGGCTGCGGGTTCGATTCATGGCGAGGGCGACTTTTTCATTTTGCGCATGATCTGCATGTCGAGAAAGTTCGCGCAGCTGCAAGGCGGGATTCGGGAAGAATCGAAATGTCGATCTTAGGAATGTACGGAAGTGATATTATTCAGTGAGTCCTCCAAGTACTACTAATAATGGATCATCCCTTTCGAAGGAATAATTACCAAGGGGAGGACCGTATCCCTTGGACAATGGAATCTCCATATAGATCCGCGGCTAAGAACTAGTCCTAGAATGGCCGTATAGTCCCATCTGGCATACGCCCATGAATCATGCACTACTCCTAGTCTCTTTGAAGTGGGCAATTTGAGTCATACCGGCTTAAAAATGCATCGGACACGAACAAAAAGTACAACAAGTCGACCAAGTAGGCTTAGTCTCTGAGTCGGAGTATACTCGACCATAGGATACTGACTACTAACCAGTAACGAATTTATCTCCCCATGAAGCTAACTCGTAACTGAATACACTGAAGCGTATGACCTATTCATTAATCGTGACTATACCGTAGTTGTAAGTAACAGCTAGCTAGCTATCGTGGCAAAACGGAGCCACATTGGGGGGGACAACCAGAGATCCACTTCATTGTTCTCTCCGGATTGTCAATCCAGTATGGAGTCCTCCGAGTCCAAAGGGGGAAATCTCCAGGTATAGATACTGTAGAAGATAGCTTCGAGAGGAATTTCTTCTCAACTCTCATCTAAACCAACCATTTTGTGTGCATGCTATTTCGCCTTCTTCAGGCGTCTCTGATCAACCCCGGGCAACTTCGCCGATGTCATTGTGGCGGCGCTGTTTGTCGATACAGTAAAACCACAATCGTTCTTTTTTCCCGACCATCAAACGATCTTCGTTTTTCTCTCCCCCGATTTTTCCTTCTCAAGTCCAATCTTTTGAGAAAGGACTTGTCTTCTCCAAATCCAAACTTTCGTCGTTGGTGAGTTCGTTGCCTTGGAAGAGAAAAACGTTGCTTCTTTTCTTCCCGAAGACTTTTTCTCTCCCACCGAAACAACTTTTTTCCTGCAGTGGATTTTTTTCCCTTCCCACACACCCCAAACTTGGATTATTCCACCCACCAACCCTCTCATCCTTCTTCTCCGGTACACGCGCTGCATCTCCCGCTGCTGCCCCCGGTCTTGTCATCTCATTCACTTGATTTGACTCTCCCCTCTAACTCTGGGATTTTCCTTTTCTCCGCAGATCCTCAGGTTTTGGATGTGGCCTCGTCAAGCCCCGTCCGCAACTTGACATCTCAACGTCCCTCCATCGAGAACCCTCTCCCGGCGACACTCCCCTCGTCCGACCTCCCCCCAAAAAAGTTTTCCTTCGAGTCCTCTCCTCTGCGCGTTTGACGTGGATACCACCTGTCTAATGACCTCGAACCCTCCTCAGTCGGGCGTTCAACCAGGACAGAGCACCGCTACCTCCGCCTCCAACCCGTCCGTTACTTCATCTACCCCCTTGGCTGCGACGGCCAAGTCCTACGCCAGCGCCACGAAGAAGTCCACCACGGACTCCTCCGCTGCTCCCGTCACCGTGGGTGGCTCGGCGCAACATGGGAAGTCGACTTCCGCATCTCCAGTGAACGGAAAACCCATGCAATCTCAAAACTCCCAGCAGCAGGCTCAGTCTGGGGTCACCATTGTCAATGGTGCTCCTACAGCCCCTGCCGCTGCTCAGAATGACCACTCTCGCAAGCCTTCTGTGACCATCACCTCTGCCGGTGCTTCGGGATACATGCCCAACGGTGGCCCTGCCAGCCGGCCCAACTCTCTTCAGTTCGGCTTCGCCAACCAGCAGAGCTCCCCCAACATGGGTAACCCAGCTGTGCTCGCTTCCACCCAGGCCCAGTCTGGCCTGGGTGCCCCTTCCACCAACCCCCGCGTGACTTCGCCTCAGACCTCCCCGTCGCCTATCCCACAACCCGCCTCCAGCGGTGGTCGTCCCCCACCTTCGACCTACCAGGCACAGGGCAACGTTCCTAACTTTGGCAGCTTTGGAGAGAATACTGGTGATAACAACGTAAGTGAAATTTCTTGTTGATTATATTTCGTTGCGCTGGTTGTGGGTGCATCTGGAGTTTTTTTTTATATTTTTTTGAGGGGTCAGAACTGAAGTTGTGTGGTGATGTGCCGTGGCGCATGTGAAGCGCGCGGGAAACGGGAACGGCAACGCGACCGCGCATCATTCCTCCTATCTTTTTTTTTGATCTTCCCAACCTTTTTTTTGTTGCTTCTGCACCTCCCCCTCTCCCCCACTCTTCTTCAACTGCATGCTCACATAGATGCGTCCGTCATTACAGGCCCCTCTCGGCCCCGGCCAGCAGCACGTTCGTCGCGAGTCCTCCCAGTCCACTCACAGTGATATGAGCAACCATATGGGTAGTGGTCCTGGCCGTGGTGGCTACCCTCACCAGGGTGGCCGCGGTCGCGGATACTCCCAGTCTGGATACCAAGGTGGACAGATGCCCTACTCACCAGGCCCGAACTTCCGCCAGACGCCTAACCAGCCTCGCGGTGGTCCCAACATGGGTCCTCAGTTCCATGGCCCTAACCAGGGCCGGCCGATGCCTCCCTTCCCCAACTCGCCACACCAAGCGAACCGAAGCCCGGCGCTCGCCAACGCGCATCCCACCACTCCCCAGATGAACCAAGTTCCCATGGCCCACCCGCAGATGCCTCCCCAGCCCTACCCCGGCTACGGACAGCACATGGGCCCCCAAACTGTGAGAAACCCACCCTACTCCCATCCAAACAAACCCGCCCGGCGTGGCAACTATCGCAACCAACGCGGCCATGGCAATAACCAGAGCCAATCCAGCCACCGTGGCAATCATGGTGACTATGGCAGCTTTGGCAGACTCCGTGGAAACAGCCGCCCCCCTGTGGTTCCCCCTACAGTTCCCATGCCTTTACCAGATCTCGCTCCGGAGAGCGGTCAGTTTGAACAATGTCTAACATGGGTCAAAAATAATCAGGGCTACCCTCCGAGTTACGATCCCAACTACGGCTTCTATCCAGGTGGTTATAACATGCAGAACATGCAGTACATGACCCCTCCTTCGCCGCAACCTCGTCCTGGCATGCCCTACAACCCGCAGGCCCCCTACATCCAGCAGCAATACCCCGTCCAGCCTCCTCCCCAGTCGACCCCGCTCTCTCGCACCCCGTCGCAAGTATCGACTGACCGTCCTGGCTCGAGCCTTGGTCAACCCGCCCCTGCTGGTGCTGCCGGCGCTGGTCACACTCACACTGGTAGCAGATCCTCGAACAGCCCCGTCCCCGCGAAGCCTCACTTCGTCATTCCCTCTGCCAAGAAGAGTCCTATCATCATCAAGGACCCTAACAGCGGCAGCGTGAAGACGTTCGACAAGAACCCCGCCTCTCCTGCTCGTGCTACTCCCTCCCCGGTGAAGATCGCCACTCCTACTGCGACTCCACCTCCCCGCACCTCCAGCGCTGCCGACCACTCCCGTACCGACAGCAAGGCCAGCAGCGCCAAGACTGACGAGGAGAAGAAGCAGGAGCTGAAGGATGCTGTGCGCCAGAAGATCCAGGATGATGAGGCTGCCCAGAAGCGCAAGGCTGAGGAGGCTGCCCGCAAGAGCGCCGAGGAGGCTAAGACCGCTGAGGTTAAGCCCGTTGAAACCAAGCCCGTCGAGGCCAAGCCCGTCGAGGCTAAGAAGGAGGATGCCACCGAGTCTGCTCGTGCCGCCCTGGAGGACTTGAGCTTGAAGGAGAAGGCCACCCCCGCCGAAGAGCCCAAGAAGGCTCCCGCTCCCACTCCCGCCCCTGCCCCGGCTCCCCCCGTTGAGGAGGATGAGATCGACTACGATGCTATCGAGCGTGAGATGGCTGAGATCGAAGCCAAGGAGCGTGCCGCCGAAGAGGACTACAAGCGCAAGAAGCAGGCTCAGAAGGAGGAAGCCGAGCGCAAGGAGCGTGAAGAACGTGAGCAGTACGAGATCAACATGAAGAAGGCCGAGCAGGAGGCTGAAGAGCGTGAGCTCGCTCGTGAGGCCGCTCGTGCCAAGGGCGACACCACCGAGGATGACGCCAGCCGCAAGGAGCGTGAGGATCTCTTCGCTTCCCTCAAGAAGGGCGGCTTCACTGCCACCGAGACTTCCACTCCGGCCGACAGCGGTGCTGCCACACCCGTTTCGTCTGACATCTCCATGGGCCCCCCTGCTAAGCCCGCCGGTGCTGCTGGTGCCAAGAAGCCTGCTGGCCTGAAGCTTGACACCCCCAAGCCTACCGAGCCTCCTCAGCCGAGTGCTGCCATGAAGTCTCTTCAGAACGCCAAGTTCCTGGAGGACCTTAGCAAGATCACCTATCCTTCTTCCGTCAACGCCCCCGATGCCTCTCTCAATGCCAACTCCCCCGCCGGTCGCCGATTCCACTACGACCGCGACTTCCTGCTCCAGTTCCAGGCTGCTTTCAAGGACAAGATCTCCATCGACTGGGATGCCCGTGTGCGTGAGACTGTCGGTGACAGCGACGCCTCTTCTCGGCCTCAGTCTGCCCGCACCCCCAGCATGGGTGGTCGCAACCCCTCCCACAAGGGTCTTGGTGGCTTCCCTGGTGCCTCCTCCATGGGCAACTTCGGTCAGACTGCTCGTCACAGCATGCCTGCCGTCAACCCGTCTCTGGGTGGCCGTGGTGCCCACCCCTTCGGCAGCTTCGGCCGTCCTGGCATGCCTGGCATGGGTGCTCCTATCTCTCGCAACAACTCTTCTAACATGCCCATGTCTCCTCGTGTGGCATCTAGCAAGGGTGGTGCTGGCAGCAAGCGCGGCAAGCACGGTGCCAAGAAGGAGGAAGACTCTAACAAGGCTATGCCTCTTACTGCCGGTATGGAGCTCAAGGCTCTGCAGCAGAGTGCCACTGGCTGGAAGCCTCGCAGCGTTGGTACCAACGCTACCGCCGGTCCCGCACCTGGTGGTGAGGGACACATGGCTCCCGACGTTGTGCAGCGCAAGGTTAAGGCTGCCCTGAACAAGATGACCCCCGAGAAGTTCGACCGTATCTCCTCCCAGATTTTGGAGATTGTGTCCCAGTCCAAGGACGAGTCCGACGGCCGCACTCTGCGCCAGGTCATCCAGCTTACCTTCGAGAAGGCTACTGACGAGGCTCACTGGGCTCCCATGTATGCCAAGTTCTGCAAGAGCATGTTGGAGAGTATGAGCGTTGAGATTAAGGATGAGAACATTCGCGACAAGAACGGAAACATTGGTACGTTTCACAGCTATTTACTCACTGCATTCAAAATCCTAATATCTTTTCTTAATAGTCACTGGTGGTTCTCTGTTCCGCAAGTACCTGCTCAACCGCTGTCAGGAGGAGTTCGAGCGTGGTTGGAAGGTCAACCTCCCACCCAAGCCTGAGGGTGTCAACGATGAGGTTGCTATGCTCTCCGACGAGTACTACATTGCCGCTGCTGCCAAGCGTCGTGGTCTTGGTCTCGTCAAGTTCATTGGTGAGCTGTACAAGCTCGGCATGTTGACGGAGCGTATCATGCACGAGTGTACCAAGCGCCTGCTCGACTTTGAGGGTGTGCCTGAGGAGGCTGAGGTTGAGTCTCTGTGCAACCTGCTGCGTACTATTGGTGCCAGTCTGGATGCTTCTGAGAAGGGACCCGCCATGATGGACGCTTACTTCGCCCGCATCAGCCACATGATTGAAATGCCCGACCTGCCTAGCCGTCTCAAGTTCATGCTGATGGTACGTTCACTGCGTTTCGCTTTCAATCCGTTCTTTGAGGTGTGTATGTGAAGCTGACTTTTTTCTAATAGGATATCGCCGATCTGCGTTCCCAACGCTGGAAGTCCAAGGACGCCGACAAGGGTCCCAAGACTATCCAACAGATCCGTGAGGAGGTACGTTCTATCGTTCACTTTGCAGATTTGCTTCAAACGATCAATAACTAACATGATAAAAAAACAGGCTGCTCGTGCTCAGGCCGAGGCAGAGGCAGAGCGCCAACGCCAGCAGGCCAACCGCGGTGGTGGCGGTGGTCGCCCGGCTATGGGCCGCGGTGATGCTCGTGGCTTCGGTTACGGTAACCAAGCCCCTCCCCCCGACTACGCTTCCAGCAAGGTCGGCAGTGATGACCTGCGCCGTCTGCGGGCCACCCGCAACACCAACCAGCCGATGTCCTTCGGCCCGTCCAGCCTGCTCGGATCCCGCAGCAGCAGCGGTCGCAAGGGCCTTGGCCCTGGTGGCAACCTTGTTCGGGGCAGCGACGACAGCGCTGCAAGCAGCCGCACTGGTACTCCCCCTGCTGGTAAGAAGGAGGACAAGGAGGCTGCATCATCAATCAATGCTTTCAGGTAAGTCATCACTTCCATATCGCTTCTGATATGAAAGCAACCCCACTTTCACCCCGTTTAAGCCAACATACTAATCCCATTTTTTTTCTCGTATAGCGCCCTCGCCGCCCTGGAAGATCGGGATAACATGGCTACTTCGCCTCCCTCAAACCCGACTTCCCCCATGCTTACCAAGTCGCAGCCTGCCACCGCAGAGCGCCGGCCCTCAAAAACCCCCTCAAAGGATGGGGAGGACGCAGCATAGATTTGATTCCCTAGTTGTTAATGATCAACGTTTTCCCATTGTTTTTTCCCACCCAAAAGATTTCCCTTTTCTTATCTTCTGCTCTCCCCTTTTATTTTTCCCCCTCTCACTGTTCATGTTGCTTCCCCATTGCGAAATCTGCCTCCTTTTTTTTAATGGCCGTCCCGACTTGCATTCCCCGACTGGTCGGTTTTCTTTTTTCGCCTTTGTCCCTTTTCTCTCTTCCTTTTATCGGGACCTTCATAGTGTACAATTTTCACACCTTTTATTTCATATTTTCCTTCTTCCTTATTCTTTCTTAATGATGGTGTGAAGGGGAAAGAGTGTGTGGTAGAAATTGTGCGGTGGTAGTTAGGAGTGATATGATGGGAGAGGCTCGTAGGCGGAGATGAATAGGAAATGGAAATCTGTGAATGTTCTACTGAGTTTGCATGCATGAGGTTGATGCCCGGTTGGTGTTGTTTGAATGGGGGATTTGGGCTTTGTCCTTTCTCCCTCTATCTTTTCAGGTCTCGTTTTTGTTCTCCCCCTTCTGCTCTGTCTTCTCAATACCCGAAGTTTCTTTCAGGATCTAGAAAAGCATAAGTCTCGTTTTATAATATCTACTCCTCATTGTATCACTAGTAAACTTGTAAAGGACATAAAAGCTAAACGGGCATGACTCTGGCTGTTCTAGTAAAGGGACAGTAACGAAGTTGATCTATAAGCAAGCTTAGTCTCGTAGTCTCCTCTATATTTGAGACTGCACCATAGAAGGGTACGATAAACTGTAATGCTTCTGATTTACCTCGAGTGTCTCAGCCATGGGATCATAGGCCATCATTTCTCCAGTTAGATTTGATTGACATTGAGCTACACTCGATATTCCTTTAGAAATACAAGCAGGAGCAGACACCTTACTAAAATGAGCAGCGATTCCATGGAGTTGGAGAGCGGAGAAAATGTTGCGACTAGTCAAGTAAACTTGGGGTATTTGCGCTAGGGGAAAGGGGCAAGGGGGTATCATCAGGCCAGGTAATAAATGATGTGATATGATGCGGCGAAGAGGACCTGGCATTGTGCGAAATCGTTCGTATGCTTAGTCCATAGGACATAATACATAGAACATGCGACGAAAAGAAAAAGTACAGGGTATGAAAGATGAGACGAAACGGAGATGCGATAGTTCAGCTAGAGTGAACGGTCACTTTCAGTCAGTCGTAGCTGTCCCTTTCTCTTCACTTTCATTTGAAACCTCGATCACAGGGATCGACATCCGCTTCGCAGTAGCATCGGACGCTTCGGAGATCGAGTCAGTTGCGTCCTCTTCTTTGCCCTGATTCTCCGACTCGTCCGATGAGTCTTGCTCGAGGGAGGGTGAGTGTGATCGGAGCGGTGCCTCTGGCGATGTAGAGCGCCGTGGCTCGCTAACGACAACACTCTCCTCCGAGCTAGCCGAGCTACCACTCAACGGGCTTCTCATGAGAACCGAGTCTAGAGAGTATGGGACGGGATAGGCGGGGTCCGACTCGTCGATGCTGAGACTGCTGCGATCTGACACGGATAGCGAGCTGCGCGAGTGATTGCGAGAGTAGGTCGCAGGAAGACCCAGCGCCTCGGCGACGGCGGCTTCTTCACCTGGCAGTTTGAGGGCGCTGCCTTCGGTGCTAGAGCTACCGTCGAAGACACGACTGCCGCGTTTCTCACTCAATTCCAGGAGTTGGTTGTAGCTGCGTCGGCCCGGGTCTGCACGGCGCTTCTTCTTTTTCTTTTCGCGCTTGGGCGAGGGGCGGACGACGATGACGGGGATTGGTGAGTGCTGGACGCAGTATTTGGAGACGGATCCCGGTAGGAGACTGTGAACACCCTTTAGGTTTCGACCTCGGGTTCCGACGATGAGCATGACGGGCTCATGGATACGAATCTAGATCCGGTCAGCAAGGGCTCATGAGCATCAGACATTGCTTAGTAGAGTAAACAACTCACCATTCGTTGAATGATCTCCTCCACTTTGCCTACCACCACTTCCAAGACTAAGCTGATAGCCTTTTCATCTTGGCTATTCTTCTGAATAACCTGCTCAAACAGCCGCTTGGCTTCCTGGCGATACTTGCCCTCTTCGATTCCAGCATCGCTGGCCATGCGCGAGTCCTTCTCCACCGCACGAAGGCAAACAATCTCATCCCCATCAACAACCAACTCATCAATCAGCCAATTAAGCGCAAAGTCGGAGTAATCATTCTGGTCCGTGCCACACAGAAACGTCCGACTCCGGCGGGTACTCTGGTACCCCTTGTGCTTGTAATTGAGAGTCAACGAGAAATCTGCAGCGTCGCGGTTGTCAAAGGTATTGAATGAAACACCGCGCTCATAAGTTCTATTGTGAATTAGTACACACGGGATACAAGCCCACCCTTATCTCCGGAATAGCGGACAACATACTTTGGTGGCGGCGGAGACGGCCCGCGACTTGTAGATAGAGCCCGCGGCTCTCTCTCTACATCTAGATCTCTGACCGGCGCATCTGCATATGACAGGCGCTTTTCTTTGACGTTGTGGGTGCGACTCGGAAGCTGCATTCCCGCGTTGCCGACGTTGAATTGGATGGATCGGCGGCGCGGACTTTGGCTGCGCGGGTTGGCTTCGAAGGAGATGCTTGGTCGATGGCCGGAGACCGCGGGTGGAGTCAAGCTTTGGCTCGACTCTGGTCTCTCATCGGACTCGAAGGAAGGCTTGGGGGAGCTTTGGGCGGACATTGTTGTGATGGCGGGGTTGGCGGCCGAGGAGAAGAGGAGTTGTAAGCTTGAGCAGTGGGAGGGCCTTTCATGCAGGAACAGTGGCAGTGTAGCGACTGCTGAATAGATCTTCTCTTACTCGGCTGTCACTCAGATCGAAGATTCGTCTCGAGTGTTGAGCGCAGTGAGGGAAGACACTCGGGACGTTGCGAATGCCGCTGGAAATAATCAGGCCATGCGGGTGCGGATGCGGGTAGGAAGTTGAGGGATTAGGTGCGCAGTTCGACGACGATCAAGCTGGTGGTAGAGCTATCAATCCGGACAGATGACAACATGTTTTGGGAATGCTGGGGGGAACCTTTTTTCGGCCGAAGCTCTGGGATTGATGATAGCAGGCAATTGCAACAGGCGAACGCAGTGACGCTTGCAGCGAGGGGCTTATCCCGAAGCCGTAGGCGGTGAGAGGGTAAGGTTATCGATAGCGATATGGGTTCATGTGATTTGCATTGGAGAATGTATACTCCGTCGGGTATGTGCATACGGGCATGTATACTCTGGTCAGTTTATATTTTCGGAGAGTAAATTAAGAGTGTGAAAAGTTTGTAGAGTTGTATATAGTTTGAGAACTTTTAGGATGAGTTAGGGCAAGGACCATCTCAAAAGACTAAACCCCAGAACGGCACTGCACTCCACGGCATGTCAGCCAAAGCTTAACCCCCTCCATACATACTACAAATAATCAAGGGCTAGCACGCCTTATAGGGAAATGAAATCCAGGCAACCTGTTGCATACTGCAGTAGTGAAGTAACTCTAGGTCAAAACGGAAGCCATTACAGCTGACGTGCTTGGGTCACCCGGTTCATCATACTAGCATTCCACTCGGAAAGGAGATAGCGCGACGGCCCTAATTCAATGCCATGCATTTAGGCTTGAAAATATGTTTGCAGATCCCTCGTTGCTCGCCATTTCCCAGCAATAAAGTCAAATCTAAACGGGTGGATACAGGCAGATCGATGGGGAATCTGCTGTATGTATTCAGTAGTGTGCAGCACGGAGCATGGCGATAATTACGAGTGCCCCTATCTTCGTTGACGTTTACGTGAGACTCGTTAGTATTTACGTGGTCGGGGATGTAGATAATCTCACAGCATCCGACCGAATCTGCCCGTGCATTATCGGATTCAGCTCATGCTTAAATACACACATTAACGGAGTACCATATACCTATCTACAAATCTACATCTACGATAAATCCACGAAGATGACCCGTAAACACCCGCACTGTGACTACAATCCCAACAAATCACCTCCTAAACATGCACCATTCCCAAAATCTGCACTCTAAATCTCATACTCTGCACAATGTCCCGAGAACCCCCTAATCCAATTCTAATCTATCCATTACCCAAAAAAGAAACTCCCTACCTCGACTATTCCTTCCAAGACATTCTAATTCCTCCACAATGTGGTATATACATCCCGTGACACTGACCACCCCCACTTCCCTCCCTAGCAAACCCCTTCACCACTAGCCTCGCTAGGCTAGTAGGCTATGTACATAGCGGACCAACTATGCCGACTTAGCCGCGAAGATCGGAGACTATCGCTGCTTGGCGTGGATCTATCTACCAGCGGTCCAGCGGTGAGGACCACTTTGCTCAGGGACGAATTACAGGTAAGGTACATCTGGGACGGGGGATAGCGCTCGGGGCGCTCGTCTGCAGTGCGATCGACGGGTCACATGCACTGGTGTGCTGGTGTGGTTGGGAGTGAATTGGTCAATTGCGTGCGGATTTGAAGTGTGGGATGTCGTGCTGAGATGCCCGTTTATTATCTACGGAGGTACTCCGTACAGAGGATGACAAGGAAAGGATTGATGGTGGTTGGTTCGGGCGTTCGTAGAATATACCTTATAATTGTAGATGTATACAAGTTCGTAGATACAAGGCAAAGGACAAAAGTCAAACCTAAGGGTACCTTGCAAGCAGCCAAGGCTAAAAACTACTAACCCCTCCATTTAGATAAGAAAAGACAAGGATCATGTTTAAAATGTTTTTGGCATGCATTTTTTTGCCTTGGTATAATGTATATCTATGTACATGAAGGGAATCGAGTCATTTCCACGATCCCCGGTCGGGATCCCAATTTTCCCCGCTTTGGGTAGTCTCAACCAGCGCCTCACTCACAGAGTGAGGGGGGAGAGCTGCCCGTGGCACATCAAGGCCACTTTCCAAATCCAAGCAAATGATTCCAAAAAATAAAAGTCGGCCGTAACCAGAGAGATGAGATGGTGGTATGAGAGAGTATAAACGCCTGGTATAAGGGAGATGGGTGCCAATAAAAAAAAGATATGCAAAAGCGCGCTGATAAAATGTCGCTTTCAGAAAAGTCGGTTCAGTTCAGACCATTTGTTCGTAACGGGCGTGGGGTATCACAAAAGAATCAAGATATCGCGAGTGTGTATACAAGTACAGAGAGGATCGAGGGTGTAAAATCTAGTACGCCTCGATCATCGTGCTCTGTTCTTGTGAAACGTAATACCCCGGTTCGAACAAATGTGTTTGATTGTCCGTCAATGAGATGGCTGCGGTCGCGGCCTCCTTGGTGTCGAAGGACTCGAGAGCAGGCTGCGGCGGCGAGGGCGGCATGCTCTCGTCCTCGGACGAGTCGTCCAAGTCAGCCAGCAGCTCGGGTGGTGACTGCCGGGATGGAGATCGCGTCAAGCTAAGTTCCTCCAGGTCCTCGGCGTCGTCGTATTCAAAGTCCGAGTCGGTATCTTCCCCATCGTCTTCCACCAAGGTAGCCTCGGGGACGGCGGCGAGGTACTGTTGAGGCGGGGGTGGAGAACGAAGGCGAACGGGTGTGTTGATGACGAAGTCATTTTCGTCAAAGTCGGAATCATCTTCCTCGTCGCTATCGCTGAGGTCCGACTCCAGGTCGGACGCATCCTCCGGATCCCAGTCCTCTTCGGGCTCCTCGACCACGGTCGATGCCCATTGGATGTGGCGGGACTTTTCTTCGCGGGGGGAGGTCTTGGTGGCACCACTGACGGTCTGGTTGAACCAACGTTCTTGCTCACGCTCGGCATCGGCCAGATCCAGCATCAACGAGTCCAGCAGGTTGGCGTGGCCGACCAGTAGGCGGAGATCATGGTCTGCGCGGGAAGCCTCGCGGGTAAGCTTCTTGCGGGCGGTGTGAGCCAGGTAGTATGTTTGCGTGATGCTCATCTTCTTTTGTTGGCGGCGACGGAAGAGGGAATCAAAGTATGGGGAGGCGGCGGAGGCGAAGGAAGAGTCCTTGGGGAGGGGAGTAGTGGTAGTGGAGGAAGTAACTTGAGGAACCTCCATGGCGGTGGTGGCAGCTGAGGTACTTATGAGCTCAGAGGGATGACTCGTTCTGCCAAGATGGGTGACTCAGTCACGAGGCGGTGAGGACTAGTTTTAAGATCCTCGCAGGGGATAAGCTCAGGTCGATCCGGTAGATCCAGGTCGTCGTGGTGATGGAATTATCGTCGTATAGACTGTATATAGTTTCCTGTTGTGGATGTCCGTGTGTTTGATGGATGTGATATAGTGGTAACATGAAAAACGGAGGATGGGGGGGGGGAGGGAAAGATGATTATAAAATAAAATGCTTGGAGCCTGATGATTATGCTGATAATTCTAATTCTTATTTTTTTTTTTCTCCCGTGTATCCGTTTTGCTAAAGTCCGGCACCCGATCGGAGGGCGAAAGATCCCCACCGAGTTTATGCGCATCGCACTTGGTGGATCCCCCGAGCCCGAAAGGTCCGCTGATTAATTGGTGTTTTTTCTTTTTTTTTTTTTCCCTTTTCTACGCAGGGATGCCATGCCTACAGTAGAACACAGTCTACACCGCATCTCTGTACATACAGTATAATATTGTTCTTTCCTACCAATTCTTAATCCTCGTACTAATTGTACACATTCTACTTGTCAGTAGCTATAAACCCCGAACTTTTGTCCGAACACAAGCCTATTTCGTCTCAAAAAATGATGTATAGTGACTCACCCCGGTTAAGTCCGTTTTTCGCCAATTTTCCAAGACCCTGAGCCCCACTAGCGGATGACCAATGTCTTCCCGGAGGATCAGGGCGTTTATGACCGACCGGCTCGTAGTTACGCCCTTCTCCGGGTATGACCAGCCTTTTCCATCGCCTTCTTGTCCCACGGCTCTACGGAATAAACTTGCCGATTATTCAACATGACTATCGCTTTTTGGCTCTGCCTTACGTTATGTCCGGGGAATCAACTCTATTCCCTTTCCAGCGAATTGATCTGAGTTGACACTCTCTCGTTGGTCACTTTCAGCCCAGCGCCCAAGGTTATCTGCTTTGACTCAGCATGATGATTTCCAATCATGGTTGGTGATGGCTCTATTATCAATCAACTCAATCACCTCATCCATGATTCCATCACTAGGATCATCGCGCGTCACGAGTAACCGGCGTTAAAGCTGCCCCCCCGCAATTATTATTCATGACTACATAACTTTACCTTTTTTCGCGGTAATAACCTTTGGCTCCATCATCATCATCATCATCATGACTACTCTTATCTCTCACGGCAACCAGTCTTCACTTGCCCAATTAGGTATCCCTCGCATTCCGCATGGGGGCGGTCCAGATCATAATCACAATTATTTTGTTGATCGAATATGGTATATCGTGAAGGTCCATAATGCTTCGCCCCACGGTTCTCTTCTAACGGTTATCGCTCGTATCCTCCTAGCTCCATAGAATACTTCTATTTGCTTCTGACGTCGTACTCCATACTCTATCGATAAGTACTGGATGTACATCCGCAGACCATTGATAATCAAGAGCTCACGGACCACTTTCTTCGTAATCCGTATTGGCATGACCCCAATGCGGCTGTAAAAAAAAAAAAGCAAAGACCTCCCCAAGGAAATAGTCCCTTCACAAGGCACCTCGATTATTGGCCTTGGCATCTTCCCCAGACAACAGGCTGCAGCTTGACGTGGGCTGTTGCTGCGGAGAGCAACAATTGACAGACATGCTGTACCGTACTGCACCTTCTAGTCCATCGACCCCTGTCCCTAGTCATCTTCGCTTCTCGCTGGACCACGTACTCCTCCTTGCAGACCGCAGCCTCAAGAGACATGGCGGAGTCAGGTAAGGCAGAAAACAGGCATCCCCGCCATTCTCATGGGTGGGGGCCATTACAGAAAACTTACTCCTTCTGTCGCGATCTAGCGACCGTCACAGAAAGGCAGGGCTAGAGCCAAGGCTGGTGAATCATGGCTATGTCTCAGTGTGGAATGCCACGAAACATGAAACGTAGGGAGAAAAATAGGCGGCTCAGCTTCGCTATGGGGCGTCCAGAAGCCACGCTAGACCCAGGAGAGACTCCGTAGAAAAGTCCAAAGTAGCCTAACGTGTGGCTTTGCAAGATTCTCTGCGGTTTGCGGCGGTCGTCGCAGTGGATTCCCTTTCCAGCCCAACGTTACCTAAGCCCCCACCAGCAGGTCTTGGACCAACAGCCCTATGATGACTATCGGTCGCGAATACGATTTTCCTCTCTGGTAAGTACGAGCATGACAGAGTCTCGTTATTGGATCTCCGGCCGAAACGTGCGGACCAACGTCAACCACGCTCTGGGAGAATAGATGGGGAGTTTATACAGTCTTACAACGTGCTTTCTAATAAATCCGGCTACATCATCATCGTTCCAGAACAGTACTTCGAAACGAGAAGCATCACAGATAGACTCCATCCACAGGTCTAGAAGCCGCCACGTCCGCCCTCGGTGATAGATGACTTCAGCCGCGCAACGGAGTTAGTAATGCCATGCGCGGACTTGCAGACAACACGCTACACAGCGTGTGTCGCATGTGTCTTGACTGACCAACAGATTAGCCTGGGCCAATAATTAGACGGTAAGCAACAGTCACCTCAGCTGCGGGATTCGGATTCGTCCGAGCAGATTGCCCAGCTCAGTTAGTACAAATAAGAAGTGGACTCAATTTTGATGGGAGATCAGAAAAAAATTTTAGATTTTTTTGGGGGGATCCGCTCGGCGATTTTGTTGTGATCCTCCGAGGCCGATCCACACTGACAGGTCGATGATGTCAACTGGGCTTGTCGGTTATTTTCTGGGCTGGCCGAGATAGGAATTTGATAATGTCAACATGGTGAGCGGTGATATGCGTGATGATGTCTGATAAGATGTCTTATAGCTGGTTTGATGAATACAGACAAATATTAAATATTGTTTTGATTGTTCATTCTTCTGGTTCTACACTGTTAGTTGTGGGTCGGTTGGGCCGAGGCTCTGGGATTCTGCCGGTAAATTCATTTTTGCACAATTGGAGGACACCATACTAGGAAGGCGGTACTCTAAGCAGCATAACAATGTCTCTGCACAAAGCTATGCTAACAAACAGGACACAAAGATTTTTCCTGAGTATTTAGAAGCCAAGCAGGGACCAGGAAATCTGGACCTGCCAGCCAGAAAGCCCTGACAGTGAATTAACTAGTGGAGACTCAAATGCATTGATGAAGACCGTTCAATGCACAAACCTCATTGAGACCCGACTGCCTTACCTAAGCGGCTCAATGGATCCTAGGATATCCATCTGTACATGTGGAACAGAATGATCTGCTAGATAATGAAACAAGATCAAGGTACAATTCAATATTCTCATGTAAACGGCGACCCTCCACTAACTATTGTACCTATCGCATGACTCAACATTGAAGAAATGCACAAACCCAGTCCTTCCGGTCCTCGGGCGATCATCTTCTCGGAGACGGGAATAACGGAGACGGACAAACCTAAACAAGGTTTTCTGACAGTCGCTGACTTTTGCAGTCTCGCAGATCGGAAGCCCCGAACTCCGACGCCGACCATAGATCCGTCACGTTATGGTGGGCCCGTGTTCCATGCACAATTTTGGATTTTTTTCGTTATGCCATCAGCCTTATCGTACACTATGCTTCCTTGTGGTTCTCTGTTCTTTTGGTCCCATGATCCCAGACTCCGCTTTCTGCTTGCGGGTCAGGGTCTTCGAATGTTCCGAGGTTGATCAATAAATCAACATTATACGATGTAGAGACACAATATGTTTCTCTTTTTTCTGGAAAGCGCATTACCATACTGCATAGATAACCCAACCCACGTGCTCTCGGCCTCGGTTGTTCATAATACTATGCATCTACCTGCCGTGCCACAACTCCAACTCTAATCCGTACATAATGCAGCTCATCCTGAATAACTTAAGTACCTACCTAGCAAACCTTACCTAATACTCGAGCCTCATGGCACAACTAGGTAGCTCGTGGCTTCCACTAGATCCACATTCCTCTCCCGCGCGATGAGGTCAACAGATACATACCCCAGTCGGATGCGCGCGGGAGCGGGATCAACATGGCTCTACTCTGGTATGCGAGGGGATTTCCAGCTACATACTATTTACAGTACTATGCCCCGTATACCGCCGTTCCGTCCCGAACATTCCTCTTGGTCACGCGCCATGCGGCCAAATAGCTAATACCTTCCGATCGACGTGTTGCAGATAATCGCATGGGTCTGCTGACCGCGTCTGGCGGATGTTGGCGGGTTGACTATGCTTTAACCTATTTCCTTGGCTCTGACTACACTGCGTATGGCGTGCAGTGGAATAGTGCTATGCATCCCGTGGTTAGGCGCGGTTTGTGCATGGGCGACTAGGTAGTTGCGCGCTCTACTCGCTCTTGGCAGTCGTAGGACTCGAAAGTTTGGAGAGGCATGCTTATAGTGTTGTACGAGCGGGAGTATGCCGGGTTTGAATTGAATCGTAGGCTGTGGCTTCATATGAATCTGCTTGTAAATTGAGGCTCTGCACTGAGATATTCTTCGTAGTTCGTAGTGTACTCGATTCGGCTAATCTATGTGTACTAATGATTTTCGTAAAAAGCACTCTGTAGTGAATAGCCGAAGGCCATTTGAAATAATGGATCAAATATGCCGCTGTCGCGACATTGTGGATGATGCAATGCGCGAGGTACAGATTTTCAGCGACATTGACGCGACTTTACAGAGCTATAGAAGACTTCTGACAGCTAAGAACAGTCTAGGTATCTCAGCCTCAGAGACTATTAGCGCAATGTTCGCTAGATTTCTATTACTTACTTCCTACATCAACGATATATAACCATTCCCGAACAGCATAGTATTGTAACAACGACATGGATATCAAGTCTTGATACTTTTAGACTTCAACAGTTATGCTTCCGCGGTCCAGGGACAAAACCTAAGCGTGATATTCACAGAGAAAATCTCATGGATGCCAATTACCCAATGGATTGTTACCTAGCTGCCTTCCACCGGGGTACCTAGCTATGGAACTTATAGGTAGACCTCCACGGGCTAGGTATGACATGGCTTAGTCACCCCAGCAACCCGGGATGTGACCTACCATTGACCACGCGTTGGGGTATCATATTACACCTTGCCTTTCCAACGCAACGCAATAAATTTTGCACTGCATCTGGACTGACTAGAGCACCATAAAACGAAGATACTTAGGGTCCTTAGGCCTCCCTTTTTCCGACGGCTCCCATCGCCAGCCCGACAGTTTCCACCTGGCCCCCTTCTCGACCCAACGGACAAGGTGGAGGAGGAAAAACTAGCATGGTATTCTAAAGATAACTTTTTTCCTGTCAAGATCGGCGATATCTTTCATACAAAGTATCAAGTGGTTGGAAAACTGGGCTATGGCGGATATTCAACCGTATGGCTTTGCAGAGATCTAGAGTAAGGAAGGTCCTATGATTGCGAATCGCAGGGGGAAATAGGAACTAATAGGTACAGAGAGGACGTTTACTTTACCTTGAAATTATATGAACGCGACTCCACTCATGCTGAACGAGAAATTAAGGTTTACGAACACCTGAAAGGCCTCAAATCTTGCCACACTGGTACTGTTCTCGTGCGAACCGTGTTGGACAAGTTCCAGCTCAGTTCAACCGATGGCTCCCATTTCTACCAGTATCTTGTCCACCCGCCCTTAGGCATAAGTCTCTTTGAACTCCGGAATCGGTGCCCACGAAAGGTTTTTCCAGAAGACCTTCTTAAACCCACCATCATCCATATCCTCCTTACGCTAGATTTCCTACATACCGAGGCTCACGTGGTCCACACTGGTTAGTGTCCCTCGATGTTTTATTTTGAAACGGCCTATGCTAACATATAACAAAAGATATACAAGAAAAGAACATTATGCTCAACATCGAAGATGAGTCGATTCTCATTGACTTTGAGCAGGCCGAGATATCAAATCCAAGTCCACGCAAAGTGGTCGGGGATCGAGCAATCTATCATTCTCGAAAGTTAGGTATTCCAAAAAAACATGGACGTCCCGTACTCTCAGACTTCGGCGAGGCTCGCTTTAGGTCAGAGTCAGGTACATATTACGATGATGTACAGCCGTTTATATATCGGGCTCCGGAGATACTACTTCGTATACCCTGGAATAAAAAGATAGATATTTAGAACCTTGCAGTCGTGGTATATATAGGGGATTGGTATAGCGACCCCCCCCCTGTCATATTGTGACCCCCCTGCCTGAATCTTTAGGCTTTAAGGCATCAAGGCTACCAATTTTTTTTCTGCCAAAAGTTCTGCCAGTACTCCCTCTCCGCCTAAATTCTGCCACCCTTTCTGCCACCCTTTCTGCCCATGACCCACCATCACCCTGCCACTTTGGTCTCTACAGTCTACCTTTCTAGTTTACATAGTAAATCCACCATGTAATCTACCGTTAAATGCTCGTTTTTGACAGAGAAATCTACATCAAATTCATACAAATCTAATAAGTACTACAATCAGTAGTATAACCAGTCCTAGTTGCCTTGCTGCGTAGGCCTGGTGGACCTGGCAGATCTCCTGGTTGCCCGGGTGATAGTGGATTCTTCATCCTCTGCAGAATCCTCTGCCAGAACCTCCGAATCCTCCGCATCTTCCGAATCCTCTCGCGAAGGGCTACTACGCCCACCACGCCTACGCGAAGAAAGAAAGATTGGTGGTGGTTGCGGAGGACTTGGTGGTGGTGGTGGATCTTGGGGGTGGGCGGTGAGGGCGGTGAGGGCGGTGAGGAAGATGGTGAGATAGTGGTAGAAAGCGGTGAGGGCGGTGAGAGCGGGAGCGTGGAAGAATATTATTCCGTGAGCAAACAAGACAAAATGTTTGCCTTGATGCCTGAAAGCCTAAGAATTCAGGCAGGGGGGAGTCACCATATGACAGGGGGGGGGTCGCTATACCAATCCCCTATATATATTAATATTACACATATATTTGTTTTTTCATCTAAACATTCTTTATGTAGGCCTAGGTTCTATTCGAGCAAGGCCATCTTTTCTACGCCCGGGATATAAACAAACGACACTCAGATAGTCACCATCCTACCGAAATGATTGCGTATCCAGGGTCGCCGCCACGTGAGATGCTTGAGAAAAGTAAATTAGTAAATAATTTTTTGATAGTAGCGGTAAGCTCACCACGCTCTCGTCCCTTTATTCCCAGTCTGTGTTTCTGACTCTTAGAGAATAGGAAAGTGGAAGGGCCTTGCTGAAATTCGTCTTACGTCTTTGGAGGACATTGAAAGCAATCTGGAGGGCGAACGGCAAGAGAATTTCCTCCGTTTCATACGGAAAATACTGCAGTGGCGACCCGAAGATCGACCTACTGCGAAAGAGTTATTGTCTGACCCTTGGTTAAGGTCTCCATAATTTGAAATGGCTGCAGCGCGACAGTTGAAAAAGAAACCCACACACCGCGACTTAATTAGTGGCTTTGTAACAAACAACGCGGTAGCATGACCGTCTCATATTCACTAGATATTAGATAGATACATGTTGAGAAGTTCACTCTACGTCCTTCGGGCCGCCAACAACCAGATCCTCAGAAAGACGGAGATCGAACACCTAGTTGAAAGAAGCCCCGTCGAGAAGCTCCGCAGATAGCCCATGCAAAGTCTCTGGCTTCTATGGTCTAGCTCACCTTGCGCACAGAGAAAAGCCAAGCTTTGGGTTATTTAAGGGGAAATATTTGGTCTTTAGAGAACTTTGCTGAGCTATCCACTGGGATTAAATATATTTTCTATGTACCTGCATACATTACCAAATACCCGAGACCTCAATGGTAGAAATGTTCACCCGATAATCACCGATCAAAAATCTAATGATGCCAGGTTAGGTTGTCCTTGGCCATCAGGCTGCTTAGCTTGCCGCGCCGGGGGTTCACCCCGCCTCGTGAAGTTTCCTTTTAACCTAGAAACCCCCTGACTACACCGCGCCTCTATCTCTTTCCCATAAATTTACAGCCATATCTTTTCACCATCCAATAACGGAGATCCTGCAGACACTCAGCCCACTGCCAGCAAGGAGACACTTCCGTCGTCGACCCTGCCGGAGCATCTTATCGAGTATTGGGAAGAGCTTTTGCTTGGCAAGAAGATGTACTTTAAGTAGAAAGGAGAGGAAGTTCCAGGAGCGGAGAAAGAGGTGTGTATCGGAGGTCGTGTTCCAGCCAATTCCTCAAGGGCGCGCTACAAGGCTTTAACTTGCCCGACCTCTATCCCACCAGCCGCTCTATAGCCTTCGCTAAGCTCAGATCGCAATCACGGATTCAGATTTTTCTCAACCTCGCCGGTTTCGCCAGGGCCTTTCATTTCAACCGGATTCAGAGACGGGAATTTATCTTTCCAACCTCATTGATAACAAGAGTGCTTAAACTGAGTGGCTGATCGACGTTACCCAGGCTGAATTTATTGTGTGAGAATCGAATTGTTATGAAGGTTTGGTAGGGCTAGTACAGTGGTTATAGATCATCATCATCCATTCATATTGAATAGATTAAACCCAAATAATCCTTTGATTCGCACGCAAAGTTAAGCATCTTATTGGATCATAGTTCATAGTTTTCTGTGAGGGCATCGGCAAGAAGCCTGTGGTTGGATTCGGTGAACAATAGCAGCTAGCATATCTGTCATGTTCACCTCCTTGGTTTTGCAACTAGCATAAATTCAACATTCACGGCCTGATCTCCTTGTGGAAATCAAAATGCGAGAGGGATCGCAGGTACCTATCCATTCTCAAAATATGGCTGGCAACATCTTGCCCGGAGACCCACACTTGCTGAATGCATCCCCTGTAATGGTATTCACCCTTCTTCTGAGGATCAATCACTGCGTCTCTGATCATACTATGCCGAATAAACACTCGGCTGTCATCAACATGAACCAAATTTTTGACAGGTTTGAGGGTCACGAGGATGTCGAGGCCTGTGTCACGAACTGTTTTCTCGTCAATCAGGATAGAGGCCAAAATTTTTATCTCTCGCAGATGTAAGGGACGCTGAGCGATAGCTAGCCATAGAAGTATCCGTTTGGCCTCCAGGCTAACATCCTCTCCTTGAAGCGCTCGAAGCACCAGGTCGGTGACACTGGGCTTGAGAGTGGCAAGGGTATCTATGGCCGTGCGAAGCTGATCGTAGTTTTCCTAAGACCTGATGTGCTTTGCGGCAAGATTTGCCCACAGGAAAGAGCCTTCCGGGGCTTTGGCAATATCTTGAAAGATAGTGTCCTGTTTGATTCTCGGTAATTCTTTGACAGGCTTTGCGTATTGCAATCTGCTTCAGACGACTTGAGATATATCGTCCAAAGTCACATCGCTCGTGACCTCCACAAGGGCCTGGCCATCTGCTTCCGGGAGCTTCTGTATACCGAAGGTAATTAGCTTCACAGTTGGCGCCTCTGGTAGAATAGATACGAGCTTTCGCAGCAAATTTCCATCGTCGCACAAAGCCTCATCAACACCATCCACGACGATGGCGATTCGATCGAATTCGGGTACAGAACATGCCAACGTTCGTTCGAGTGTGTCCCATAAGAGGTGTTCATAGTCAACTCAGTAGGAAATCATCCTGCTGCTGTCGAATGAGTTGCTCAGCATAGATAAGAGTGGGGCATTGCCTACAAATGTGTCAAATATCTGACAAAGCAGCGAGCGAGCAATGGAACACATGACCCCCTCTGACGTGATCTGGAAGACTGCAGTAGTTCTGAATTAGAAGCTGACATATGGAAGAATGCTAAAAGCTTATATACACACTGGTGGATACCGACAAAGTCAGACAAGTGGTCCAGAATGCCGAGGATAAAATACTCTTCCCCGAGCCCAAACGGCCAGTTATGTGAATTTGGGTGTACTGGTCATCATGCCATTGCTTGAGGTAAGGAGTCAGCCACCGGCAGGTCATCTACTCCCGTTGACGAGCGTAAAGTGGAGCGGATTGAACAAGACCAGCGATGACATGATCACTAGGGACGAGCCACAATCGAAGTGAGTGGACAATTTTATCTTTTGTAGCGGTCAGGTTTGATCAGCCTCGTGCACTCTCCATTTTAAACCTTTAGTTACCCATGGATACACATACCTCCGTCAGGGCCCATGCCCTCTTTCACTAAACCCGGGCGTGAAATCGCAGTTGTGACTCTTGCACAGGAAATGTGGAATGCCTCAATCTGAGCATGGAATAGCTCACGAATTTTGAAATTAGTAGAGTGGCTCATGCTCCATATAGCTCTACAAAAATTGATAGAGACCGAAACAACCAAACACGGGAGATCGTCAAACACCAATGAGAGTTGGTCCTTGACCTCTTCGCTGATGGTAATGAGAGCACATTCAGTCACCTTAATAAAGAATTATCTCACTATTCCATGCACAGGATCCATATTTATTGCCCTGCAGCCCCCAGGGAGCTTGTTGGCGATAGCAAAATCGCACCTGTTTCTCCCCTGATAAAAATTCAACACGGACACCGTCGATTCGAGCAGACTCCGGGATTGTTTCTCAAGGTTGGTAGCCTTCGGACTCTATCTTAATCAGACGATCCAGAACCAAGGAAGTCTTAGATATTGACCAAATCCCTTGTTCACTGCTCTGTCCACTCAGCAGGTCTAGGGCCTCTCGTCTAATAGCCCAATCGCGGCATTTAAATGCGCAAAAAAACAGCGGTGCCACAGTTCCTGACGCGGCCCAAGAGCTTCTCAAAGACCGCTGAGCCAAAATCTTCTTGCCCTGTTGAACTGTCCGCTGGAAATGGGATGAATAGTCGTCATATCTCGTCTCTCCCTCTTCCAGTCGGTTGTCGGTGAGCCCTTTGATAAGAATGACCTCGCTCCAAATATCAAGAATCGCAATAGTATCTCGCCTTGCTTGGGATAGATTATGACCTCTCTGTAGAATCAAGGATTTCCAATGCTGGAGCTTTTCCAAGACTGAGAAAGGGGCACTATCGACAGACATATTTGTAGGCGGCCCAGGCATCATCTGCAAAACCAACCATCCGAGGATGAGCAATATGCCGCATGCTTCTTCCGGTGTCTCGATGAGTACATCCATTTGGTACTCCGTGGCGAGCTGAAGGGGGTAAGAAAAGTCCTTCAAATCAGCCTCAGTTCCCATGAGAGGCGGCCAATCCAAGTAGACTTGGTAGAAACTTTCGAGGGCAACCGCGCCAATTGGGCTTTTATCCATTTGAACTCTTTGCCATTCATGTAAGAGTGCATAGCCTGCACGCAGATGACAACCACCCGCACGAGCATCACCCTGGCTAAATGCGAATGCTAACATGATGGCGCAGGAAATTAAGACTGTTTCCATACGTGGCCGTCGTGAGATATCAGCCGCAAGGTTTTGTTGCAGATGCTCATGTGCTTTGTTGCATTGTCGAAGGGAGAATGATGGCATTTGACAAGCAGCTGTGGCATTAGTGTTCTTCATGCCGCTCCAATGCAGAGAACCTATGCCGACGACAGCATAGCGAACAGCAGGCTGAATCTCGCTTGCTTGATGGACGAGCATGCCCCAAAATGCTTTATTAAAATAAGTCGCGTTGGTTTGTGCTGTGACATGGCGGAAAAAGTCCAGAAACCAGCGCTCTTGGAAAGTTAGGTTGGTTTGACTGGTGTCCACTAACGGAGTCAAAGGGGAATACTGAGAATCCCTTAGCTTCAAACAGTGTGTATTTTCCGTTCCTTTCCACGAGTTGGATGATCCAAGAGAGTGCGGCTGTTTGACTGCTAGCGCCGGCGCTAGGCTCCTAAGCTTCGCGGGGAACCGATCAAGCGACGCATAACCCCCACATGTTCGACCAGCGCTCTTGCATCTGAATTCAGCTCCTGGTATTAGAAGATTCATTCGTAGCCCACACGTATTGACATACCTATCACAAGTAGGCTTGCTCTCATCACATTTGATATGTCTGGCTCTAATACACGTTCCGATTAAAATTTGATCGGCAGATTGATGATAGTATTATCTCACTTGCACGTTATACAGCCAGTACGTGCTTTCGGTTTACTAGTACGAGTTCTTTTTGCCTGCGAGGGCAAGTCGTTCTGAAGAACCAGTTTTTAGCAATAGACAAATCCGTTCGAAGTAGGGTGAATTGATTGCCTCAGAGGGAAAGAAAGCACAAGGGAAAACGATTTCTTAGAGAAGAGGGGAAAGAACAAAGGAAAGGGGAGAAATTGTTGGTCTGGCGGTCAGTCAACTACATTGGAATCACATGGAAACCAGCTCTATCGAATACTTTTCAAGTATACCCTAGCTGGGAGATATATGTGCTGATCGTATTGCCCCAGCTGAATACTCTCCTGCTCATCCGGTGACAATTACCGGAAATTGATCGACGGATGTTTACCCCAGGTATCATCACACTTATTTTAACAGTGCCATCTTTTAGGAAAATTTTTAACTATACACTGCTACTTCATGCATAGCCGACAGGCTTTCAGGCCCCCAGTAAATAAAGGCCGTCGAGCTTTCCATCCAATATACTGTCGGAGCTTATCACTTCCAACCCATTGAGAAAATCCAGTCGAAATTTGCAAAATGTTAAACTGATCGCCTTTTTGTTCTACGGAGGCTCGTACAAAACGTCCTTTTCAAGACCGTATTCCTGAACCGAGAGCTGAGCAACCTGATACAACGTGTGGGCTTGAGAGAAACCTGTCGACAGAGGCTACGTTATCAATGGAGATTGGGGCAAAAAGGAGTTCTAAGCATCAAAAATTGACTTAATTATGTGGTGGATATTTTCCACATGTTTTTGATCTAAAATATATGCCTATTAAGATTTTCAAGCGATATCTATATGGAGTTGCCGTTGAGTATAAGGTAGTCAACGGAACTAATGATATAACTAGTTCATAGTTAACTAGTTGAATAGCATTTTAGGTTGTCCCAAGCGTCTAAATACCTAGTATCAGCTTTTTATAAGCCAGCCCTATGGATATTGGTGATAATCCATATATATTTTATTAAATACCAATTGTTACCGTAGTGATTACAATACAATATAAAATTATTCTAAAAGCACCTTGCCTTTCAGCAAGTTCAAATGAGTTTTTGCATTACGGAGCGAGCTAGGTAACGTTAGTCTTTGCCCAGTGCGTCGGAAATTCGTTGCATGAGTTTCCAGTCCTGCGACGCAGACGCGGCATTCATGTATTGTATTGAATATTATTAACCAATATGATTTATGCTAATGGGACACTTAGCACATACGACCATAGGGTGTGGAAAACAGGGCTTCCCGTCCGCTCAGCCGTACTTAAGCCACACGCCGGCCAGTTAGTAGTATGGTGGGTGACCACATGCGAATCCTGGCTGTTGTATGTTTTTTTGGTCATTGGTTCAGAAATCGTCCCTGGCCGATTTACTCTTCAGGTTCTTCAGGCCGCTTCACCTGAACATCCTGAAGGCTGTCTATTCTTCACCCGAATGCCCTGAACACTCCCGAAGAACTGACGTAGCCACCCGGCTAAACCTTCTTTCTCTCCCACCCTCCTTTCTCGCCTACGTTCCAGTCTCATCTTTCTTTGTGGGTAGCCTGAACTTAATCCTAGTCAGCTGACCTAGCAATAGATTCACCGTTATCGTTACAACCGTCTGGTCTGGTCTTGGTCATCTCTTCTCCAAGGACGCAGTGAAGATTCTGACCAAAGCCCAAGGGCAGCAGAAACGAATAGCTCGTTCTAATGCAAATGACCACGATTGAAGGGGAATTCTTTAGCCGAGCAAGCGATGTACACTATCCATTCAAATCGAATTAATCGACGTTTTTATTCTTCTGGAAGAGCTAGCCAGGATTCCTTGGTGGCCGCCCACCTTTAGGATGCATTATGTATATGGATCAAGAGATCAGATAATGAAACTAAGGGATCTCCCGTTCCACATTCTGACTTGGCGTTTGTTTGTACCCCTATATCTTCATCCATATGACATATGCTTTCCCAGTATAACCTTTCAGAAGAGTATACAGCTTTGATCCGTCTGCTTCCCTCTTGCGCCTGCTCATGATTCATGAAGAGGAACTGTTTATTTTCTTTGAAGAGCCAATTCGAGAAGCCACCGCACTTTCTCATGGTCGTGAACTGGCGCACAGGAATTCAAGCCAGGTGAGAGTAGAAGAACGGGCGCCTATCGCTACCGAATGGGAGGGCACGATAGAGGAGCACGATAGAATATATTATATCACATAGAAAGAATTAAAAAGCCGCAGACTTGTATCCGACGCTATTCTGAACACCCAATGCCTTATTCCCACCACCTGAGGTATAGCGCCTAGGAACTACGAAGAATGGGATGTTCTGCGTTTCTTGAGAGGCAAAAGCACAACAATTAAAACGTACCCTACCCCGATGATTCCAGCAGCCACGCTATATGCGATAACTGCCCCAAGAGGAGCGATTGAAAGGCCGATGCCTGTTAAGCGAAACCCTAGACCAGCGTTAATAATGCCAAGAATTATGAGACAGCGACCAAGCCACCGATGCAGGTAAGCAAATACACTCTTGCCTCCAGTTTTGTGAAAATACCTGTGTTGAAGAAAGCCCATCGCGGGCTGAAAAAGGACAAGGCAGGGGACGGTCACCATCCCGATAATTGGATGATACATTCGTATGAAACCAAGACTTCTTGCCATTGAGATCCCAATTCCAAACCCGGCAATAGCCAAAGCAAGAGTGAAAAGCTGGAAGAGAGCATGGAAATAGACAATCTTCGAATACGGAATAATATGAAGCATTAGAGCAAACGAAGGGAAAAATATAACAAAGACAAGAATCATAATAATAGCATGGGCCTTCCTGCGGTTTTCAACCGACCCAGTGCTAACAGTGGAAATCGGATACGATGAAGTCGAGGGGATCATATTGTTCGAGGTGGCAAACGGGTTATCAGAAGTACCACCGGTTGCTTGTTGTAGGTCTATAGCTGCAATCCCCTCAACGTCGTGTATGTTGATATATGTCGTTAAGCTGTTTGTGTTGAGTGGGCTCCCATATTTCGCCGCCCAAACCCATGTACTTGATGAACTGCTCAGATCTTCACTTCCACCGGGCCAGGTGATACAGCTATCGCATCGGATGTTTGCAGTCATAACTCCATTACTAATCCCACTGCCATTTAAGACTGATAATCGAGCTTCGGGGTTATACAGTGGCATAGTATGCTCCACACCGAGTCGCGGAGAGACTGTAACATTATTGCCGTCGCTAGACGCGTAGACAATAAATATATTCGCTCCTTGCATTCGAGAGCCCTGGCCCCAGGCAAACCACTGAAGCTCGTCTGTGGACTTCAGTTGGAAAAAGATCGGCCCATAGCCTGAAGACGCGGTGTCTTGGGGTATATTGACAGTATAAGTGATCCTATTTTGCCCGGGAGGCACAAATGTTTGTAACTGGGCAAGGGCAAAAATGGATGTAAAAAGACAGAAACAAACGTATTTCCTCGCCATTGCGGAGCAAGGGTTGTGTGTACCGTACCGCTGGCCGTCAAGAGAACGACTTGAGCTATACCCGCTTGTTGTGATATCTCGGCAAATATGTATTACACGGTATCTCCGCTCCTCCACCGTATCTGGACAGGGATTCTACAAGTGTTCTGTGGTCTAGAGCGGCCAGGGTTGCCGAAACGATTGACTCTAGGCGTCATGACTTGCTAAACAGTACCCAACGATGGCAGTTAGAGCAGTCTATCAATTTACCCAGAAATATTTGAAAAATGTGCGGCTATTGCATTCATTAAAAACTATATCACAAGACAGCGAGACTCACCAATCACTTTTATCATTTGACAACATCGCGGTCTAGACCATCTTCGTACCACACTCTGATCAGAACCTGTTTCAAGTTCCACCCCAAGTCGGGAAGATGATTCGATCTTAGTCAGCTGCCCCGCACCAGGCAGGATGGCAAGCCATGGTTAGTTAACTATGTCAAAATATTATCCCGAATAATCGGTTTGTAGGACTGGTTTTCTGGGGATAGTAGAAGCCATGTTGTGTTTTTCTGTGGTTTATTAAACATGGAGGCGAACCGCATTCTCTATTTTAAGTAATCACCTACCTAAACTCTCGGTGTAGCTTTCTTATGCTGATGATGCCGTGGCTATGCTACAGCCTCCAAACCTTCATCAAAAAACTTTGGGAATTTCATTGTACTTCAAGTAAACCGTAGCTTAAGCTACATAAATGAAACCTATTCCCTGGTAATATACTTTGAAACTAAGCGCTTGGCTTCCTACGCAGACCTTTACCTCTATTATTTTCTCATCTAATTGAGTGGCAGTAATGATCAAAGTATCCTTGTACACCTTTTCCCTTCTGTGCCTCCCTCTCATTGGTGCCCAGTATGGAGGAAGAGCTTCTAGCGACACTACTACAGCCACTGCGAGCTCAACAGAGAGTGGTTCAGCTTCAAACACCACCCGATCAGTTGACGTTGGTAAAAGTGGTTTTACCTTTGATCCTGATACCGTCCACGTCCCTGCGGGAGGCGTAGTCGAGTTCCATTTCTATCCAGGCGATCACTCAATTGCTCAGGCCGCATTTAATAACCCTTGTCATCCTATAAGTGATACTGGCTTCTTCAGCGGATTTATGGCATCTGCTGATAACGGAAAGGTAAGTTCGTGAGCATCGTTTCGGGCTTTATAACTTTCTGATGGTTTAGCCTGTCTGGTCATTGACTGTTAATGATACAAATTCGATCTGGTTCTACTGCGGCCAAGTTGGACATTGTCAAGCTGGCATGGTTGGTGTGATTAATCCGTCGTAAGTATATCAGTAGCCACAAAGTATTAGAAACACTAACTAATTCTCTCCTCAACATTAGTGGCTCAGATGCGCTGGATTCATTCAAGTCAGCAGCTTCTAGTGCAAATGGTCAGAGTGTACCAGCCACGGCCCAAGGTGGCATTCTTGGTACGCCGAGCACTGGTCAGATTACCACAACCTCTAGCAGTGAGACTGCCACAAGCGGTCCGCCAGCAACCAGCAGTATGAATACAACTAGCAGCACGTCTCCTGGTAGCGGGACACAGACCAGCACAGGTGGCTCCGGCCCTAGCACCACAAATACGGCAAATAATCTACACGATTTAATTGGTCTCAATGTCTTGGCCATACTTACCTTGGTAATGGTTATGTTCCTTATGTAGGGTCAGCTTCAGCGTCATTCCTGAAGTGCTGGATTGGTGAAAGTCAGATACTGCATGAAGGTATCCGATCCATATAAAAAGGGAAATTTTTACGCCCGTGCTGAGGTACCCAGTCATAAAACTGGGGTCTGCAATAATTTACTCTAGACGCAGACATTAGCTCCTCTCCTTTGACGAGCCTTGGTCATTGCCCGAAAAATTCATGTTTAGTCCAACTTGCATATTGCTAGTACTATGTAGTTCGAATCTAATGCTTAATTTAGCTGCTTTATTTACTTTATAAACTTGCCTGCTTGGTTGTCCACTACCAAAATATACAAATCATAACGTAGTTCCCGCCCGTCCGGATCACCTACACCCATTAGAATATTTCAAAATCGATTATCTCAACCAACATCCATCAATTTAATTAGATATAGCGATTTTTACATACATTAATCCTGTGGCCAATCTCACTGCACCCACTACACCTAGGTGGTGCCCTCTTTGCTGGCATAATTAGCTGACTAGGTAATTCAACCTCTGCATGCGAATCTACCCCATTATCTTCCTCTGGCTGGTTTAGCTGCTCAGCTAGCTGTATAGCCTCTTCAATGGTTAAACCCTCTGCGCAAGGTATCCTCCTAGTTGACCGATTGCGCTTCTTGACCATCTTCTCACTCGCTATACGCAGATTCGCATTATCCTCTGCTAGTAAAGCACCGCTATGTAGCGCTAGCTGGAACCCCTTGATCATCTGGTCTAGGATCTCTTTTGATGGGCTCGGAGGGCTATTTGACCGCCGTTTTAGTAGATCTTTTAACATAGAAGCTTGCTTGAATAGCTGAGCAGCGGTTCTAGGCGTTTATGGTGTGAATTCGCTAGATCTGCTGCTTGGCCGGCTGCTTAGTGGTGTCGGAGTTCGTAGAGAGATATTAAGCTTGTTAAGCACTCTCTCGGGGTCTAATGGTACTAGACCACTAGCTGCGAAGCTATTTTTAATAGTAGGATTGGTTGATTGGAACGCTTCGAGCCGCGCGTGCTGGTAATCCACTAAGAAATCGTGCTTGTCGATATAGTTATATCCTCTACGCGCAAGATCGCTCACGAAGCGACCGTACGCGCGCTTTAGTACTACAAAACACCCAATATCTAGTGGCTGTAGTAGATGCGATGAATGCGTAGGCATATAAAGCGGTATAATATCGTTTTCTGCGTAGATTCGGTCGAATTGGGGTGTAAGATAGCTACCATGGCCATCAAGAATCAATAGTCGAAATCGCCTACGTACGCGCGAATTCGTGTGTGGGATAAAGTGCTTTTCTAGCTAGCGTAGGCCAATCTCATCGGTAGTCTAGCTATTCTTTAAGACTTCGATTCGCCAGTCTTTCGGTAGGTTTTCGTTAAACCATCCTGCAATAGCTACTTTGCCTTTGAAGATTATACATAGCGGAAGTGAATTAGGCCTCTGCATGGTGCGGTCTTGGTCCTTAGGTCGAGGACCGCGGACCGGACCGCACGGTCTTGCGGTCTCGAATTCGGGGGTTGAGACCGCACCATAGTGAACCGCGGTCCCTTGCGGTCTTCACCACGGTGAACCGCAATTGCATAATTCTACCAAGACCTTCTCTTTTCGGCTACATAAATTGATGATTCATCCCATTTAATTACTGTTATTAAACACTGTTTTGGTCCCTTCATAAACATTTACTGTATTTCAGCATCAGCCACTATGAAAACAGATGAAATATACTCGTATATAGAAAATCTACTATTTAAAATACCTAGACCTGCCAGTACTAGTATATTTCTAAGTTCTAATAGAGAGGTTTAGTAATAATTATTGCTGGCTAGGTGTATGAGGTAAGAAATATATATTTCGATATCAGTACCTGACCCTATCTTCATCTGAGACTTCTTCGTTGAGTGTACATAACCCCCTACATACAGCTAAAATAGGTATTAAGGGTATTATCAGAGAGCTTAGATTCTCTAGTTAACTATTTATCTTGAAATTCTATATTCTACTACTAATATATCATAATAATCTCTTTTCAAAATTGGTTTCTCTGATATGAAGTGTAGACTTAGAAAGAAAAGGAGGATTATACTATTATATGGGCCTTCTAGCGGTCCTTTTCGGTCCTGTGCGGTCCTCCTCATGGTTCTCTGCGGTCCTCTGCGGTCAATCATAGTATTTCCTACTAGCTGTCTATGCGGTCTTCTGCGGTCTTTGCAGCCCTCTATGCGGTCTATCGCGGTTTTTCCTGCGGTTCTATACGGTCTTCTGCGGTCTTCGTAGCCCTTATCCTATCGGATTATAGTAAAGTGGAGCCTACTGCCTAATCACTATTACAATTCAATTTGATCTATCTAAATCATGCCTATAGCTTTCTCCTAGAGAAAATCCTTTATTTAGCTTTTTCTAGTAGACGGAAATATTTTAGCAGGTATCTCCTTAAGTCCTTTACCTCCCCCGTCCTATCCTATACTCATTTCGTCAAAATGTTACAGAGTCAGGCCTCCTCTCAGTTCTCTGATCAGTATCCCTCATCGGCTTTTGAGGATAATCCACGAGATACTTTCTCCTTCTTCACATCTGATAGGCTGTTTAACCTCGACGGGCGCGAAACGCCAACTTCTACTCCTAACGTGAACTTACTCCGACCGGCGATTCCTCCTGTTATCCCAGAAACACTCGAACGCGTTGGTCCTCCTAAAAGGAAAAACTATATCCTCTGGACAGAAATGGCGAATGAGGATTTCATCGTCTGGTGGTTAAAGACGGAGTATGGAAGTAAGATAAAACGGAATATCTTTGAGGGTAGACGCAATGCAGAATGTTGGGACCACTTCTACCAGGTCGCTACTATCCAGGATGGGTCTCCTAAGGTAATATGCAAGAATTACGACCATATCCTTGCCCATCCTGCCGATAAGCGCCGGGGAACATCTACTATGAATAGGCATTATTCGCAAGTAGGTGCCTGTCGGAGAGGACCGACTCAGTCGCAAGATATTAGGAAGGCTATCAAGAACGGGGTATAGATAATCAGTCTACCTTTTTCTAATTATTACTAATCTTATAAAATACCCCTTCTAGGCATATCTGTCGTCTCGTAAAGCATCATTTACGCCGCAAGCTTGGATGGAAAGGTTAATTACCTTTATTGCTGCCTCGCGGCTACCCTTCCAGCTTATTGAGCATCCTGAATTTCGCGCCCTTCTTGAGATGGCCCGGCTTGCTCCCTGCTTCCCCGAAATCCCAACTGCAACCACAGTCCGCCGTCATCTTCAAGAGATCGTGGAAGAACGCCAGTATACTCTTCTACAGAAGCTTCCTAATAGTGCTAAGCTCTCTATTGCATTAGATTGCTGGACCTCACCATTTCGCCAAGCTTTTATGGCAATAACGGGCTATTTCATTGACCAAGAGTGGAATTACCGAGAGCTCTTGCTTGGCTTTGAACCTCTACAGGGCTCACATACGGGGGCCTATCTAAGCACTGTCCTGCTTGACCTTCTTGAGAAGCATCGGATTACTGAGAGGGTGTTAACTATTACTACTGATAACGCATCTAATAACGGAACATTACTCGGTAGCCTTCAAGAGGTCGTCGAATCCCTACAGCTACCTAGTAGTATACCGGTTATTCGTATACCATGTATTGCACATGTTATACAGCTCAGTTTGAAGGAGCTCCTTGGTCAGATGGACGCGAACCCAGGAAACGAGAGGGAAGAGATTGAATGGACCGAGAAAGGGCATATAGCTCGGCAAGAGAATAGAAAGATCGTGGATACTCTGAACAAGGTCTAGCTCTCTCTAATCTCTTACTATTATCTCTCTTTCTTTACTAACTCGCACTATATTCTAGGTTCGGAAGGTAGCAGTCTACATCAACAAAAGTCCCCAGCGCCGCGAGAGCTTCATAAGGCTTCAGACGAAAGAGCCTAAGCTTATGCCTATACAAGATGTTCGGACACGATGGAATTCGACGTTCCTCATGCTCAGGCGTGCCCGGCGATTACAGTCTGCCTTTGATGACTTCTGTGTCCAATTCAACCTCGCTGATGTAAAGATAGACAGAGATGAATGGCGACAAGTTGACTATCTTCTGTCAATCACTTATCCCTTCTTCAAATTCACTTCGTCTCTTTCGGCAACTACAGACGTGACTATCCATAACGTCTTTGGTATCTATAACGCCCTATTCACACATATTGATAAGGCGAAAGTGCAGCTAGCGCGAAAGAAGGTTGGTTGGAAGAGAGTGATGAAGTCCGCGCTTGACCGTGCGCGCGATAAGCTTACAGAGTATTATGGAAAGACTGATGATATTCCTGGTGATCTCTATGCAATTGCGACTATCCTAGGACCACGGAACAAGCTAGAGTTCTTCACAACATCTGAATGGGAACCTCACTGGGGGCCTCGCTATAAGCAGTCGCTAGAGGCTTACATTCAGCCTTACCGGCAGCGCTACGAAGAGGCACAGTCTACATCAACTCTCTAGCCCACAATTCAAGACGTCTCTGACATTGATATCCTTCTGAGACCTACTGTATCTCTTCAGTCAAACGTGACGGCTCCAGATGAGCTTACACGGTATCTTAGAAGTAGTAAGTTAATCTATATACCTCTTCTTATATACTCCTTCTCTTATACCACCCTCACTAGGTACTGTCGAAGCAACCCCTCTCGTTTTCTGGAAAGAACACCAAAATGAATATCCTATTCTGGCAAGCCTTGCTCGAGACATCCTTACAACACCAGCCAGTGGTTCTGGCGTTGAGCGGTTATTTAACTCTGCGCGTGATATCTGCCATTATCGCCGGGGCTCACTGAAACCGCAGACAATCAAGGAATTGATGTTGTTTATGTGTACAACAAAATTTGACGTGGAGTCAGAGCAGCTTGCCCTAGTTGATGAGTATCTTTCTACGCAAGAGAAGCAAGCAAAGAAAGAGCAGAAGGACGCCCAGAAGAAAGAGGAACAATTTGATCCAATTAGTGATAA